TAGTGTTGTCTGGATGATGTTGCTGAAATTGTTGTAGGCTTCATCTACGTCATGAGTTTGTATTATAGTTTCCCAGTCTTGTTCTTGTAGTTGTGTCTTAAAGTTATCTATTGTTGTTTTGTTGAAGATCCGTTTATTTTCTTTGATGTTGTGGATGATCGGTTTTCTAGTGATTATTTTTGCGATTTGTGCTGTATGGTCAGATAGTCCTGATGTTATAACTGAGGTTTCTATTTGTTGATTATCAATGTTTGAGCATATCCAGTCTATTGATGTTTCTGAGTCAGTTGTAATTCGAGTGGGAGGTAGCCTCAGTCTTGAGATATTGAAGGAGGTTAGGAGTTCTTCAATTTTTTCGTTTTCATTGTCATCAACTAGGTTGTTTACATTGATGTCTCCCATTATTAGACAAATAAGACATTTATTAGACATTTGACAAAATTACAAAATTTTGCAATAGGGATCGTCATATATGATTCACATTGATAAACAAGCAACATTAAATTGAGCTAACATCACAGAAAAATCATGTATAATCTAAAATTAGGCTAGGCTTGAAGACTCTATTTTAATATTTAAAAATCCATCAAGAGTATAAAATGGGTTCAGTTGTAACCAATTATACAATCCATTATGAAATGCTTTTTGAGGCAAACTCTGAAAAGTCAATGGTAACTTGTTGAAAAATGTTACACCTAAATTAACATGATAATTCATTGATTTACTTAACCTAAACCTTGGTTGATCTAATTTATGCCTAAATCTGGTCACATGATCATGTATTTCTTCTCTGAAAGAAAACATTTTTAAATTAATTTTGACAAACATCAATACCTCCAAAATATACAAGTTAACAATAGTCAGGATCCCTGATGAGACAAAAAGTGGCCTTGAGTGGGCTAACCTTTCTGAGTCCGTCAAAACTCTAACAGCTTTTTTGTTTGATTAAAAAATTTTCAATTCCATCTCCGTTACCCCAGATTATCAAACCATACCTGATAACACTTTCAAAAAATGCAAAATATGCCATTTTCAAGTATTTAATGGAAACATGTCTTTTTAGATTTATTAACAAATGTACAACTCTGGACAATTTATTATTTACAAAATGAATATGGTCAGACCGTGACAGCTTACAGTCTAATTTTATACCAAGTAATGTTACAACATTTTCATAATCATGAACAAATTGATGGTTTTCATGATTCTTTTTCAAGGTCACCAATAGTCTCTGTGTTTTTTGAGAATTTAAAAACAATCCATTTACTGTAAACCATTCTTCAGCATCTTTAAAAACAGAATCGGCAACATTTTCCATACAATCTAAATCTCTATGGCTAACAAGTAAAGAGGTGTCATCAGCGTAAATTGTTGACTTACAAGCTAAATTGAAACTAATGTCATTAATTAAAATTAAAAACAAAATGGGCCCATAACCGAACCCTGTGGTACCCCGCATTATTAATATTTGCTCATCCGTAGTGAGCACTGTTTCCAGTTGTTCAGAGAGTATATCGATGGCTTGGTCTAGGTTTGCACTTGGTGGCCTGTATACTCCGAGGACCAGCAGTGGATTCCTGTTTAGCTTCAGTTCAAAGAGCACTTGCAACTCTAACCACTTTAAATAAAGTGTGTTTTTTATTAAAATATCAATAGTATGAAATAAATAAATCCGCCAAGTTTGATAAAAATATGTCCATAAACAAGCCAACTACAACATATTATAATACTCTCCATAAGAATAACATTAGAATTTTAAATTAAACATTTTTTTAATTTTCTCCGTAACCAATCACCGTGCAAAAACACTTTGATATTCTAAATTATTTGTTTTTTTAGCGAATTTCCCTATAGGGAAGTAGCTATTACCGTAGGTCTCATGGTAAGACCTAAGCCCGGGACCGATTTACTTTTTCATTTTGATGTCCCCAGAGGCCAAAAACACCATTCGTTCAAATTTGTATATATCTATATATATATATATATGTGTCCATCCGCACGATAACTTGAGTAATTTTTGTCCGATTTTGATAAAATTTGGTTTGAAGGTGTAAGGTGGGATAAACTTGAATGAGTTCGCGAACCAGCACGATCGGACTATGGGAACGGGGGTTTATGGGGGGTTTTATGGGGTAAAAATAGGTTTTTCCCATTTTTGACCCTAAAAACACAAAATTTTACAATTTCTTTTTAAACCATTTTGTAGAGCTTAAAAATACAAATAATTTAGTATATTGAAGCGTTATTATGCGCCTAACTGTTACGGAGAAAATTCAAAAAAATTGTTATTTTAAATTTCCCATGTTATTCTTATGGAGAATAAGTCAACTGTTGTAGTTTGCTTGTTTATGAACATATTTTGATCAAATTTGGAAAATACATTAATTTCTTACTAAACCACAGTACCTTTTAATATTTTACATAAAAAATACTTTTTTACCCTCCCTGTTGCAGCAAACCTAAGTACTCGTTAAACTAATTCTGTTTAAATAGGGAATAAATGTGATATTTTTAAGGAGACATTTTAGTTTAAATCCAATCAGGCAAATGGAAATTCGCTAAGTCTGCAGGTTTGCTGCGGCGGGGGTATTTACTCTTTAAAAAGGTCTGGAGAAAAATTGATAAACTTTGTGTTTTAAGGGTAAAAAATGAGAAAAACCCATTTTTACCCCCATAAAACCTCCCGTTGCCATGGTCTGTTCATGCTGGTTCACAAACTCATTCAAGTTTATCCCGCCTTACACCTTCAAACCAAATTTTATCAAAATCAGACAAAAATTACTCAAGTTATCGTGCGGATGGACACACACATATATATATATATGTTTTAATTTAGGTGTTCACGTATTAGGGCTGCTGTTATTTTAAATTATTGTACTCAGTTGTACTTATTTACTACAATAATTTAATATATATATACATATATAAAAATTTGAAAGAATTGTTTTTTTGGCCTCTGGGGACATCAAAATAAAAAAAGTTAATCAGTCCCGGGCCTAGGTCTTACCATGAGACCTACGGTAATAGCTACTTCCCTATAGGGAAATTCGCTAAAATTCAAATAATTTATTATTTATTTAATGTGATTTATTTTATCATAATCATTTAAACACTAATTTATTAAACACTTCAACAAATTTAAAGGTTTCTGTAGCGAAGCATAGGTGTTCCGCTAGTCTTCATGTAAACAAATGTAATTAAATAGCAGAATGAGCATGACAGCTGGGTTAGTACATTTTCTTCATAAGAAATACATTGGGATTTTGATGGCCTGTGGGGCAAAGCCCAAGCACTTTTATTACAGGAATTGGTAAAAGGGGTGTCTACACAAAATATACTTACTTTGTCATATGTTTGTACAAATCCGTCCATTATTAACGGAGGAGTAGTGTTTCGTAGAAATCACCTTCAGGTATTATACATAAGGATTTAGTTGCAGAGAAACATAGATCTCAAAAACCACAACTTACATATCGTGATTTTTAAATTCATTTAACGATTCAACAAGTTTTATGCAGTAAAACTCCAATTTTTATGCCACAAAATAATACAAATATTTTCATTTCATCCAAATAAATAACCAGCTGTTCCCATGGATGATTGTGTAAAAAAAAATGTATATTATTCATCTGTTCAAATGTAAACAAATCTTTTCTCCATAAGGATAACATGGGAACTTTAAAGGCCAGTAGTGTAGAGCCCTGAAGTCATTGTTACTATAGTTCGGCCGCTTAGAAAACGACCTGCGCGCTAATGCTAAACCAATGCTGGAGGAGGTCGCTTTCTAAGCGGCCGAACTATAATTTGGTTTTTTTAGCTATCAAAATATTTGTTAGGTGTCTTTGGTTTGTTTTGTAGTAATCTTTGCTTGGTCTGGTGTTGTACATAGTTTGATGTGTAGTTTTCAGGACCGCATAAAATTATATCCAATCTTTTAAAAACGTGCAACAAATTACTGTAACAGAGTTACAATCTGGGACTTTTTTGATAGTATGTATACAAAGCTAACAGTTTTCCCTTCAATAAAAATCTGCAAAACATATAATTTAAAAATTGAACCAACTAAAATTAAAATATGTTTACAGTTATAACAAAGATTAATAAATAGTTAATCTCCAAGTAAATTGAAGACTACACTAAAATTTGTCATAATAAAATTTAAGTACAATTATATACTTTCTCCCCCTATACCTACATACTAATAGAGAAAGTATTGTTTTCGTTACAATTTTCAAATTTGAGTTTTTTGTGGTTCGATTTTGGTAAAAACTTTTTTTTTATTTTTTTAAGGTGACTTTTCCATAAAAACCTGTAAAATAACGGAAAAATAGTTTTTTTTTTTAAATTGCCTGAATGATTTTGATCAATTTTTAGTACGGTATGTAGTTCTTTTAATTCTAAACAAAACGGTATAACTCCAATTGCTGAAAAATTATTTTTCAAAAGTGATTGTAACTTATGTGATTTTCCCATTTATAAAAAAAAATTTTAAATTGGGTCTCTGTAAAGAAGATCAACTAATTATTTTGATTAAAGTTTTATTGTTCTTATAATTCTAAACAGAATGGTATTACTCCCAATTGCTGTAAAAATTGCGTTTATTGCAACTTTTGTCATTTTACCCTTAAAATACCATACAGTACTTTTTCTCACCACTTGCCCATGATAAGGGTTGTTGGTAAGCTGATGGGAGAAACTATGTGTCAGATTGCTGATACCGTTTATTTTTATTGTTTCTATTAAATTGAGAAATATCTGATAGTAATTTTATGATCTTAAGTTTTGCTTATTTGATGTTGCATAAACCACACCACATAAATAAGAGAATTCAGGTTTAATCTCAAGTTCTTTTGACGGTTATTTCAGTTAGTTAGTTTGATACCTACAACCAGTAAAATATATTAACTTTTTACCTTAATCTATAAACAATATAATATAATAGTTGTTTATTATATAAATATTCTGTATAAAAATATAATTAATTTAATGATTTTTTTCAGGCCAGTACCTAAGTATACGTCGAACAAAGAATTTGACATCGCCAAGCTTTGAAGTCCGTCACTTCTCCATCAGGGTCGGGTCGCGCATTGAACACTTTCAACTTCAAGTGCCTCGGAAATTTCAACAATGTAGATCATCTTGCTTTATTGTACATACAGTAATAAGATTATTTAACTAGTATAAGTATATAGAAAAATTGTATATTGTTTAAGATGTAATTACTTAAATTAATTATTAAACCAAAGTATTTTTATTACTCAGAGTTTTAATTCCTGTTTTCTTAAGCAATTTATGAAGTAAATGTTAAATTAACTATTACGACCTAGTTGGCCTGAATGAATGAACAATATTAAAATCAGATATTGGTTTTGCTTATTAAAATACTAGCTCCAAGGTTAATTGAATAGTGCCAGTTTGAGCTCTTTGAAGGTTCACCTTATAAAATACTAGGCACGTGTCCTGGGATATGCCTACCTACCTATGGCGGATCTAGGCACATACGACAATTCTTCAAATGTATTTAGCCAATTTCATTATGATTACGAGAGTAGTTAAATAAGTCCTTAAAAAAGATAGAATAACATACATTTTTGGGATAAATTTGATTTTTTTGTCAGCATAAACTATTAGCTCTACACACTTATGTAAATGTTTCTCTAACTTCCTTATGCCAAGCAAATAGTACCAACTTGAAAAGCCTTTGAAATGTTCTTCTGTTTTAGTGATGACCTACCTCATCATCTGACATAAAACGTTGCCCACGAAACCACCGTTTTAGGTTAAAAAGACACTTGGAACTAAATTTGGTGAACTACATTTTTACTTCAATTAAAGATGTATTCCAGCAGTTCTAATTTACATTACCCTATATGTTTTGTTCTAAAAACCTATAGTGAAATACAAGCTTTCATTTGAGCTATTGATTATTTAGATCGGACAACCTAAAGCACACTGCTGAATCACGAATCAACAATAATTATACTCGTTTTAGTACTTATCTGCAATCAATGATACGTAACTCTATTTTTATTTAAGCTATTTGATATGTCTTGGTCTTAAAATTCTTCTAGTAAATAAAGGCTTTCATTTGAGGTATTGATATTTTTAATCAGTTAAGTTCAAGATACTGTATTGCAAAATCAGAAAACATAAATTTGATTATATATTGGATATGGAGTTTAGTTTTACATATATTATTTATATATTATTTACATATATACTCAACTTAACATCTTTAATTCCACTGCGCACTGCTCTGTAATTATATGTCCTCATGAGTTCAATTAAATATAAATTAAATTCATTAAAACCCCACCAGGGGGCAACTTTTTGTTCTTTTCACACCTTTATGGAATATCTAAATTATATTATATAGAGGTGTGAATTAATTTTGTATTTGATGAGAACGAGTCAAGTAATTAAGTAAAGAACTTGTTATTTCTTTTTTTTCTTTACATGTCTTACCATGAGACCTACGGCAATAGCTTATTCCCTATATGCTACTTTGTATGGTCGTCATTTCATAGAACAGTATTAACAGTATGAGAAATTCGCTAAAAAGATATAGGCTTAGATAAATCAAATGAGTTTACTAATAAATAAAAAATAGTCATGGACGTTTCTTCAGTTTACTTTGTGAAGTTGAAGTAAAACTAACTAGTTTAGTTAAGTTGAGGTTTGAATGAAGGCTAAATAAAAATACAAAGATCCCCCTCTCTTTCGCAGAAGAGGTTCTCATCGGTTTTTGACCAGGACCCTGAGACGCTAGTCTCGGCGGCGATGTCACTTTTGATGCTGACAATACTCGGACAGTTGATATTTCAACATTTTTTTTAAATAATTTAAAACCTCGGACAAATGAATGCTAGGACAGTTGATTTAATTAAATATTATTATTATTTACACCAACCTCGGACAACTGATTTTCATAATATTTTGTAGTTTTTAACAAACTCGGACAAATGGTGTGATCCCGGGAAATCGTAGTTTAACAAGTTTTTATTGCAAAAAAATATTATTTTTACTTTTACAAAAGTACAATATTTGTAAAAAACCATGGACACATTTAATGTATCATAAATTATATATTCCCGGTTTCCAGAAAATACTGTTCAAAAAATTGAAAACTGTCTTTATTATGTATGTTTTTCTTTAAACATCCTCGTTCAGTGGTTGGTTTAGAAATTCTTTTAAACAATTTTCACAAATATTTTACATATTTGTTTCTGGTCGTTCCATAAGTTTTTTTTGAGGTTTTACACTTAAATTTGGTCTTGGCGTTTTTTTGTCTAAGACATACGGCGCACCACGCCTTTGCACTGGGAGGCTAGATCAGTGGACTCTATGGTTGGACATTTCTATTCAATTGGTTTACAGATAGGTACTTAGTTTTTTAGGCAAACTTTCAATACTACCATAATTAAAAATTATAAAGTAATAATTATGATAATAAAACTGAGACACTACTACGCGCACGGGGGTACACTAGACCCCCCAATGAACACAATTAACTGGTAACAAAAGTATGCACGTGAGGGTAAGCCAGACCCAGGGTGGTGATAACAGGTCCAATGACTCGGTCAAGACTGACAACCCTGCGACCAGATGATAGCATATGCTATTTTAGGCAGCTACTGTTATGCTCACCAGGGTTGCCACCATACTTGTAAAATTATGACAAATTTATCGTACGTAGGGGTATGTCTTACCCCCGCGTACCACATAAACCTTCGCGTGGTTTAGGGTTAAACAGTGAAGTTGGCTGTAAACAAACCATTTGCAATAGTATGAGCGGTGTTTACAACACCCTCATTTAACATGATTCCTCCTTGGAATTAACTATTGAAAACAATTAGCACCTAATAAGGAGGTGCTAATTGTTGCTCAAGCTAAAATGTTTTGATGGTAAATAAATTGACAATGTTCTTAATGGTAACATTCTTTATTTATTCAATAGTACTTAAAATAGAACATGATAACAAATCAAGTAGTATTTCAGTTTAAAAGAAGAATGTGTTGGCTTAAACATATTTTTTTGTTTAATATTTGTTCCATACTTAACTCAAAATAGGTAAAATAATATATGGTTAGAACAGCGCCAGGTTAGTACAGTAATGAAATGTAAAGAATTAATGGTACAAATACGAGGTGTGTTAAAAAATAAAGGGAATTATTAAATTTTGCAGGCTTGGTTGTAAAATTTGTTTATTATGTTGATATATACAATATAGGCTACAGGCTTCCGAAGTATGATAAAATATATCCGTAACAGCTAATTAAGTTAGAAGTTTTTTATGTGCTCGAGTGAGTTTTGTTTGTTAAAAGAATTTGTACCAAATTTTGTTTTAAAAATTGAATGAAGTAAATCAAAATTTTTGAAATGTTAACAAAGGCCAATGGCGAGTTTGCTATGAGCAAAGCATGAGTTTACAAATGGTATAAGGTTTCCAAGATGGCTGGGTAGACGTTCAAGATGACGAGCGCCACAACACATCAACAACTGATGGGAACATGGAAAAAGTCAAAGAATTGGTCATGCACGATTGTTGAATCACAATTATAGAAGTCTCTGACTTGGTCAAATGCTTTGGGGATGAAACACGTCACAGGCAGAAGTCGAAAACAATGTAGATTTACTTAAATGTATTATAACAAGTGACAAAACGTGGGTTTACAGATATGATACCAAAACTAAGGCTCAATCATCGAATCATCCCAGTGTATGCATTCTGGCTCACCAAGACAAAAAAAACAAAAAAAAAAAACAAGTGTGGTTGACACAGTGTTCTTCAATTTTAATGGTATTGTGAATCATGATTCCTGCCAACAGGCCAGAGTTCACCTACTAGTTCAACGTTGTTTGGGTGAAGCAATAATAAAAAAAGCCTGGTTGACAAAACAGCATTCGCATCACGACAATGCACCTGTTCACACTTCATTACTTGTTTGTGAATTTTTGCCAAAAACAATACTGCATTGATGCCTCAGCCTCTATTTTTGTCAGACATGGCTCCATGTGACATTTCCTGTTTCCTAAGATAAAGAGAAGCTTAAAGGGCTGTTTTAAAGCTGTATATAACATTTAAAAGTACATCTCTGAAATTACTTAGTGTATCTCAAAAATTGAGTTTGAGAAGTGATTTAGGGATTGGAATAAGCACTGACATAAGGCCAATCATTAGGGGACTATTAGACTATATTGAATGCAACAACATCAATGTAAACATATAAAATAAAAAAAGAAGAAAATTCTCGTTATTTTTAACACACCTCAAAATTATTAAACAAATGGACTATATCAAAAACTGTTGTGGTCCAGACTTATTCAGTGCCTTTTTTTTAGGCCAGTTATATACATTACATGATAATATTGTCACTGTCTTAAAACATAGTTAAGCTTTTATATCAGTTAAGAAGCTGCATCAAAACCTTCACCTACGTATTGTCCCTTTCATCTGACTGTGCCAAAAATATGTAGGCTTTAAAAGAAAAGAATACCGCTGAACACTTATTTACTTTCATTTAATCGTGTTGGATGAGCCACCAAAATCCAATTAATTAACTGAAATTGATTTGGATATATTGATTTCAGTGTATTGAAAATAGTATTTATTTTATTATATAGTCAGGACCTCTTTCTAAAGATCCCTTGAGAATATCGTACAACTTTTCTGTGACAGTTGAAAATTGCTTAAAGATGGAACAAATGAACAACTAACATTAATGAAGTAAACTGTAAAACTCAACTTGGCTTTCTATTGAAGTAGCACAATGAAAAATAATGTCTAAACTACTAAATATGAGGTTATACTTTATGAAAACCAGGGGAAGACTTTCCAAGAAACTAAAAACCAAACTCAAAAGAAATCTAGAGGAAAACAATATGTGTTATCACATACATTATTAGTCTTCTAAGAGCACCAGTATTGAAGAAAATTAAATGGAAAAATATATCCCATTTTTTACTATTTATAAAGCTCTTTTCCACATTCATCAATCACATTTCTCATGTATTGTGTAGTATTTACACAATATTCAGTTACGAATAAAATTATTGAGGCACAACCTAAACACATTTTAAACAAATGAAAAGTGAATAAATAGTATCCAATAAATGCCTAAACCTCCATATACACCTTGAACATTAAGTAAGTAACAAACTTATAAACATCATACAATCGTACAATATGGCCGTACTGTTAGTTAAAAGTTGTATTTTAAGACATCGATCGGTAAAAAGAGATAAACATTTCACATTTCTTCAACAATCATAACTTTACACTTGCATGTTTGTGGAGTCTTTAGAAGACGGAGTGAACCATTTTTAATAGAAATTACCAGGGGGTGGACGAGGTGGAGGGTTGAAGTTATACTGAGATCCTCTGTAGAAAGGTCTAGGAGTAGGCGGTCTTTGAGGTGTAAATGGTCCTGAGGGAAACTGATAAGGAGGTGTAGGAACTCTAGTTGAGGGAGATCCACTTACAGGACGCGGTGGAAACGAGTGTGGGTTTGGGTTGGGAAAAGACGAGTTCCAAGATGAGTGGTCGGGAGGAGTTTCTGGGAAATGATTTCTTGATTCCCCGTGAGAGGGATAGTTGTGATATGAAGAAATCCTTGAACCGTTGGAAGGGCCAGAGGAATGGCAAGCTCCATGAGGTCCGGGGGGAAAGTGTTGGTGCGCTGGTGAAGGACCCCTGGAATGAGAAGTGCTTGGACCACAATTATAGGTGTAAGGCGAAAACTCATTCGTACGATGTTGCGTAAAAAACCGAGGATTGGACAGAGGCACCCTGTCGTACATCGGTGGCCGGCCAAACATCTGATGAAGCCCTTCTCCCCTGGCTGGAGGAGGAGTACTACACATAGGGGGCAGGTTCGGCTGCCACATAGCATTTCCATCCATTCTACATCTATTTGGGGTTTGGTTGTTTCTAGCGGCAGACAATTTCAAGTTTCTGGCGTTCATCTTTTTCTCATAAGCTGAATGCTTTTTCCTCGCTGGTTCATCTGCATCACACTCAGCTTTGGATGTAGCCTGCAAGATTTTGCCATTATTATACTGCATATCTGATTGTTGACAATTTGAAATGTTATTCCAGATAAAGATACAAATCACACACACTAAATAATTGTTCATTGGTTACCAAAATTCTCTTCAATGTAAAACAAAATAATTACAAATTATTGCTATTATCTGAGGTGCAGAAATTAGACAGAAAAGTGGTCTTTCAAAAACAGTAAATTAAGTAACGTAAGCATAGAGTCTTTTGTTGCAGACATCTTTATCTAATCTTCCATCTTCATATTATGAAGAACAAATAATTTCAAATGATCAGGCGAGGAATTGAAGCAAGGGATTCATTTCTCTGTGATGACTAATCAAAACTAAAAATATAAAAGCCAAAGCTCACTCACTGACTCATTCATAGCCAATTCTCCAACTTCCAGACTAGTTAGAAGGCTGATATTTTGTATACTCGTTATTCAGGTTACAGATAGGAAAGTTAATTATATTTTTTTGAGGTTCAATTTTTACCGTTTGTTCAACATAACACCTAACTAAACTCACCTTTTTGTTTCTTTGCTTTTTCTTTGCTCTTTGTTCTTGTTCATCATCTGAATAATCAAGGTAAATTTCAGGTGGCTCAATATCATGCTCCCAAGATGCATCGCTCCCCTTTAGTCTGAAAATACAGGAAAGTCTGTTGAGATATTTAAATGTTAAACACCAAATTTATTCTATATAAATAAAATTTGAGTTTTGTCTGTACATTGCTCAGAATTAAATATTTTTTTGGTTGTGTTTGTGTTTTATACATTAAAGAAGCCGAAACAAGTCCTATCTCAATTTCTGTCTGTCTGTCACGGCCCAGAAGGCATTTTACGTGGACTTCTCCTGAAAAAAAAAAACGACAAAACAGATCACATGATGAAACTAATTTTATGTATTCTCTACATGGATGAGAAGGTTTTTAATTATTTGAGGAAAGAAAATAATGGAAACTCAAAACCAAGTTTTGCATGGTATTAGACTCATTTTGTTTTAAGAGAACCTATTACAAAATATAGGTACAATTCCCAGCTTTTTCCCTTGTCATCAAAATTAAAATTCAGTTTTTAGTTTAACCTGTTGAGTGGACACCCTGGAGTCTGGACACACAATAGGCCATACAAATGTTGTCTAAAATAAATGAGTTTTTTATTATTTCTTTTTTAATTTTCTGTTGCATTTATCACGCTGTCTCGGCTGGGGACATTTATTAAGTTAAAAAGAAACGTAATAGGTACAGTATATTGATTCTCTTCTTTCAAAACCAATTATTCACTTACATTTGGGTTCAAATATGCACAGTTGCAATTTATTTTTGACTAGCTGTGTGCCCGTTCTACAAACGGGGATCTTATAGCGAATCCAGTGAATACATTAAAATTATTTGGATCTTGATATGTACTCTTTGTTTTTCAGGAGAAGGCCGCGTAAAATGGCTCTTAGGTTGTGACAGACAGACAAGAAATTGAGATGAGACTTGTTTCGTCTTCTTTAATGAAGAAAATGTAAAAATAACCTAAAAATTTATGATTCTGAAAAATGTACAGACAAAACTCTAATTTTATTTATATATAGATGAAAAACAGCTAGGTTTGGTTTTGGTGGAAATGCAAATGAAAGAGCTGGGCTTTCTGAATTTCTAATTAGAAGTGTAAAAAAAGTTTATGTATGTCTTTTGATACAAGTTGGCAAACCTTCACACCCAGTCATGTGTTTTGATGTATAATAACTAAGTGGGATAAAACAAAAAAACCATATCAGGATCAAACTTTCCATGTGGTATAATAGATGGCAATTCCATCGATTAGGAAGTGGGTGACTTTAGAGCCATTTAAAATTGAGTACTGTATCTTTTGTTACATAAAGGTTTCACAGGGCTATTTACCGTTCACGTTAAAAGTATGGAAATAGTAGGCTTTATCATGTTAATGGGACTCATTGCTGCTATATTTAGTCTTTCGTATGTAGCTTCCTTATAACTTGGACTCGCAAAAGAATTATCTTTAGAATCCCTTTATCATAATATGATTTACATAGGTACATTTATGTAATGATAGGCCTAATAGTGACTAAACTGACTATTACTAAGATTCTATTTTACATCTATTCTAAGTTTAGCTAGAATAACCTGTCTCTTGAGAAAACTTAGATCATTTATGAGTTTTAATACCTACTTTTGCTTACAATGCATATATTCAAATTAAAAGAAGGTACAGAAAAGAGTTGGTAGGAGCAAAAAAATTTTCAGTTGAAAAATATATTAACAATGCCCCAAACAAGTGCAGAGCCACTTGGAAGGTAATTAGAGACGAAAATTCCCCCTCTTTTACCCCTGGATCCAGATGAATTTAATACATATTTTCAAACTATTCTAAGGCTATGGATTTTTATTGGTTATCAAATCATATAATCAAACAAACAATTGAATTTATAAGTAAACCACTTGCTTTTATCTTAAATACTGCATGCAGGCAGGTTATTTTGCTCAATCGCTTAAGGTTTCAAAAGTCACACCAATATTTAAGAAGGGCGACAAAAATATGGTTCAAAATTACCGCCCAGTCTCAATTGTTCCAATTTTATCAAAAATATATGAATCAGTTATGTATAATCAACTCAATTACTTTTTTGAATCTCATAATATAAATACAAACTGTCAACATGGCTTTTGTAAAAATAAATCAACAACATCAGCAATAATAAATTAGTAGATTATTCTTTAGATGCTTTTGAGGGGAAAAAATCTGTTTCTCTAGTGCTGTGTGACCTCAGTAAAGCATTTGACAGTGTCCCATTTGATATTCTCCTAAAAAAAACTTCAGTTTTACGGTGTGGCGCAAAGTTCCTTGAAACTGATTGAGTCATACCTCTCAAAGAGATTACAATATGTTTCCGTTAGAAGTAATTGTTCCAAGATGAAGTGGTATCAGTAGTCCCACAAGGATCAATCCTTGGCCCTTTTTTCTTTACAGTTTATATTTATGATTTGCCCAAAAACTTAAATACCTATTCCATTATTTATGCTGATGATGCAACATTACTTTCAAATAATGAAAACTTATAGATTATTGAGTTTTTAAAATCAAAATCATTCTACACTCAGAAAGAATTTTTAAATAGTGACATATCATGTTTAGAATCTAAATAAGATATTGTATATAAGTTTATTGAAATTTATAACTGATATATGATACTATTTTTAAGTACTATTATAACAATGCCTATTACAAAATGTTATGTTTAATGGCTGCAATAAATCTTATTGGCTCTTAAATTTTAATCCAGATTTGTCTCTGAGAACCAACTTTGTTGATGCCGTCGGTTTTGATGGCTCGTGATACAATAAGAGAGGCATTGAATGTGTGCAAATTGTTATGGACCCAAAGATAAATATTCAGGTCAAGAGGATTCATTAAATAGGTTACCGTAGTAAAACACACAGAATGAGCACATTAAACTGTCCTTTCCTAATCTCATTTGACAAGATTAGTTAGTTAAACTACTTTTAGGTCATGCTTCTATGATTTAGTTAGTCTGTGGAAAATGGCAAAATAAGAATTAATTGAAAAGTATCTCGTAAAAGTAAGATAGGCCTTAGTTACTTTACTTCTTTAATTTTATTTGAAATTGTTAATTAATTGGCAGCAGTAAAAATAGAATAAAATAAAAAGTGGTATTGTATCGGGTTGAACTATCTAACAATGCCACCGGCTAAAAACTTCACAAGTCCCTACTGATGATGCCTCAACATCAAACAAATCTGAGAAGCATTGAGCTGTGATGAGAGTATAACGGATATAATTTATTCCTAAATATTTCTAGCAGCTTAGGGGCTATACAATCGTAGATAGATCAAACATATGTGAATTTGATAAACAAATTACTGAAACTCACTGCATAAGCTGTGCCAGGAAAACAAACTTAGAATACTGTGTGTTGGGTGCAGCGTATACTGTCTGGTCCAACGTAATGTTCTTTTCTTCGATGTGATCTTTAGAGTTGAATCTAATACAATAGTAGGGCTCGGTGACTGGTCCCATAACGTCAAACACTTTACCCAGCGGCTTGCCTCCTTGAGTGAATAGAACTGTGTCCAAATCATAAGCGGGTGTGTCTTTGTTAGCCTGAACAATCACTGTAACCAAAGATAGGCTATTGTAGCATGGAATTAATTCAGAGGAAAAATATTTACTAATGCCTCATCCTTTTACAACTGTAAGATTAAGCACGGAATTTTAAATATAAATGTATTTAATGTTGACATTATTAGTTCCAAATTGTCAAAGCATACTAAAAAGAGCGTTGAATAAAACTAACAGACGCTTGAAATAAATAAATATATACATTCCAATGTGGGTTATGAGAACTGAGAACTTTCTGATTCATATCTCTGACTTTTGATAGAATTAGACACAGTGCTCGATTTGAAAAAAAAAAATTAGGTGCCAAAACTGTACAGTAATCTATTTAATGTGATTTGTCCATATTTATGTATCTTATTTATGACAATATTTTTATCGTTCCGAAAGAGAGGTAGCGTGTTCCGCCGCGTACCCCCCCCCCCCCAAATAGAGCACTGAGTAGACATGCCATATGCCTTCAAGAAGAACTTATAATATTGGGTTGAATAAAATTTAAAATCAAAAATCACAAATATTTATTGAGTTTCTAACTTCATTAATTGGAGATGTTTTTATTTTAAATTTGATGCCATATATATGGGCCAGCTATTACCTTTTTTTTAATATAACATAGCTCAAAACAACAATGGAATATAGAAAAATGAATTAAACCAAGTCCCATTTTCTTCTAAATATGGTTACAGCTTAATTAAATATGGGGATAGGATGTCTCCTTATATCATCCATCATTTAGGCTACACATTTTTGGTTTAGTGGCGATTTGTTAGTATTAAAAATGCAACAGACATATCTTGGGAACAAAATGTCTACATTAGCAGTCAAAAGTTATAAATTTTGGTTTAACAGCCGTTGGTTAGTATTTAAAATAACACATCCCATTGGTGTGAGATTGATTAACTTTGAAGAACAGGAATTACTACAGGTAAATGGCTTCTCACCAAGCTGATCAACTATTTGATAAATTTTCCCAACAGGAATACACTCTTCTTCAGGTACACTGATAGTCAAATCTTCAATAGGAGGCAGATCACACAGATCCAGTTCTCCTCTGGCTTTGATTGGTTTACAAACTGGTTTGTTGATGGTGTTATCACACTCCTCTTCACTGAAACATAAACACTTTGTAAATAGTTTTAGGAGGAAACAAATTCACAAAACGTTTTAGCATCCTATGCCTGTCTCTAAGGATAAGACTATGGACTTTTACTGATCGAACTTGACAAATTTATTTATTTTATACGAAAGCTATTAATATTTGACAATAATGGCTGTAATTGACCGCCAACTGATGCACCCTGGTAAGGGAGGAATGCTCTCAATAGGCACAATAATATGACAGGTTTTTGGTGGTCCAGGAAAATTTGGTTTTCTTTCATCTTGGAAAAGACATGTTTAGACTGCTGACATATGCTCTAGGCATCTGAAACGTAAAATAAAGAGGGTTATGGTAGTCAGGTAATTAAGTTACCACCAATGCAAAGTTTTCTTCTTTTACCTTAACATTGACTCAAATGCTTAAATATCCATATCCATCCTAACCCTAAGCCCACTACAGAAATCAGTGGCGGATATATATTTTTTTTAGGGGGGCCGAGGTTAATTTAATGTTCAGTTAAGTGATTTTAAGTAGACACACCATGATACTTAATCTCAGTTTTGCTGTGGTAATTTGCGCTAAATGTGTCATTTACCAAGATCACGCTGTATCATTATATTGTTCCATTAAATCATAAAAATGTATCTATTCAAGCCAAATGAAGAAAATATCTCAATTAATAAATTCAAAACACATTGAGCATTGAACATTGAGTGAGTCGGTGGCTCAGTCGGTAGCGTCGCGGATTTCAGGCCCAAGGCAGCGATGTCGTGGGTTCGGATCCTGGTCACTGCCAAAAACATTTTATCAGTACAGATCACCTTTATACTGTACCGGCTCACTCCTTGCTTTGCTGTATACAATCCACGCACGGGCGGTTAGTAAAAAAAAACATTGATCAAGATTTAACAGTGAGTCATCCCATCTGTAAACACTTATCTATACCTTTTAAAGAAGTCAAATACCCGATTGTGATTATCATATTCGAAGGTGTTCTAACTACTGTATATGTATTCTTTTGTGCGAACTGTAAATGTTAACATTTCAGTACAACATATGTCAAACAGATGTAAATAACAAACAATAGCAATGGCTACCACTGAACTCAATTTCAATTCAATTCCAATTTCAATATTTGTCATGAGAGCCGAAGCCCCCTGACTACATACCCGGTACCTATCGTGAGACTTACCCGGGCCCCATGATGTAGGCCGAAGCTTACGCATCAACCTTTTGCACATCATGGGCGGATGACTTAAGGTCATCAGGCTCACCGGCTGCCGAAGCAGACCCTTCGGAAAGAGGGTTGCCCCTCAATCCTAACCAGGGTTTCCGGCTACTTGTTTAAGCGTCACTCCACCTGGGTTCCACTAGGTCGGGACCTAGAGGACCATGGTAGAGCGCCCCGACGCATTTAGTGCAAGCAACACTCGGGACCTATCTAATCCCTGACAGGCAAACCCGCCATCAATAGCCAGAAGGAAGGGGACCGTCAGCACGCTGAACCCCAACCTCCCATTTACACCACTACCCGATCGAGTTCACTACCACTGAACTGACTGAACTCTTCATTACTCCCCTCCCCTGTCGCCGGTAGTTATGCTGGTCTCTAGCGGTCACTGCTGCAAGCACAGATAGGCGGGCCACGAGCAGGAGCTCGAGTCGGACTGAATCAACGCAAACTCGCACCAACTATCACTGGCTGCCACTTTGCGCATGATTCGTGATAAATAATTCATATTATGCTACCAATTTTTTCTTCATATCTATTATTTTGGGGGGGGGGACAGGCCCCCTAGTTTCCCCCCCCCCCTTATGTTCGCCCCTGATATAAATGTGTGATAGATCACACCTTTGTTCAGCAAACTCTCGATCTCAACTAGTATACTTCATGTAAATAACTGAATATGAAGCCTCAGACCAAATTGTATAAGAGATAGCCTAAAATCACTCAATATCAGTAACACGCAAGTCTGTAATGGGATAATGAAATGAAACAAGGTAGTATCTACTCAAAAAGCCACAAGACAGAAGCACTTTACAAAACTAATCCACGTCAACTACATTCTTAAAAAATTAAGTGACCTTCTTAACCACTGCAACTACTCCAGTCTCGTATACACTTTAATTGTACAGCAACGCCTCAATGTACAATTTTTTTAAAGTTACAATGGCTGTAATAAAGATTAATGTTTTAACGGGTAGCTAACAATTGAAAAAACTAATAAAAAAGTAAAACTCTATAACATTCCCTTCTTATTAGTACTTGATATTTTTGATCCCAGAACTCATTCATGTTTGTCCAGTCCTACACATTCATGACATATTTAATCAAAATCAGGCCAAAATTGCTCAAGTTATCGTGTTCACAGAAACACACATAATATATAAATATATCTTAGCATTTCAACCTATATCTAGAGATGTATATGCATTGTAACGAAAAGTGTTTTTGATTTCTGGGGCCATCAAATTAAAAAGTTAATCGGTCCCAGGTTTTGTTCTTATCGTACCACCTACGGTAATAGCTTACTCCCTACATGGGAAATTCCCTAAATCTACGAATAGATTCTTTGAAAAATTATACTTAAAGACAAGGTTAAAAACTTAAAAGTAACTTACCTTTCAGAGTCTGAAGATGAGTCTGAAATAATGATAGAAGTAGAACTACTCGTGGATGAATCTGAATCATCATCTGAATCCTCCATCTCGACATTGTTTTCTCTGTACTTCTGAACATCTAAAGGCAGATCTTCTACCATTGAACACTCATCATCATCATCACTTCCATATTGCAGAAGCTGAGATAATGAGTAGTTGCTTGACACAATGTTGTCTGATTGAGGAATTGCATTACTGTTTGAAATTACAATTGAGTTGTCTGATAAGGCAATCAACTCTTTAGCAGCTTGGTTAAGATTGGCAAAATGTTGCAGAGGCGTAGGCCTACTCTTCCTCTGGTCCCAATCAAATTCGTTTGGATCCGGAACAATATTAAAGTAATCAACAGGCTGAGAGTTGTCTCCTTGTACTAGTTCATTTCCGATATCTACAGAATGTATAACATTCTCATTTGGTGGTATTCCTACTGAAGTATCAAGAATGGTTTTATTATCAATATCAATAGAATTTTGTTCCATTGTGATGTTCTCCTTTGCAAAACTGACCATATTGGTGGTCGCTTTAGATGCATGATTCTTTTCTTTGTTTTCAAAATTCAGCTTGGATTTTAAACATTTATCTTCCTTCTGTGTACAGGCAAAGTTTTCATTTAACTCATTTGAACACCTTTCCTCACCAGGGAATATATTTGAATCTTTTTCGGTGGTAGCACACACATTTTTGCAGAGGCCAAGTAAGACTTTTTGATTTACACCCTCATTTACAATCATAGACTCATCAGAATTATTTCGGGGATCAGTAGCATGCGTCTTAATATTGTTTTGCAACTTGTTGCAGCCACCCTTGTCATTAACGACACTCTCTTCATCGGGAACATCACACACTATTAATTCATTGCTGTTCATATTGATTAACTCAACATTACTCATTTAAATACTGAGGTGTTGAAAGCTTCAACTACTGCTGTAATTCTCACTTGGTAAAAGGTAGATTTTAAATTTTGGACCAAACATAATGTAACCTGAAACAAATATTAATAATGTAAGCTATATAAGTTATTTAATAAGTGGACTGAAGTAAAAAAACTCTTGTTATTTTAGCTTTTAGTAGGCCTAGGCCTACCTAAACACTTAATTATTTTGGTTACTAAACACATTTGGCAGGCCTAAATAGACATTTGACATAGATACTAGACATTTGTAAACAAGGATTCTGTGAAAATTGCTGTTGGCAACAATAAATATAGTTAGCTAGTCAGTTTAGATTTATAGTAGCCTAGACCACTGTTTCCCAATCTGTGGTAGGTGTACCAATAGTGGTACACAGAGTAGTGTGGTGCGTACAAATTCAAGTTGTGAAATAAAAGTTTAGTTTCTAAGAGTGTGGAAAAGTTACAATTGGTATATAGAAGAAAACAAAAAAAATAGTTTTGAATTTGGAGTTTGTGCTCAATTACCCACAAATTTGCAAAAAAATAAAAACAAATTTTTTTGTAGCCTACATGCTAAATCCCTACAGCAAAAAACCTTATTATAAATTATTTATCTTGGAGTATTTTTTTCTGATCAATCCATGAAAATTAAGCAAAATTATGGTTTTTGGACACATTTCATATCATTGGAAAAATCATGTGAGGCATAATATTTGTTTATTTTGAGTTGTGAGCTAATTGGTGTAGAGTACTCTGCAATAAAGCAGGGGGGTCCGGGGGTCCAAAAAGCCGTTTGGTGACTATTTCTAAAGCCATTTTTAACACCTAAAACTGTGCCCAATTGTCCACAAACTCCCATTTCACCTGTTGTTTGTCATGAGCAAGTAGACCTTTTAAAAATTAAACTATGACATATGCATTCATGAATTTCAAAACACACTGTAGACTACCGCCATATCCCCCTAAAAGCTGTTTGATAACTTTCTAAAGCCAATTTAAACATTTGGAACTGTGTGCAAAACCTCTCATTTCCCCATTTATTTGTCATGAACAAGTAGACATTTCTAAACTAACTATGACGAATGCATTCATAAATCTCAAAACATATTGTAGGCCATATCCTCCTAAAAAGCTGTTTACTGATTTTTTAAAGCCATTATTATATAGTCTATATCTGTGTCCAACTGTCCAAAAACCTCCCGTTTCACCTTTTATATGTCATGCAAGCTAGTAGACACGTTTTTTAACCTTAAGTGTTTCTCCATTTCATACATCTGTCACAATATGTATAGTATCAAATTCAGTGGCCTAATAGCATTGACTATATAAACTTAAACACTAGTGTTTGTATAGTCAATGGTAATATTCTACTGGTGCTACCGCTGATGACCGATGCCTGTGTAGGTTAGTAAGTACAGTTCAGCCAAAACTTCTGTGCGGTCGCTACTAGCCGAACTAAAACATACGGGTACCGGTTATTGGCAGTGCTGGGGGTAGGGTGAGTGAGTAGCAAGACACACATGTTTTCACAAAGTAGGCCTACCCCCTCCAACCCCCTCGCCTAGACCCGACCGGATTTGGTCGCGCGCACAGAAACTTGGCCGAACTGTAGCTAGTAGGGGTGTGTGATGCATCGAATCACAATTCGATTCAGTGGTGATCAAAAAATTATTCGTTCATGAGGGAGTCAGTATCCATATATAGGCCTACAAAAAACGCCTGCAGAAAGTCAGTGCAATACCCGCAATACAGGAGCGCGTTGTTGCGTTTTCTTTGCAAAGGCGTTCTTATTTAATGAATTCTTTGCTTGTAAATATTACTTTAATTGTTTTTATAATTTTTTGTTTTACATTACAAATTATGAAAAGTTTTGTTAAGTGCAAACAGTACGAGACATGTTTTACTACTGTAAACATAGTCCAAACAAGTCACTCCAAAATAATTCTTAAAATATAGCCTAAAAGTCTGAAAAATTGTTACTTGATACTTAGTAAGATTGATGTTTTAGATTAGATTATTAAGTACCTGAAGCACGCTGCTGAATTACGAATCAGCAATAATTATTCAAATTATTTAACTTAGGACATATCTGCAATCAATGACACGTAATTCCATTTTGATTTTAGTTATTTAATATGTCTTGGTCTCAAAATAGTCCTAGAAATAAAGACGTTCACATGAGATATATATTGTTTTCAGTTCATAGCTACCTCTAATAGGCCTACATATACTGTATTAGGGTACTCAACCAAAAAACATAAATTTGATAATGCCTCGAATAAGGAATTTAATTTTAGATATATTTACACAATTCTAACCCCCTCACTACCAAATGGTAGTGCTAAACCAGCGACGCAACAAAGTGACATCCACCATAGCTGCCTCAGTCCATGTCTCGTCGCTTTGTCGCGCCACTCAGTGTGGACACACATTTTGTCGCTGACAGCAGCAACCGTTGGTTTTGTCGCTGTTGCCCTTAGCTAAAACGGGGCCTTAGCCTACATGGTTGAAACGCTGAATATGTTTGGGAGTTGACCACGTTGTTGAACTGGACGAATAGGCCTAGGCCACTGCCAAAGGGTGTCTACCAGATTTCTCAAATGGAATTCCCGACTTTTTCCCGACTTTTCATTACCATTTTTATATAAATCCCGACCAAAAACTCAGTCCATTCTCCATGTTACTACACCTTTTTCCGTCTCGCGGTCACGGTACCTTCGTCAACATATGTTGTCACTTACGACCCAGCGAAATCACTGACGATCGAAACGTATCACATGCCAAGAAAATCCCGTATTAAATGTAGGGGTGTGTGAAGCAGCAAAACATTTCAACTCAAAGCAACGATTCGATTAAAAAAAAAAAATGTTGATGTAACTCGATTCGAAGCAACATGGAATTTTTCTATTCATACTTCTCAGTGGAGTGAAATATCTGTTTTCAATCATACATTAGAAGAACCAGTATTTCTGGAAATATCAGTGAGCTTCTTGCCTATTTCATATTTTTTACTTGCAGCATCATGTTGTAATGTTACCTATTTTATTTTATTCATTTTATAAATAACGATATGTTTGGGTGTAAACAAATAAAAACCTTTGTAAGATTTAAATACTGAATCTTTCAATTGGTTTACATTGATAAAATAAGAGGATAGAATCAGAACTACAAGGTATACATAACTTCTTGTATGGCGAAGCAATGTCTCAGTGTATGCCATGTACTTGGATGGTAATAACCTGTATGGCTAAGCAATGTCACAGTGTATGCCATGTACTTGGATGGCAATAACCTGTATGGCTAAGCAATGTCTCAGTGTATTCCATGTACTTGGATGGTAATAACTTGTATGGCTAAGCAATGTCTCAGTGTATGCCATGTACTTGGATGGTAATAACTTGTATGGCTAAGCAATGTCTCAGTGTATGCCATGTACTTGGATGGCAATAACCTGTATGGCTAAGCAATGTCTCAGTGTACAGAACTACACTGTTTTACAGAACTACAATTTAGAACATTTTTTTTGTTTGTAATTTTTTTTTTTCATTTTAAGTGTTTAATTTTAAGTTAAGTTTTAATGTTAAATATTTTATGTATGGATCTGTAATTTTGACAATGCACCTATTCTAAATGTAATGACATGTATGGAATGTTTTGTGCAAATAAAGTATGTCTATGTCTATGTATGCCATGTACTTGGATGGTAATAACTTGTATGGCTAAGCAATGTCTCATCTCAATGAATAGCTTATATAATTAATGTCAATCATTTGAATAATGTCAATAAGTTATATATGGATGCTGATAGTCAAAGTAACAGTATCAATGTAACAGTCAACTACGTATATGGATACTGATTCAATGACGTATAGCCCTCCCAGTGTTACTTGACGAAAATTCGGCAAGCACCACACTTTGTATAGTGTTACTTGCCGATTTTTCGACAAGCAGACATCGTTTACGGCGAAGGCTCTATAACTGACTGAATCGGATTGAACTGGATCGAGTTAGGTATCGTTCTTTCCGTTACATTCTAAGCTGTCTCCAGATGTCTGTCTCTAAGCGCTATTCATTTTAGTTCTGAAAATATTGTAGCAGACAGCTGACGTGCGTGTATTTGTAAACAGCTAGGTTCCCCCGGACCGATGACTGATGTGTTTTATTACGTTTATCATTGTTTTAGTGTTAAAAATCAAAAGTAGTGATATACGTGGTGCATTATAAGAAGATTTAAGTGGTTTTGAAGTGCTGGTTGATGATCCTGAAGAAGTAGGTAGTGATATTGATGTAAATTATCAGCCAGATTCCTAGCTATGGTTAGGCTATGCATTCTTAGCTAAACGCTATGTACTGAAATCAGTTTTTTGCCCATAACTTATTTATTTGCAAATATACTTCCTTATATTATTATATATTTGTAATCCTCATAAAATTTAGAACAAAGTGGCTATTTTCAAATATTTATAGGCCTATAATTTATACAATTTCATTAGGCGCGAACTTATTTTTTTTTTGAAAATTTTCGAAATTATATTTTTTTTACCTTAAAATTTTTTTTTTTTGAAAAAATGTTCCTTATGTTTTATATATAATATTGAAGCCCATGATTTTCCAAACAAAATGGTATATAGAACATTAGAATTAACATTGTTTTAAGCTTCTCAGATCCGTTTTAATAAAACCTTGCAAATGCGCCAAAAATAGGTGGACATTAAGGCCTAAACTATGGACACTTGGAGGGATAGACACTGATTCAAAAAGTTATTTGGATAATGATTTAATAACGTATATGGATACTGATTCAATACCGGTACCGTATATAGATACTGATTCCATAACGTATGGATGCTGATTCAAAAACGTGGACACTGAATTCCCATGATTCAAATCGTTATTTTGATCATCACTGAATCGAATTGGAATTCAGATGCATTTTCGTTTCATCCCCCACCCCTCAAATGTAATCCCGTCCCAATGATCAGGAATATAAGATCCAGAACATTTTTTTAAAGTTTTGGGACCCGTTCATCCCTAATTTTGAAAGGTTAGATTATTCCCGACTTTCGGCCGAAATTCATAACTTGTTCACAACTTTTCCCGACCTTTCAAAATCCCCGACTTTTCCCCGAATTTCCCGGAATTCCTGACTGGTAGACACCCTGTGCCAAATATGTTAATTTATGACCAGGAGACTTGTCTCCCCAAAATCAAGGGTGTTGAAGTTAGCATGGAATTCAACTAGGCCTAAGTTAAGTTAGGTGTACGGTACTAGCAAGACAAATGTAGCCTAAGACACGCAAGCTATTTAAAAAGAAACCCCCATTTTTGCCAACTGCCGAATACAGAAGACATATCAGAATAGGCCTAGCTTAGCCTACAGACTAATCAAATCAATATTTTCAATCGATAGTCACGTAAACTTAGCCAATTGAAACTGTACCCAGCTAAGTTAAACCACAGACTAATAAACACAAGTAGGCTAGACTTCTCATAAGTTACCATTGTAAATTTTGAAAGACGTTTTTCGTGTCTAATTCATGTACGGTGACACTGGGCGCTAGTGTTGAGGAAATTTTGTTTCTATTATTTTAGGGTTACCGGTAATTTCTTGATTTGTGCTTTAAGTTACTGTTCGTTTATAGAACTAGGGGACTTGTTATTGTTTATGATTAGATCGTATTATTTGGTTGAATGAGATTCTAAATGACTGTAATAACGGGATAACAAATTGTAAACAAAACACGACCTCTACATAAACCCTCTACAGTACATAAACCTTACAGAGCAAACAGTAAAATTGTCTTCAGTTGTTCCTTAAGGATGAGAAATCTAAGCCTACTATGGGAGTATGTTTTATCTAAGCTTACCTATAGTTAAACTTGCACAACTTATAATTTAAAAATTAGCCTACAGTAGGCTATATTCAATACCTACTATAACTTAGTTAAGGAAATTGGCTAGGCCTATAAGTAGGAACAACATACAATTTCCCCTAAACAACAAGTTTATTTTTCCTAGCTCGGTCACTACTGTTAGAGACCTTAATGATCAGTAAAACCATGTCAAAAAGTTTAGGCTAGGCCTAGGCTTACTGTAGACCAACCACTTGCCAATTAGATACAACTTTGTTTAATTTAACAGTCATACCTGTAACATACTTTCCGGGAAAATCTGTGTCACACACAATCACAATTAGGTATACACAAATTAGGAAATTTATTTCAGTTTTCAGTTGTTTGATGATGTGATGTTGAAAAAAATAATAAAGAAATCGCATCACGTGGTCTGGGTTTGGATTGGACTAGTCTCTCGTCTCTCCCTCTCGGTCTCGGTCTCTGTCTCTGTCTGTCTGTGTGTGTACTGTGTATTATTTATTGTATTCTCTCTGTAATCTGTTCAGGTTCGTCTCTGTCTCTGTCACTGTCAGTTCAGTCAGTCTGACTGTCTGTTGTGTCCAACCAAGGACCGAGAAAAACGAAACGAAATAAAAAATACCCCCACCGCAGCAAACCTGCAGACTAAGCGAATTTCCATTTGTCTGATTGGATTTACACTAAAATGCCTCCTGAAAAATATTATATTTATTCCCTATTTATATAGAACTAGCTGTAACCCGCGGGCTTTGCCCCGTTTAACTTCTTAATTTTCAAGATTATCTCGTTCGCATGGCTCAATCACGTCCTGGTTGAAGTTTGTTCGCTACGCTCACTCACCTTTAGGTTAGAGCTCGTTCGCTGCGCTCACTTGCCTTCAGGTTAGCTCGTTCGCTACGCTAACTCGCCTCCAGGTTGAAGTTCGTTCGCTACGCTCACTCACCTTTTGGTTGCAAATTAGCTGTTGTCATAAAAATGTAAAAGAAATAATAGTGTTGCACCCTGTTGGTAATCCTTGTAACTTTAATGCTATTGAACATCATAGAACAGAACCAACTTGTTTAATTGAAACAGCTGTTAAGATTCAATAATTCCATTTCTCATAAGGTTAACATGGGAAACTCCAGAGCCACTGGGGCGGAGCCCGAAAGGATTTTTGAAATAAGAATATGCCTATATGTTAATCGGGAATGTGAGCTATCATCATGCCAAATTTCAGCCCAATCCGACCAGTATTTTTCGCGTTCACTTGTCACAAACATACATCCATACAAACATCCAAACTTTCTCATTTATAATATTATTAGTAGGATTAGTTTAACGAGTAGGTACTTAGGTTTGCTGCAACAGGGAGGGTAAAAAGGTGTTTTGTTGTAAAATGTTAATAGTTTAGTAAGACATTTTTAGGCAATTGGAAATTCGCTTAGTCTGCAGGTTTGCTGCGGCGGGGGTATTTATTTATTTATTTAATTTATTTATTTAACTGGAACTGCAACGGGAACGGGTTGTGACGTGAGAATAGTCACTTCGTAATCTTCGTATGACAAATAAAAGTTGTCAGCAGTTGTTTAACCTGATGATCCCTGCTTGTCTTTTTCTTTTATTTATCTCTCAGCTGTTGTAGTTAGTTTAGTTTGTGTTTGTCAGCAAAAACAAAATATCAGATGTGTCCTTCTTGTCAGTCAGAGGTCGTCTGTGGATTGTGGAATTGCGGTTGTTTCTGCTTTGGGGATATCTAACCCATACAGTATCCTAAAGGTTATTTGAAGTACCTAGAGTAGGTTGAATAATAGGGATATTCCAAGTCCAAATATTATCATAATATTCAGCTCAATTAAGTTGGTAAGTAAACTGGCATCTATAAAATATAATCGTTAATAAAAAATAAAATACAGAGGTTTGTATAATTTAACCGGGTTGCTTCTGTAGTGAAAGAGGCAGTAAGCCCAAAGTGTTTTTGCTTGATGACCAAAACTACATACATGCTAAGACATTTCCTATGACACCTTGGACGTGGTGATAGCTGGTAGCACCACACCACCGCTCCAAAACAGTTATGACACAAATATTCCTAGCATATTAAATATATAGAGATTTAAGTAGGCCTATTGTTCTATGCCTGATGGTTACTGGGAATATCCCTAAAAAGTGTAAATTAAAATTCCCATGTTATTCTTTATTGAGAAAAAGACAGACTGTTTTAGTTTGCTTGTTTATGGGTATTACTCATTATAATTGAATTTGGCATATTTGTTTATTCCATCTCATACTAGGCCTAATTTCATCAAAAAACACACCTTATAAGTTAACCTTCTCTATAGCAGCAAACCTTAGGCTACCTACTCATTCAAATTAATGTTATTTATAACTAGCAGAGTACCCGTTCTTCGTACGGGGTTGGCATATAAGTGTAAAATGCTTAACTTATTGCAGTTATACTCTAACTTAGCGTTTGCAAAGGGGAAGGACACAGTTTGATAAAATTTGCTTCTTTAAATTTATGGTATACTATAGTATTTCACATCTCTACCATAGTCATAATGTTCTACCACTTCACCTAAACAATAGAGAAAAATGAATTATTAAAAATTCGCAAAATATCACAAATTATTCATGTGATTAAAAACATAAACATAACACACACCAAAAACAGCAATCCAAGACAAACCCTAGAACCATCATATTTTAACTAAAATGTTTCATACTAAACTACTAACATTTTACAAAAAACACCTTTTTACCCTACCTGTTGTAGCAAACCTAAGTACTCGTACAAAAAAAAATATGAGATTATCCGCTTCCCGTCCGGAGCATCAAAAACCATATGCAGATATATCCGTCACCCGTCCTTTATCACCAAAGACTTATGCGGATATATCCGTCACCCGTCCGGGAAGGGTTAATAAACCAGTATTTATTCACAAACAATTATATGTTTGTTGCCTTAAGCAGAATTAAACCTATGGAGTGGTTCAAATTATTTATTGAAAATAACATAAAAAAAGCACACAAAGACCATCAACAAACTGTTTTTTACACTAGATATGGTGTACAGGGATATCTATTCTGACACATAAATAATATATTTCTGAGTGTGTTTGGATATTAGAATAATTTGTTTTAAACATTATAGAGCTCTTTAGGGGCTTATGTCCCTACAAGCCACTAGTCTATATATTAATTTCATAAGGCGATTCTTTGCGTCAAAATTGTGGGCAAATGGGGTGTCGTAGAACGACGGGAGAGGGCTAAAATTAAAGGTCTCTACCCCGTGACGGCAGGAAAAACAGTGGAATTCACAAAATGTTAACCGAAATTTAGATATAGGCTAATGCAAAATGTTCTCCATAAGAATAGCATTGGAAGCCATTGACAGCTGATTTTTGTTTAGGCCTACTTTAATTTAGTTGATCGCTGAAATATGAATGCATACTCATGAGGTTAACATGGGGAACTACAGAGCCACTAGGGCGGAGCCCGAAAGGATTTTTGAGATAAGAATACGCCTATATGTTAAGGAATATGAGCTATCATCATGCCAAATTTTAGTCCAATCCGTCCATTAGTTAATGCGTTTGATTGAACTTCAAACAAACAAACTTTTACATTTATAATATTAGTAAGATATGATTAGGAAACAAATGTGACAATATTTAAGGAAATATTTCAGTGGAAATCCGACCATACAAATAGAAATTCGCCTAGTCTGCAGGTTTGCTGCGGTTGGGTATTTATATAGTCTTTCAGTATAATTTACAAATGTTAAATTTTGGATAGAAATCATAGGCCTAACTTACATTTAATTGCTGTCAATAATATTAAAATACTGATTGAAACTGTATCAGCAAACACTTGCCAAGCATAATTTGAATGCATGATTAAAATAGTGTTAAAAGTTGAATGAACTGTCAATCGTATCCCTTGTCATAGGTTGGACATCTTATCAAACTATTAGTTTGCAGACATTTCGGCTAAACTTAATTTGTTAAATAATATCAGAAATATGACACAGTTAAGAGTGTGACATAACAATTCGATCTACATTACTTTAAAATTACGATGCAAAAGATAAAATACTATCAGTAACGTGTAAACATTGAATTATTGTAGTGATGGTGAATTATTTTTATGTATTTTTTGGACTTGTGTTTTTTATTCCGATCTCTACAGTATCTAGAAGCTTATGGTGCGAAGGTAGGTTTATTTTTGATCAATTCTAGCTGTGGAACATAATGATTGGTTCTTAAATGTTTAATTGACAGTTGTACTGTATTGTTTCAATTATTTACTTCCTAAATAGTTTAGTCTGGAATTGTAAAAAAAAAAATAATAAAATTTTATTACAGTACCTACCGTAAGTTACTGTATTAAATAAACATACCGTAACAGTTTTGTGTGTAAAAGTTGCTGTTCGAAGAGGAAGGCTGTTTGAAGGCCTTTAAACTTTTCAGATGATTAAAAAAGACTGTGTTAAAAAATCATCTTTCATAACAGAATAAAATAGAAAAAAACAATCATAACCTACACCCCTTTTACCCCAAACTTAAATGAATGAATGAAAATAGGGCCGGTGGGGCACACGGAAGATTTCTCAGGTGCCGTTTGACGTCACTAACTGCTGACTGACGTCACTAACTGCTGCGTCTGAAGAAACAGACTATTTTATAATTTTCTATTATTAAATTAAACTGTCATAACCTAACCAAACTAACCAAACGTGCTGATAATGGAAAAATCGAATAAAGGTTTACTAATCTAAAAAATAGTTTTGTTCATAAAATAAAATTATAATTGCCTAAAGTTCAATTTTATAATTTTTTAATTATAAAATTAAACTGTCATAACCTAACCAAACCAACCAAACTTGCTGATATGAAAAAAATGTTGATAAAAAGTAAGTGCCGCCGGCGGGATTCGAACCCGAAACATTCAAATTATCAGCCCGCAACGCTATCCACTGCACCATCGAGACCGATAGCCTTAACCGTATCGTTGCGGTATTGGTGTTCCCTCAAAGTGACGTCAGCAGTTAGTGACGTCAAACGGCACCTGAGAAATCTTCCGTGTGCCATTTCGAAATAGGGCTGCTTGTGTAATGTAAGCAAATTTAGGACCACATGGGCCAACATAATTAACTTTAACCAAATATTCTGATTAGAAGTTATACAATTGTAAACAAAAATGTCAATACACTAGAGGGTTTCATCATCATTGAAATAAACTTGCAATAATTAATTAATTACTTCTCTTAATTTTTACTTTATGATAACTGTGAACCCCCATTGGGCAGAACCTTGAGTCATCATTTATGAATATGAATAAGTATAATGTTTTTCTGATGTGTTACAAGTCATTCATGCAAAATTTAAAATCTCAAAAACTTTACCAGTCCAGTCCTATTGAGAAATTACGTCTCAACAATAAACCATCTAAATCAATACAAAAATACATAATTTTTAAGTTTATAATGTAGTAGCTTTAGCTAAGTTTATAATAGACATTAGGCATATTTATATCTGTTAAGATTCAGGGGCGGCTCCAGAGGGCAGGCCAGGTAGGCCTGGGCCTACCCAAAACTTTGGTAGATTTTTCAAAATTATAAATAAGTAAAGAAATTTAAGAATATGTAAATAAAGGGAAAGCATTCAAACTAATTATTTTGCACATATTTTAATTCTCCCTTTTTGCTGGGAAAGTCCTTCAAGCCTGTCGTCCCCCGATCAAACTCTTTCTTGATCCTTGTCAGGCCTACCCAAAAAAATATTCCTGGAGCCGCCCTTGTTAAGATTTTGTGTAGGCATGTACACCTTAATTAGCACAAAATTCATTGGACATAGCAAATCAAATTCATTTTTATTTACTGTTTTTGTAGCCTACACATATTAAAAGATGATATTTTTTGATTCGTTACTTCAAATCAAATTTAGAGTTACATTCTTGCCTTTGTTGACCTGTCACACATTTAGATATTGTAAACACTCTTGGTAATCTGCCAAATGATTTCTCAACTGAAGAAGGTGCCAACTTTTGTTTATCTTTTAGAGCCTTGAGTGCCTCAATCAAGTTCATTTAAATAAAATATTAAAATTCATTGTAGTAGCCCCGGAACTGTAACAATGACTAATATTGGTTTTATATTATCTGTCGTCAGTTCCAAATTGTAACTTCCGTAGATGCTACATGTTTTGGCGAGCTGCCATTGTCAAGCATACAGTCGAGGAATGTACATTCAAAAATCCGCTTGTATAGCTTCGTTGTTGGTTTACACACATGACACTTAACACACGACACATAAATAAATAATACTTTTTGTTGGATAGGCCTATCATGGGTACGAAACATTGCCGTTACACGACCGGGAACAGACATATGAGTTCCCTATAGAGAAGTGGCTATTACCGTAGGTCTCATGGTAAGACCTAGGCCTGGAACCAATTTACTTTTTCTTTTTGATGTCCTTAGAGGCCAAAAACACTATTTGTTAAAATGTTCATCTTACTAATATTATAAATGTGAAAGTTTGTGTATTTGTTTGTTTGTTTGTGTGTTTGAAGTTCAATCACGCATAAACCACTGGACGGATTGGGCTGAAATTTGGCATGATGATAGCTTACATTCCCGATTAACATATAGGCATATTCTTATCTCAAAAATCCTTTCGGGCTCCGGCCCAATGGCTCTGTAATTCCCCAGGTTAACCTTTAAGGGAATTAAAGAATGTAGTCAGCTGTTTCTACTAAAAAAGTTGGTTCTATGATATGCAAAAGCATTAAAAAGTTATAAGATTTACCAGCAGGGTGCAGCACTATTACTTTTTTGCATTTATGTAAACAGCTAATTTGAACTAAGCAGCAACAAAAAACTATGATACGCAATGAGGACTGTCAAAGTAGGATTGTTTAAAGTTATATGTTTTTAATGTCACGAATAATTTATGATTTTTTGCGAATTTTTAATAATTTATTTTTCTTTATTGTTTGGGTGAAGTGGTAGAACATGGCTATATGGTAGATGTGTAATACCATAGTATACCGTAAATTTAAAGAAGCTAATTTTATCAAACTGTGTCCTCCCCCATTTCAAACGCAAAGCATAATTATAACTTGCAATAAGCATTTTAAACTTATGCCAACCCCCTACGAAGGACGGGTACTCTGCTAGTATAAGGATGTGTGCCAGTGAATGCGATAACTTAAATAATTTTTGTCTGATTTTGGTAAAATTTGGTTTGAAGGTGTAAGGCGAGATAACGTAAACTTGGAAGACTTCGCAAACCAGGATGATCGGACCATGGGAACGGGGTTTAACGGGGGGTTTTATGGGGTATAAATGGGTTTTTCTCAGTTTTTGTCTTAAAACACAAAATTTATCAATTTTTCTCCAGCCCTTTTTAAAGAGCTTAAAAAAAATTTTTGTATATCAAAGTGTTTTGTACGGTTATTGGTTTATGAAGAAAATTCAAAAATTGTTCATTTAAAATTCCCATGTTATTCTTATGGAGAATATTGTTAAATGTTGTAGTTGGCTTGTTTATGGATATATTTTGATCAAATTTGGCAGATTTATTTATTTTACACTAAGCTATTATTATTTTAATAAAAAACACACTTTATTAGTTTCCCTGTAGCAGCAAACCTAGGTAGGCCTACTCGTTAAACATAAATGTTCATTAAATAGATTTGTTAGATATCAATTTCATCTAGTATAGCATATTATTTTTATTTCAACGCATATTTTTCCATTGCCCTGAGCTTTGGCCGTTTATCTTTCTACCCATGTCCGGCCAATAAGAATGGAATTTCCCGACCTTTGTACTTTTCCATCGTACGATGTTCGGCCGCGGCACAGTCCGCTACTACTCCTCTCGAGATTAAGTCACTTTTTCATGCAGCAATACGCTCACCGCTATAACCGTTTTATCATATATTTCTCTTCAAATCAAGTTCAACCCTCACTAGGCCATAAAAGATCGTTTTGTTTTGCTTTTTATAACAAGAAGTGAGTTTTAAGTTATTTTTTCGTGTACATAAACTATTTCTAAAGACTTAAAAAAGTGTGCAGTGCAATCCCGGACAGGACGACATGACGCCAGCAGGTGGGGTACCCCAGCCGTGAACACCTTTCTACAACTACAAGGTCGGTGGAAATCTATTTTAAATATAATAGAAGCTGAAGTCAATCATTATAAAATTGAACTATTTTTAATCTCATTTAATATAAAACAATCTTTTGAAAATAAGCTAATTATTGCTGGGTAGGCCTAAGAGCTCATTGCTCACGTTTTTATTACATCACAAGATTAATTGAAAATCAATCCAGGCAATGGAAATTCACTTAGTCGGCAGGTTTGCTGCAGCGGAGGTATTTAGAAAATTATGACTCCCTGTTAACTTTAATATTCCCCTTGTTAGAGTTTTCCTCTAATGAATGGTATTTATCAACATTATTGTTAAGGGAAAATATTGTTTTGCCTTTAATAATAATGTTTTAAAACTGCCAATCTAACATGTTATAGACTACTCCGTTCAAAAAAAATCTAGGTGGTTTGAGGGGAAGCGCTATCATCCCTTCCACCTCACCCTAACTTTAAAACACAGCTGATCAGCTGATTTAACAAAAGTGGTGGTGGAACCGAGGACACCTTTCCCTTAAACTGCCTAAATATTGTGAACGGACTATAGTAAAGCCTATCATTATTCATTTCATATGTTCAAGGGATTCGTTTGGATTTCTCTCAGAAGTATTAGGCCTACATTTTTTGTACAAAATGTTCCAATTATTGATCTAAATTCTCACCAATTCTCTATTCTTTGTATACTCAATTGCAATGATTTCTCAACAGTGGTGTTAGTGTTGTGTTCAGTATGTGAAATTACCTTAGCATTGCATCATCTCTAAACCTAGTCTAAATTTTACTGTTGGATTACAGTCTGATGAAATATCTGGACAAAGTTAGTAGAAAGTGTGGTGGAGCTTTCCATTCCCAGTGTTAGTTATTCTTCTGCAATCTACCAGTCAGTGTACTGCAATTCTTAAGTGATAATAGTGTTTTATATTTGTTAAGGTTTTTTATAATTAATTTTGCATATTAGTTTAATCAACTAATCAACTTAAATCAAGTTGTATCTATCACGACTAAATAATTTACACTTTTATGAGACTAGCTTATATTTTGTAAAACACTTCTTAAATTGTATAAGATAATTTTGTGACAAGGCGTAAAAAAATGTGTGTGCACGCGCATCCCCCCCTCCTCTCCTCCAATCAGCCAAATTGTGACGTAGCGTGTGAGACACAGCGGAGCGGTCTTATGCAGGAAACGCTAGTCCACTGACGATTCCTCACAAATATTCCATTGAGAGAGTATTAAAGGAGGGCCTTTCCACCACTCACCATGTGACATCATCAATATGATTTAAAAACGTTCGTTCATAGCTAAAGCTAAGCCACAATAAAATAAAACGTCTGTGTCTGTAATAGTGTCGATTAAAATAAATTATATAAGTATTAGTGATCTTTCTCTACTAAAAGCCACGTACTTGATATTTTTTTAGTAACTATATCTAGGGTCTATACCATTATTATTTATATAACACCGTGCTGGTGTGGTGTATATAACAGAAAATACCTGGTGTTTACGCTTTTACAGAATACCATTGGATCTATTTCTTATAATTAATGTTTTTGGTTTATAAAACACTTCATTCTTTAACACTAATACCGAAACCCTACCCAGGCTGACGCTAACCGAAACCCCCGGTCGGTGAGATCCCATTTAAAAAATAATGGACCCCGCTTATAAACACACAAACTGAAACCCTGGGCCTGTGAGACCCCGCTTTAAAATACACTAACGCTGGGCTTCTGAGACGGGCATGTTATGAACAGACAACCTGTCAAGGTCATGGCACCCACGCAAAATGAACAAAAAAATATATCAACAGTTAGGGTAGGAAAATGTGGGAAGGTATTGGGGGAATGGAATCCCCCAAGTAAACAGTGTTGCCAACATGTGTTTTTGAAAATTCCCGTGGGCCTGTCAGACCGGGGTTTTGGTATAAGTGTTAAAGAAAGTTAAATATAAAATTACTAACCTCTTTATTAAAATAGCAGCCGCATCAGTGATCATATCTTTCAATTCCAGCAAAATTTGTAATGATATTACACACTCGCGGGTCGCGGCAACATTTGTGATGATTTCCCCTTGAACGCGACAATAGCCGTGCGTGATTGTCGCTTGTGATCGTAGCAACGCCATAATAATTGCAGTAACGTTATACATTATCTCAGCATCCATACATTTCGTGTTGTAAATACAATCTTGTCAATTTATTTGTAACTATTTATTTTCCTCTAAGGCTACTTAAATGAGAGTTTTTCAATTATATAAAACGTAGCTGCAAAAAAAGTATTATATTAAAAACTACTTGTATATGGTCACCTAAAAATATATTGCCTGTTAGGCAGCCACGGTATACACTGATTTACTGTTTTTCGATTAAAAAGTTCTCACTATTAAATGTTATATACTACCATCATTGAAAATACTATATAACACTATGACTATATTCAATATTGAATACAACACTGTATTGGATGTATAATGCAAAATAGTGTTATATTCAATGCTAATTCGTGAGGAATGTAATTCAAAAGTCTTTGGGATATTACAAGTAAACATATGATTTGGTAAAATAAAACACGTTCATCTTGCACGTGGCGTAGCTGCACAAACTGGACGAATTTACGCCGCGCTATGCACACACCTTTTATAACGCCTTGATTTTGTGATAGGCCTACTTTGTTACTTGTAAGAATTCAAATCTTTTATCACTCTAGTATTCAAAGTCAATGATAGTATTAAATTAATCAAAGGTGAAGTGATAAAAGTTAGAATGTTGATGCCTTGAAATATTGTTAATGAAACAGAACAGTATGATAGCGTTCAAACTCTCTTGGCGTTTAAAAATACCTCAAAAAGCGTTGCTACAAAAAAGAGTCTTTGGTCTCTCTTGTGGTTTATCAGATAAATTTGATGAAAAAAATATTCACTATTTTTAGAATTTTATTCTAGTTGATCTTTTTTGTGTTATTTCCTTTCCATAATTAGGTATTGCTATATTTTTCAAGATCTTTGTGCTTTTTTGCAGATTTATAAAATATATTTCAAAAGAAAAGATCAGTTTCTGACTAATTTTGTTATTTCCAGATTGCTTTCCTCCACCTATCCGGAAAATAGACATGGACGAAGAGAAGAAACGTTTTATAGAGCGGGGCTCTCACAAAGGGAAGGGGATCGCCGTGTTCACCAGTGGTGGCGACTCTCAAGGTAGGCTCACAGTTTACGTACCTTGAAAAATAAGGTCAATAGCATTGAAAACATGATTTATTGTTATACTAGTGTACATGTTGCTCGAATTCGAGCAATTGCAAAGTATTACAGGAGTTATTTCAAAATGAATAACAGTCATATTTACAATGAGTTTAAAAGAGTCAAACTCAAAGATTACCGGTGTGTAACTCATGGAGATACTCACGATGTAGGCCTATATAACAGTAATCAACATTTCCTGTAATTATTGTATCATATTTCATAACCTGGTATTGCTTTTTAATGTTTTATACAAACATTTCCTGACTTATAGCCATAAGGTTGTCCGTGTTTATCTTTGTTATTGATAAACCTAAAGCATTCCGGCCGTTTTCTCCTTCTCAAAATGCTTCGCTGTACAGGCAACACAGGTCATTGATAGAGGGCCAATTGAGAACGAAAAGTCGTTTTGGGGTAGTGTTAGGGTGCGCATTTGTAACCAATAGTTGAGATTGTCCAGGGTCAGGTGCTGACTGTGATGAGTTAAACCTATTACGCGCCACTGTTCTGTAGCTGCGGTCGTTATCACGAGTACGCCTCCTGTCTATGTTTCGTTGTCGACGCGTCGGAGGCATTTAAAAGAAAAAAACAACAAATAAACAAATTATAGCTACACAAAACAACGATAAATGCACAAATTTAAGATACAACCATACTAACACGGTCCGTCTTAGAGGTTATGTTGACACAAACTCAAGTAGTAAATAAATGTACTCAATGTGTTTCATTGAATTGAAAAATAAATAACAGCCGTCCACGACAATCCAGCTCAAGCTACAGCAAATTTGCAGCTAAACTTGGATGAAATTTCTCATTGATTTAAAACATGGAGGTTCAAAATTAATGAAAATAAATCAGCACACATTACTTTTACCTTAAATCAGGCTACATGTCCTCCAGTATCCATGAACAATATTCACCTCCCTCAAGTAACGGAAATAAAATACTTGGGCATGCACTTAGATGCAAAGCTTAATTGGAAGGCACATATCTGGACTAAAAGGCAACAACTAAATTTAAAAACAACTAAACTTAATTGGCTTCTTGGATCTAAATCAAAACTCAGTACACAAAATAAATTGTTACTGTACAAAACAGTTTTAAAACCAATTTGGACTTATGGTATTCAGCTTTGGGGATCAGCAAGTACCTCAAACATTGAAATTATTCAACGTTACCAATCAAAATTATTACGTAAAATTGTCAACGCTCCTTGGTTTGTTACCAACAGAACACTTCACAATGATCTTCAAATTCGAACAGTAAAAGAAGAAATTACAAAATATAGTGAAAAATACATTATAAAATTGGAAAATCATTCAAATCATCTTGCACTTAATTTATTGGACAATCACAACACCATTTACAGACTGAAGCGACATACGATATTGGACCTACCATTCAGATTCGGCTAAGTGTTATCAAAATTCTCTTTGTTTGCTAGTGTTGACGGTGGTCAATCACTAGCTCATATTCTTCAAGTTATTTTTGTATGTATTACTATTTATATCATTTGCTTATTGTTCAACTTGAACAGATTGTAAATTAAATAAAGTTAAAAAAAAAAAAAAAAAAAATTAAATTATACAGCTGATCAAAATGTAAACAATTATGTTCTTCATAAGGATAACATGAAAACTTTCAAAGCCACTGGGGCAGAGCCCAAGGCACTTAAAAAAGAATGTAAGGCCAGTTTGCAAATCTACGCGACACGGTCTTTCCAATGAGACGTCAATGGATGAAATCGGTTAAGAAATGGCGGAGGAGTTCAACCGACAAAGTTTCATGTAGCGTATTAATTATATAGATTTAGTTTTTATTGTCTCTTAGTTATTGCATATTATTGGTTCTTAATTTAATCATAAGATAAGAATGCCCTTTTACCTTAAATGATATGCCATATTTGGAACCTCCCAGTCCTAGAACAATTGTATCATGGATTTTAATAAACTAGATCAGATTAGCCAAATATAAACAATTAACTGTCTAATATTACTTTTGTCTTCTGGCTCTGTTTGAGTATGGTACTGTACAAATTTTAGGTTTTAAAATTAGCGTAATACATTTTAGGTATGAATGCTGCTGTGAGAGCAGTTGTGCGAATGGGGATATATCTTGGATGCAAGGTGTTCTTCATCAAAGAAGGCTACCAAGGAATGGTGGATGGAGGGCCAAATATAGTTGAGGCTAACTGGTCTTCTGTTTCCTCAATCATTCATAAGGTAAGATTGGATGAGTTTTGGATCTACTGTTTGTGTTATGACTTGTTATCATATTTAGGCCTAGGCCAACTTAGAGTATAGAATTCCTTTACACTACCATAATACCACATTCATGAAAGAAGATAAGTGTAGGATGAAGGTAAATAAGTAAACCACATTGGCAAACATTTTTACCATGGATAAAGTAAAATTAAATTAAGGTTTAAAAAAATTGATTGAATGAAATTGTGACGCCTGAAAAAGATTAAAGATTTAATATTTGTATGGTCGAATGAAAATATTGTTGATATGAAAATATAAGTAGAACTGAAACTTATTGGCTGTTCCCTGCTTGCTATTCCTCATCATCCCTATCATTGCCTTTCTCTAAGGAAATTGTTAAATTGCAGAACACAAAGCAGCAAAAAAATATGTAGCATCAGTATTTTTTTATATACAAATTTATATTATAATACATATTTTTTTTCAAGTCTGGGAATGCTGTTTAGTATCCTACTGCTTCAAATAAAACTGTTGATGCAATAATACTATGAATAGAGCCTGAATTTTGGAAAGATTCAGCCAAAATAACTCATTCTCATTTCACTTTCCTTTATGTAGTGGGATCCATTAACTCCACGAATAAGTTTCCTTACTCTGATACCCGTCCTTTTAAATTTGTGAATCTATATTGCTTGAGTTGGGAATAACAAGTCAATGGTAAAAGGCAAACTTGAACTTTATTTTCAAAATTAAATTACAATCAATTTTTCAAAGATTATTAAGTGATTCTAGACCCACAAGCCATTTGTATTGGGCATACATTTCTCTTTATCAGCATTCCAATGATAAAAAAGTGGCATTTAATTCAATGAGTTTTTGAAGATTTTCTTCCCCAAATTGGTTTATTAATTGACAAAGCTCGAATCTAATCGAAGCTGCAGATTCAACAATGATTCTGATCACTCATTTTATTATCTCCTAGACTGTTTTAGTAACATAGATGTAGCAATAAAAGACAATGAACAAAATGAAATGAGAAGCCTAAATCCATTATGAATAAAAAAAACAAGTTAAAAAATAATTCTTAATTTTAAACAAAATATATAATTCACAATTCTTTATTAATTTATTTGTGTATTTTCTATGTATTTTCCTTGTAACTCTGCAACAATGGGGTTATCCAAACTATCCTTGTTAAGTGCCTAATTGATATTGTGCCTAATTGATTTGGTAATCAGTAGTATGCACAGAATATTTGAGAGCATCTAGGACTCTGATGATTAGCAATTAAATTGGTAAATAAACCAAATGATATTTTCTTGTAGGTTATAAATAAAATATTGAGAATATTTCTATAGAAAGATTCAATAAAAACCTACATTTATTCAATAGATTTATAAGAAAACACTGTATCTTTAATTTATAAAACACTTTTGTACTAAAAACTGCATGATTTAGTAAAAAGTAACTGAAAAATGTGGACTGGTAAAATCTCAGTGGTAAGTCAAAATAACCAATTGATGACCATATTCAACAAAAGGTTGGGAGTAACAATACCAGAGTTTGGACTGTTCCCTTACAGTAATATAACAAATGCCAATCATATTGATAAACACAAAATATTAAAAAAATCTACCAAACTCGTCGATCAGCAATAAAGTGTTATGATTGATCATAGATTCATAAGGGTTTAAAAACCGAGTAAACCAGGTTTAGAAGGAAAGATTGTAAAAGTCAAACTAATTAGAGCTAGGCGCTAGGCCTATGCATATACTTACAGAGATTAAAATTTTCAAAGTTAACATCAAAAGTAAAAAAATTAAACATAATTTACATTACTTTTTCCATGTGCTTTTTATAGGGAGGAACTGTCATTGGGTCTGCCCGTTGTGCTGATTTCCGAGAACGCAGTGGGCGTGAGAAGGCAGCAAAAAACTTGATTGAGAAAGGAATTACAAACCTGGTTGTGATTGGAGGAGACGGGTCTCTCACTGGTGCAAATCTGTTCCGTCAAGAATGGCCAAGTCTGCTGGACTCATTGCTGGAAAGCGGTTAGTATTTAATGGTTGTTTTCAAACATTTTTCAAATTTATTGGTTAATATTTTGTTATTAAAGCGCAAAATTATATTTGAATATAGTTAGCTATTTGTATTTGTAATGTTCTTGGCGATGCCAATTCTTAGATGCTTAGGCTTAAATGCTTAAAGGTAAATAAACTTCTCATTCTCAATGAAAGATGTCTTCTAACACTTTTTAATGTACCTACGTATTTGTAATATGGTAATACTGTAAGATTTACAGGATGGTAAATGTATAAAATTTACTATTGAGATCACTATATAACAAGTTACAATGGCTACCCTTTGTAAATCTACCATCTTGTAAATGTTAACAGTAAAAGTGTAGAAACATGAACAAGTATCAGAAGACATGCTTTATTATACTCCTGCAGACTTATAAAAGAGTGATGAGTCAGTTTTTACACTAGTCTGTTAAATTTCAAAGGATGTTTCAACGATTCAAATTTCATTGTGTCCAATCAATTTTCAGTTATACCACAAGTTGAGTATTAAAAATTGTGTGAAAATATTGACATATTTTTTTCTTGAGTAATTCTCTATATTAAAAATACCAACCATACCTCTTAAAATTTAAAATGTTAATCTATTTATTTTTTGGAAACTATAAATGAATATAAAACAGAGTACAGCAAAAAACCATGCCATGCAAGTTTTCATCGTAATTTTTCCGCCTTGTGATTTATTATGTACCATGGGATTCAGACGTTGAACATTAACAGACACTTCTATTTAGGTACAGTGCATGCAAGGCAACTGTGACCTGATATCAGTACAAGTTAAAGATAACAACATTGACTTTGTGAAGTAACAGTTTCAATTATCAGTTTCATTGGGCAATGTCAAGAGTAGACTGACATTAGAGTTCAAAGACTGTGTTGTTTCTTTTGCTCATAAATTCCTAGTTTGAACATGTGAAAATTGCATGAAAATTTTTAAGGATTATAAATCAATGAACTAACTAGCCTATCTGATTTGTTGCCTTATTCTAATTTGAAATATTACTTTGTCTTTGAAAGTACGGTATTTATGCATATATGCCAAAGATTTTGGTATACCAGTAAGATTAAAACAACGTTTTAAATGGCCTATGCCATTCATTTAAAATTCCCTAATGTTCAATTAAATAAACGGTATCAGCAATCTGACACACTGTTTCTCCCATTAGCTTGTCAACAACCTTTATCATGGGTAAGCAATGAGAGTAACTATAATTTTTACATTTTCGCACTATTTTGTTTAGAATTATAATAACCATAATAGAAAAACTTCAAAAATCAAAATTATGTTTTTTTAAATCAGATTTTCCGCTTTTCATGGGGTTTTATGGGAAAATAATTTAAGTTACAATAATTTTTAAACCATAATTTTTACAGGAATGGGGGGTTGCACTATTTGTAAAAAAAAATAATGTAGCAAGTGTTCAGCAAACTGTGCCTTAACCCTTTGCGGTTGAATCATGAGTATAGGTCGTCGCCCGTCATTTTCCAGACTGCTCAAAATGGCAACATATACTCACAAAAAAAAAATCAACCTAAACAAAAAATTAAAAAAATAAAAAAGTTACCTTTGCGATCGAATGGCGGGTATAGGTCGCCGTGCGCCATTTTCCCGACTGCTCGAATGGCGACCTATGCTCGCAGAAAAAATAAAAAAATCTACCTCAAAAAGGCTATAATGTTTATACACTCTTATAGGTGAAATCACAAAGGAACAGAGGGAAAAGTACAAGTACCTACATATAGCCGGTCTGGTCGGCTCTATAGACAACGACTTCTGTGGGACTGACATGACGATAGGTACAGACTCCGCGTTGCACAGGATCATCGAGGCCATCGACGCCATCGTCTCCACTGCGTACTCTCATCAACGCACCTTTATCATGGAGGTCATGGGCCGCCATTGTGGGTAAGATTAGCATCTCTTGGCAGTTGGCACTAAAATATTACATGAATAAATTTGAGATATATACTCTTTAAAATATACTCTTTCATTGTAGTTGAGATTGTTAAAAATTTAGGTTGTAAATTTTTTGTTGAATATATTTTTAATCACTAAGTTCCAGTTTTGTGGAACTCTTTAAATGAATCTACAGAATGGTTATTTAAAAGGTTCTTACACCTTTAAAGCTTCATACAATGTCCCTAGAAGTGATTGTAACTTAAGATTACAGTATTGCTCGGGCTTTTGTTTATTTATTTTTTTTATGGGATTGAGTTGGTCAGCATACTTGAGGTAATTGGAGCCCAGAGGCCTTAATTAAACAAAATAAATAAATGCACACAACATGACACTGATTGAATACCTCGAGCCATTCTTCTGTCTACTCTAAAAAAAGTCCTATACTTGGACAAATTTTTTTACAATTTTTTTGTGAGCCACTTTTACATTCTAGGACGTAGGCTCTAGCCAGGAACCAATTTACACATTACTTTAAGCTAAACCTAGAGGGTTACGGTATTATTACTTAAATAAAATTCATTACTCACTAGTGTAAAGCGGGACGAAAACCTGGGACCCAAGGGACCAGCTTGTTCGAAATTTTAGTATTATGTTTTATGCATTTTTGTGTTTTTAAGCCTCTGGGCTCTTAATTTTGTTTGGTAAACTACCTGTATCCCTTAGCCCTTATGGCGAGGACTATTTAATTAAAGTGTAGAAAGGGAGTTGACCTCTTTGTTTGAATTTTCTCATATCTTATTTTGCTCTAGTCCTACCACATGAGGAGGTTGTACCGGTTTGCATATATTCTAATTATTCTAAACTTAAGTTTTCAGGTTTGGCGTGGTGTAGGATGTTGTTTATCTCTTATATATTGCTCACTTACAATTTTTATTTTATTTGCACACTTGATTTTGGTTTCTTTTCTGTTCTATTACTAAGCTTTTATAATTTTGCAGCTTAACTTTTTCTACCTTACAACAATCAAGCCTATAACACTTCTTGCAACAGTTAAAATTTGATTGAAATATCACTCCTGTTTATCTCAAAACTTAAAATGTCCATTGAAATAACGGAACTTCTTTAAAATGGTATTGTGAATAAAAAAATTAATTATTAATTTAAATTAATTGAAATATCCGTGGTCTGTTATGATTACATGAATATTGAGCTTAATTCTTCTTTCTGTTTATTTAATTAGGTCAAGCCTACATGCTTTAATAAATTATATTTCAGACTATCAGGGCTGTAAAAGTATAAAATAAATAAATAAATATATATATATATTAAAAATGTATTTTATGGTCAAAACCAATGTCCTATTTTTCATTTTTAGAACCAGCCAAATTATGAGTAAAATAAGACCGCTGTATTAGTAGGTACCAAAGTGCTACATAAAAAAAAAAATATAAAAATAAAGTGAAAAACTCCACAACATATCCTATTAAGATAGATGAATGTTAATTTAATGTTTGTAAGAGAGTGATTAAGTTCCAAAAATGTCCCCTAATTGTTAGCCATGTGGATGTTTCGGCTGATGGACGGATGGTAATCAATACTGTTGTTGTGGAGGTACCTGGCCATCGTGACGGCTCTCACAAGTGAAGCCGATTACGTGTTTATCCCGGAGATGCCTCCTCCATTGGACTGGCCGACTAAGCTCTGCAGCAAACTCGAGCAGGCAAGACTAACGTTCCGTCCTGTCTTGCCGACTAATCAGTAATCGTTTGGTGTATGTCAGTTGTCAACTCACCCACTACCAGTCCCGCTGAATGACGCGGTTCATTAACCTCACAACCATTGGCTGTTTCCTTATCATCGTTTTGGTTTTATGTAGATTGAGGGAAACGGTGGAGTTTAACTTGGGACAAATGGACTTAACCTTGGTTAATTCTAATTCATGTATGGTGGGTTGAGCTGTATTGGCTATGATTGATGTAAAAGTTTGGGACATTTGTAAAACATTGCTTTGATATTGGAAAACTCACAAGGACCAATTGAAAATTAACAACTACCTAATGCAGTAAATAAGAATACTGTTGAACAAAATATCGTGTTTATATTAAACAAAAATTAACTGAAACATTTTTGTTGTTATTGTTACCAAAGTATACTAAAGAGGCTTTCACCTTTTTTACCTTACTCCCAACTGACTATTGGAGCAATCCGAGCATCTTTCTACTAACACACAGCTTTGTACAGGTTTCTGTGATACAGCACACTGCCCAAATATATTTACCTGCAGACTCGATACAATCATATTTTTATCCTCATCCAACATCAGTTTACATTATTAATAAATCATTAGTCCTACCTCATTTTCTGGGTCAAGATTGTGGTTTTTGTATTTGAGACAGAATTATGATTTCATAACCATTTCTGAATTTGCTTATACAAACACATTGGGACGTTGGCTCTCATGATACTGCATTTTCACTAGGAGTCATTCTTAAATCAGCTTTTTAAGTACTTTGGCATGTAAGGCTGAACACGTACTAAAATGAGCAAAACATTGTAACCAGACATTTAACCACTCAAATGGGTTTCCGGCGTTTTCATTGTTGTTTATTATAGAATTACTCAGTATCTATCTAGATTAACCAAAAAAGTTATAGCTGGTGTTTGAGGTCAGAAAATATTTAGTAAAAAATATCCTACAGTTTTCTTTGTTCTGTTTATGAAATATTTTAATAACTTTGATGACACATGGAACATTTAGAATTCTTAAACCCTTTTAATAAACTGCTTTTCTTGACAGTTATTACTAAAAAAATAAAAATACTTATTTGGGTTGCTGAATTCACAATTTACTCCATTAACAAAAATGCTATGATGTGTTCTGTTGCTTTGCTTGTTCCACCTTCACCAGCCAAACCCTGAAGGTATTGCAACTTGTCTAAGCAACTTGTCTACATATCTAGGCATGTCTCTACTTGTCTGTGTCTGCCCAGGAATGTCCTAAATTGTCTACATATGCCTAGGCATGTTTTTTGCTAGACTTGTTATGGCTTTACGTGGATATCCAAACATGCGATAACTTATCGTCACTTGCCCAGACATATTGTAGCTTGATTGCGCATGCACAGACATGTAGAGTAGAATCTTTTTAGACCCGTTCAATTTGTCTATGAATGCCTAGACATGTAGTGACTTACCTAGACAAGCTGCAACAGTTGTATGTGCTTCTAACATTGACCATGCCTGTGTGAGTGTAGGTACCTTGCATTAGTAGCTGCCTTAACCAGTGAAGCAGACTTTGTCTTTATACCTGAGTGGCCACCTGAAAGAGACTGGGCCAACAAGATGTGTAAAAAGTTATTACAGGCAAGACGCTATTTAGATAGTTTTAGTTTTTTTGCCACTTGGTAGTACAATGTGTGTAAATAACTGTAGTTTAATTTGAACATCTCAAAATATACCAGTTGTGGTTCAATGGCAGCAGTTACAATGTGTGTGTGTGTGTTTAGTAGTAATATTTTCTTGCGTAAAATTTGTATCCGATTTTAAAATAAAAATAATGAAATTAAAACCATTATTATTACATTTTTTGGTAGTGATTGTTTTAAATATTTTATTTTAACATCTTTAAGGAAATTCAAACTGTGACAAAATGAAAAAAAATGTACATGGACATAGTGTTTGCATCTGTGTCTTTAACAAATCCAAACTAATTCACAAATTTGAGTAATGCCATAATTTGATCATGAGTAGTTAAGTGTTTTTTTAACTTAATTTGATACTGCCATTGAGGATTAACAATCAAGAGGGACAAGCAATGCAATAGATTATGAGTGTTTTTTGTCATTTAGAGGCTAGTAACTCATAGTAATAGTAACTCAGATGCTCTAATTCATGATGCTCAGATTAACTTTCAGAAGGTTGTTCACTGGTTCACAGTAAATGGTCTATATATTAACGAGGATAAAACAAAAAGAATGTTGGTGTCCTTAAACAATGAAATGTGTAATGTTGATTGTTCTGATAGTGTAAAGCTGCTTGGAGTAATTATAGATAGTAAATTAAAGTGGAAAGACCATATAGATTTTGTGTGTAAAAAATTGTCTAGAGTAATTTGTTTGTTGAGTAATTTAAAGAGATTTGTTTCTGTTACATACCTTAGGATGGCATACTTTGCTTATTTTGAGAGTATTTTGAGATATGGTCTTATCATTTGGGGAAACGGTATAGGCATTAATAGAGTTTTAATTAAGCAGAAAAGAATTATTAGAATATTGGCAAATGAATCAAAGTCAGAACACTGCAGACCTTTGTTTTTACAAACTGGTATTTTAACTGTGATAAATCTGTATATATTTGAAGTCATTAGAAATTTAAGAAAAAATATTGATAATTTTAGATTAAGATGTGATGTTCATGAATATAATACTAGATTTAGGGACAAAATAGATATTACTAGATGTAGGTTAGGTAAGGCACAAAAATATCATGATTATTTGGCTGTGATATTATACAATAAATTACCAACTTGCCTAGTCAATTTAGAGTCTGATAAAATGTTTCTAACTAAATTTTACAAATGGCTACAGGAAAATCCCATGTACTCGGTGGATGAATACTTTGAGCGAGAAATTGTGATAGTTTAGGCTTGTTTTGTTATTTTGTTCTGAAATGTTTATAATTGTTTTGTCTTTAAATTATTTATGATTCATGTTTGTTTAATAGTCCTTAAGCCAATACCACACAGTACCTGACTCGCCATAATTTCTTAATTTCTTATTTTATGTAGCTAACTTATTAGGCCTATTATTAAAATTGACAAGACCTATTGTATTTTGTATTTACTTAACGGTCAATAAAATGTCTTATTGTCTTATTGTCTAGTAATGTCTAGTTTCTTCCAAAAATGCAAATATATAAATTACACTCTCCAACCCTAAAAAGTAATTTAAGTCTTATTTGGAAGTAAATATCTTATTTGTGATTAAAAGTACAAAAATGTAAGATGAACAATTTCTGACATTTCCATTGCAGCTCAGAGCCTTTCCAATTTTATATTCTTGATGTGATTGTGGATTTTAAGTGAGAATTCTGTTACTTGTCCTCAAATTTGTTTGGTTTAAGTATGTGTATTCTATCACTAGTTTTAACAATCTTCATTTTATGCTAGAGAAATGTAAATAATTTCCCTTATGATAAACATTCAACAATTCTCCAACAATATACAACTAAAAGTTGTTAGACTTCTAACTTAACAAAACAAATCAATTTATTGGGAAATATTAACAACCACCAAGTGGAATGGTCTAAAACATACAGGGTGACAAAAAAGTCTGGAAACGGCTTAGTATCTTTTTAACTAAATCCGTTATAGAATTCAAACCTTTCACATCAACGTATGTGTATGAAAACTACTTTTTCCAAGAATTACCATTTTTTCACCTTCATCAGGGGACGGCCCATGAGGAGTACTGCCACAGATGAACCTTTTGAGACGCAGTTTCCGGCAATGAACTCCACTTGACCAGCTCTTTAAAATGATATGCATATCAACCTATGCTTACATTAAAGATTATGTACCTACTCCTCATGGGCCGTCCCCTGGTGAAGATAAAAAAATGGTAATGCTTGCAAAAAGTAGTTTTCATACATATAAGTTGATGTGAAAGGTTTGAATTTTCTAACGGATTTAGTTAAAAAGATAAGTCGTTTCCAGACTTTTTTTGTCACCCTGTATATGTTAAATGGTCACCAGGGGTGCCCATCCCCCCGAAAGCCCAAGTCGCAGAATCCCCCTGAATGTGTTGTTTACCCGTTTATAACCCATGCCATAAGGTCCCGGTGCATCTCCCCAAACGAGTGGGGGGATATAATATATCAGTTACAATTTACTGCTTTGTATTTAAAGGAAAGCAGAGTGGCTGGGTAGGATTCATGTTGATAGTTTTGAGTGTTGATAGTTGTGAGGGATAGACTTAAGATAGCTTACCAGTTAACTGAGAAAATTAGGGCATAGAAACTACATTTTTGCAAATGTAGAAAGAAATTAAAACCATTAATATTAAATTTTTTGGTAGTGATTGTTTTAAATATTTTACCTAACCCGCCATGTTAAACTTCCCTATCCCAAGCGTGATGTATACAACTTCTTTACTTCTCGAGTGATGTAAAGTTGAAAAAAACTCTCTCGGTGAGGTAATAAAACCCATTTAAATAACATTGAGTGCTTAACTTTAAAAATATACCTCTATGGAGCCAATGACGTTCAACGCTAGAAATCAGCTTACATACACCTGCGTGATGTAAAAACGCTCTTACTACACTTGTAATGTAAATAGCTATTAACATCTTTAAGTAAATTCAATATTCAGTATGAACTTCATATATATATATATATATATATATATATATAAAGTTGAAAAAATTGTGTTTTAGGGAATTTCCCACATAGGGAATAAGCTATTATTTTAGGTCTCATGGTAAAACCTGGACCCGGGTCCAATTTAATTTTTTGTTTTGATGTCCCCAGAGGCTAAAAACACAATCTGTTCAAATTCATATATTTACGGGGAACGGGAAATTCGGTTAAAAACAATTTTTTTTAACTTTTTCCTCCCTTCCTCCCCAAACCTGAAGCTCAAAATGGTGTAACTTATTACCATACCGGGGACTATATTGAACAGTTCGGAGTCAAAAGTTAGCTTTCACTTTGGATGTTGACGTTAAGGTAGGTTGCATTGCACCGTACACTTGGCAAGGATTTGTTATCATTAACAAAAATTATGTACGAGTCCGAAGGTGTAAATCCACATAAACATATTTATTATTTTAATAGCCATAATTAAATATTGTATATAATAATAAAATGTTAAATGGGATTGTGATTGCATGATTACACCAGTAATAAATTAAGGTTGCCGTAAAAAATTATCTGATAAATCTTTTATGTGCGATTAACCAACTACTCGGCTGGAATCTCCCCCAAAATCCTAACAACCTCAAAATCTCCACCCCCTAAAAGTCTGCTGATGGCGCAACTTTCAAACCCCCCTGTGGGCACCCCTGATGGTCACTGTAACCAGGTTTTAACTGCAAGAAAATTAAACAATTATGTCACTGTAATAATGTTTCCAATTAGTTTTTTATATGCTATTGTGCTTTGATCAACCAGGAAAGAGCAGCAGGGCAGCGACTCAACATTATCATCGTAGCGGAAGGGGCAATAGATAGAGACGGAGTTCCTATCACAGCTGAGAAAGTCAGGCAAGTCGTTGTGGACAAGTTGAAGCAAGATACCCGAATCACCGTGTTGGGACACGTTCAACGAGGTGGCAGTCCTTCAGCATTTGACAGAGTTCTGGTAGGTGTTAGTCTACTTTTTGATTTGCAAAAAGTTGTTATCTTTTTTTCACAAAAGCAATTTTTTTTTCAATTGAATACAAATGCGTGGTTAAATTGTTAATGCAAGAAATACACAATACCTGCTCCTCAGATTTATTGTGTAACACCATTTGAAGTAGCTGTTGCCATGAAATATTCAATAATATAAAGATTTTTCTGATTTTCTAAGCATAATTTTAGTTTTTTTAATTGGTATATACTTTGGTTGACCAAAAGCATATTTTATTCAAAGCTTAGGAACAAAGCAGAATTAATTGTGATCCCAAATGAAACCTGTGTTAAATCAATTTGGAGACTGTCGGATTTAAACATCAGGACTTTAACTTATTATTATGCGCTTAAATAAATCTTTAATATTTGATACGGAGAACATCCTAGTAATTACCTCTTTAGGAGATAAGAGGTAAAAATAAGAAAAAATAAAATATTTATAACCCTTTGAAGCTGTATTTTTTTTTACTTTTTTAAATGCCATTATTTTTGGTTTTTTTTATCTCTTTAACACGATATGTATGTACATAACTAAAAAGAAAGCCAAAAAGAAAAATCCTTTTCCTCCTACTATTCACGAAGCCCTAGTGTAAAAATGCTGTTATGTGCAATCCCTATTAATCTCACAAATATTGTCAACTTCCACCCAAGGTGGACTATTTTAAGGTTTGCTCTAAGACTAACTAAGCAAAAAATGTATAAGCTTCGTATATATTACACACATACTGTAATAGCTGAGCTACCACGTCACCATAGGCCCACCAGTTCCGTACGCTAATGGGTTAAATCAAGCTGACATTGGTGCTGATGGCTAGTTCCCAGTTGTAACTAACTGCTGGTTTGTCACAGGGCTGCAGGATGGGTGCTGAGGCAGTCATGGCTCTGATGGAGGCTACCCCAGACACTGAGGCTTGTGTTGTGTCTCTAGATGGCAACCAGGCCGTCAGACTACCTCTCATGGAGTGTGTAGAGAGGACCAAAGCTGTGGCAAAGGCTATGGAAGACAAACAATGGGAACTAGCTGTCCAGCTCCGTGGAAGGTGATTAAGTGCATATCATCTACTTAAGCATAATTTCTTTGAGTGAGAGCTATTTTCCAAGTTTTGTTTGAAAGTCGGTGCCTCTAGTCGCGTGTGGACTACTCCAAAGCAGCAATGTCATGGGTCCGTGTCCTCGTGCCACTAATATACAGTACATACAGTTAATTATATTGTATGATCTCATCCCTTGCTTTGCTAAAGAAGTTCTGTGCACAAGCTTGGAAGTCTATCTAGCTTGCTAGCCTCTTAAAAAAACCCCTTTTTTATCAGATTTTTTGTTGGGTCCTAATGTAATGCGGTTAGATTCAGTTGTGTGCTTTCCAGGGGTCTGAAGTCGGTCTTAGATTTGAGAAAAAAAGATAGGTATAGGCTATTTAAGATATTTGATATATTTGAAGATAGATTTGAGATGGCTCAAATTGATATGATTGTCCCCCAGGGACCATACAGTCTGATAAAAGTTATTAACCAGTTTAAGATACGTTCATCATCACCATCTGGGGATTGCTTAGATTTCTCTAGTGGAAGTATGAGGGCCCTTTCACACGATGCCACTGGTTGCCCGCCACAGCTTTAAAATTATTAATGGGAGCTTTCACACGCAGCCACTGCAGTTGCCCGCCAGGACATAGTGGCCGTGCAGTGTCTCCTCTCGCAACTGCTAGTCGGAAACCGCAGTGGCGGCAACTCGTTGCGGGGCATTGAATTAAATGGGAGTTTTCACCCGAAGCAACCAGTAGCCGCCACCGTGGATGCTCGCGCAGCTACTATTTTGGTTAAGTTCACGTGCAAATTGCAGAAACAAACGCACTGTGGTAGTTGTTGAGTGTTTTTGTGTTGATTGTTGTTTGTGAAAATAAGGATCAGAAGAAAAATAAAGAGAACGTTACTGAAAAAGAAGAAAACAAAAGAAGAAAACAAAAGAAGAAGAACAGAATAAGAGACAAAATAACAGACAAAATAATAGTAGACTAAGTAAATACTGAAGATCTAATTTGCGAAATTGAAAAGTACCCGGCAATTTGGGATAGTACGCATGAGTCTTCGCCTTCTTTTCATTATCAACGCAAGAAGTAGGAGATGTTCGTTGTTTGGTAGCATATTTTAAACTACCATTGTACAGTGGCTGTAGTGGAGTGGCTTGTCAGTTGCCTGTACCATCCACTGCAGTTGCCCGGGCAGTGGCCGCCACCAGTGGCCTCGTGTGAAAGGGCCCTTACTGCTAGGATTTCTCTAGCAAGAGTGGGTACTGCTTGAATATCTCTAGCAGGAACAGGTACTGCTCGAATTTCTCCAGCAGCAACAGGTACTGCTCGGATTTCTCTAGGAGGAGTAGGTACTGCTCGGATTTGTCCAGCAGGAGTAGGTACTGCTCGGATTTGTCCAGCAGGAGTGGGTACTACTCAGATTGCTTTAGCAGGAGTGGGTATAGCTTGGATTTCTCTAGCAATGTTCTACTGTCCCTTGATTATAAACAAGACTAAATAGGATAAGTTGATTCTGCATTCGTCCGATATTGTCAATTTTTAATCAGCCTGACATATTTTTTGCAGCATGAAGATATATTTGTAACTTATCAAATGTTACAAAATTATTATGCCTTCATTTTGTTTATATTTTTTCCTCTTAGGTTAGTTTTGTAAATCTGTACAAAAGTTTTAAGTTTTTTGTAAAACACTTTAATTTGTTTGCTAAAATTTAACCTGTATTGCATTCTTTGTAAGTTTTGTTCAAGGAAAGGCTTAACAAACAGATTTCTCCATAGTATATCGCGTAGGTAGTGATCACGTTTCAATCAATCAATTATTTTGTTGTATGGTAATTGTTGGTCTTTTTAAGTTGTATAAAAAATTGTTAGGTCAGGTTTTTATTTTATTTTTTATTTATTTATTTCAACGGTAAACACCATTTATACAATAATAATAATACATTATGATACAGGCAATAAATCAGTCTTATGAGTAACAATAATAACAAGCAGAATAGGACTAGAAATTGATAACAAAAAGGATATAACAAACAAGAAATCACAATGTGTCACAAGAAAGGAGATTAAGAATAGAGAGGCAGTGTAAAACAGAGATGGTAAAAATGGGAAATAACAGCCAACAATAAATAGAAAACAACAACAATAATGAATAACAGTGAATAAAAATATGAAACATCAATAACCAGCCTAAACAGATAATAAACAGTAAGAAATGTAAAGTAACAATAGCAGAAACAGGACACTTGTTTAATCTTGCACTTTTTGTGGCCCATTAGTGGCACCACCAAGGTAAATTCACTTTCACATAATCTGGCTCAGCACAGAGCCGACCCGACTTCTGAAGGAGGCAGTTGATCCAGAGAAGAAGTCGATGTGTGTAGCAATTTGACTCCCTAGTCGATGCAATCTGGACAGACCGCTGAGGTAGGCGAAAAGTGTCGGCTGGGAGCGACGCTGGAAGGAGGTTCTGGAACGTGTCCCTCTAGGTACAGCAAGGTCAATATTTGACAATAGATCGGGGCAGTCGATAAGGGAGTTGATGAGATTGAATAAGAAGACTGCATCAAGGATCATACGTCTGATGTGTAGTGGTTGAATCTCTAGCTGTGCCTCAAGCTCCCGGATTGGTGTGTCCCAATATCTGAAGCCAAGCCTGGGTCCAAGCATCCTTATGAAGCGATCTTGTGTTCTTGAGAGCATTTGGATGTGTCCAACTTGATAAGGAGACCATATTACAGATCCATATTCTAAGATGGGGCGAACCAGGGATTTGTATAGGATCACTTGTGTATATGACGACCTGAAGTTTCTTGTGGATCTGTATATAAACCCCGAGAGCGAACTAGCCCTGGCCGTTATATGAGCTATATGCTGGAATGGGCTGAGATTTGGCATCATGATAATGCCCAAATCTTTCACTTTGTCAACTCTTGGAAGTGTGATACGATTTAAGCAGTAGTCGAAATTAAGTACCCTGGTCCCACGCTTGAACGACATAACTTGACACTTTGCTGTATTCAGGTGCATGCCGTTTCTCAGGCACCAGTCACCAATGTTATTTAGGGAGCATTGAAGAATATCTTGGTCCAGCTCAGATCTAACCTCCTTATAGATCTTTAAGTCGTCAGCAAACAAGAGGAAATTGCATTGAATAATCTTTCCAATATCGTTAACGAATAGATTGAAGAGAATCGGAGCCAAATGGGAACCCTGAGGGACTCCAGACAGAACGGGAAAAGGCAGAGATATGGCGCCATCACATTTAACCATTAGCTGACGATCAGTGAGGTAACTTTCCAGCAGTCTCAGCAGGGTCCCACCGACTCCATAACCAGCGAGCTTGGCGATAAGAAGACGGTGGTTAACTTTGTCGAATGCTTTTGAGAAGTCTAGGTAGGCACAATCAACTTGATTCGATGCGGTGAAGGCAGCCATAGTAAACTCCTGGAAAACTAGGAGGTTGGTGACTGTAGAACGTCCATGGAGAAAACCATGCTGCTCATTGATCATGTATTTCTTCAGATGGAAGTAGAGGAAGTCGAGTAGAACGCTCTCAAAAACCTTTGCCAGTGTAGATAATATGACTATAGGTCTGTAGTTTTTTACATTAGAGCTGTCTCCCGACTTAAAGATGGGGACCACGAAGCCTTTTTTAAGAGAATCAGGGAAGATTCCCTTTCTAATCAAGTTGTTGAAGTAGAGTGCCAGGTGGGGTGCAAGTACGGGTGCGCAGTATTTTAGTACTAGAGGCGGTATGTTGTCAGGTCCAGCACTTTTGTTGGGGTCGAGGGTCAACAGCTTCTGAAGAACTTCATGCACAGTTAATGTACAGTTAGATATACCACTGCTCCATCCGAAGTCAAAGGCAGGAATAGGCAAGATATCATTGCTGAAGACAGAAGAGAAGTATTTGGCAAAGGCTTCACACTTATCCGAGGGGTCTACAGCGATCGACGTATCAAGAGTTAAGGTTGGAGGAATAGCAGGGCTGGATTTTAGGTTCTTTATGTGCGACCAGAAGGCTTGGCATGCTATAGCGAGGTCCTTGCATTTCACTCTGAGTGATCTGAAACGCATAAGATCGGAGTAACGGTTAGATTTTTTGTAAGATTTATGGGCTAATTTCTTAGCAATGATAAGTTTAATCAGCTCAGTAGAAAACCATTTAGGAAAGGTTGTGCTTTTGATTTTTTTTATAGGAGTAAACTGTTTAACAAGCTGTTCCAGAAATACAGAGAAATTGTTGAATGAAACATTAGGGTCAAGTTGATCAATATTCATAGGATAAGTTAGGTTTTGAATTGAGGTGAAGACTTCGACCAGAGCACAGTTGCGAAAGTCTAATACATATTTTGTAGGCTGTTGAGAGTAAGAGTTTTGCACTGTGATTGAGACAGAAAGTGCAGGATGATGAGCATCCTCATCAAGAAGAGTGTCTACAGCCCGAGTTGCTTTGGAGTCCTCAATGGAAGAGAAAACCAGGTCAAGACACACCCCACGGAGATTACGGACTGAGTTGATTTGTCTAAGCCCATAAGCCGAAGCAAGGTCTTTCATATATCGTGGAGAGATTGCTGTAGGGTTGTCGTCATCACTTAACCAATCAGTATCTGGAAGATTGAAGTCACCGAGCAACAGTATGTTGTCCCAGGTGTTAATAGTTGACATCACTTCATCAAATGAGTTAAGGAAATTTAAGTAAGCACGAGAAGGTTGGTTTGGAGGAATGTAGACACAGCAAAGGACAAGTGTAGAGCCGGAAAGATTAATAGAGGCAAGAACACATTCAGTCGAGCATGTAGTTGGGGTTAATATATTGCTCGGAATATCATTGCGTATCGCAATAAGAGAACCACCTCCACTGACTTTAGTACTAGTGTTCATGGAGCGGTCGCATCTGTATACATTGAAGCCAGTCAGCCCTAGTTCACTGTCATTGATGTCCGAAGTGAGATTTGTTTCCACTAAGGCTATATAGTCGTAGTTTGATGTAGCCAATGATCTGGATAAATCAGGAAGTTTGCTTCTTAATCCATTAACGTTTTGGAAGTAGCCGTTGAGTTTCTTGTGTTTACCGTTGGGGGAGATTACACGTTTTTTGAACTATCCACAATTTGGGGGATACTGTTTTTGTAGACTATCTTCAAGTCCTTTTCTCCATTAGCTAGTTTTTTGAATTGTAGAAAAGGGAGGAATGCAGCTAGCTTACCTTGAAAGTGTAGGTAGGCTTAGCGTAGAACATGTAGCGTAGAAAATATGTAGAAAATACACTGTGTACACAATATTTCATCCCCTGAGGGACTTTGTCAAGTGTAGAGAAAGAGTTTACAAATTACCTAAATTAATTTGTAAACTCTTTTTCTACACTTTAAGACAAAGTCCCTCAGGGGACGAAATGTTGTGTGTCCAGTGTATTTTCTACATGTTCTATGGCCTACCTACACTTTCAAGGTAAGCTAGCTGCTATCCTCCTTTTTCTGCATTCTTTTAAGTTAGCTACTATGTGTTATTGGTATTTTAATTTTCAGGAGTTTTGCCCGAAACTTGGAAACATACAAGATGTTGACAAGATTAAAACCTCCAAAATCTGCTTTTGATGAGTCTGGAAAGGGATTGGTATGTTTTTTATGCTACCTTTTATTCACGCTTTATTAATAAAGGATAGGTAGATGGTATGGTGTAAAAGTTAGGATTACAGGGTAGGATAAAGGTAGTATTAACCACAGTATATTTAAACAAATTCTTAATTGATAGGTTTATAATAAATTTAAATCTAGATTTAATATACATGTGATTAATTGTCTCTAATACGTTAATCTAGAAATTGCATAAAAACTTAATAATGATTTCTTTATATAATATTTAACAATGGTTTAACATTGTTTATTCGTTTTTTGATAGAAAATATATATAGGTTTTGCTACACAAAAGTAAGAAGGGGATGAATATTATAACTAAAAGAATTGAAAAAGTTATCAATAAAACATTATAGTCAAGCGGAAATTATTCAAAACAATTAGGCCTATACCTAGCAGTGGTTTTTGACTAACATTTTTCTCATTTAAATTATGTTTGAGGTAGGCTATTACTTTTCAGCAATTATTTTATGTCATTATTTAACTCTGTATTTTATTTTTCTGATAAATCCAACAAATATATTGTTAATGTCGTTGGTTGTCGTGTGCTTTTCCTTAGAAAAATCGTAGAAATAAGCTTTCACTTTGTACTCTAACAATTCATTTCTGGTTTGCTTTCGTTGGCAGCATACACTCACCAAGGTAAGGGTTCTTATTATTGTTGTTTAATTATTCAATAAAAACATGCTCTTAAGACGTAATAAAACTTCAAACTTCAGTTGATTATTCAGTTTTCTGTCATCATGAAGTAAATGTTATTAGTTATTAGTAACTAACTCTCAAGTTAAACTGATCCCCTGATTTATGGTCTATGGGTCGCTGGAGGAGGGGTATGAAAGGGGGAAAGGTAGGGGAGGGAGAGGAGAGATGGCGTCTTGAAGAGGGGAAGAGTGCACACGCCCCTTTCTTAGAAAGCCTGGGGTGTAATATCACATCTAACCTGTTCACATATGGGTCACTTGAATGGGCTTCGGTTAGACTAACAAAAATTGTATCCAGGAATAGTGGCCAGCAACGGAAACTAATTGTTCTATTATATTTCCTTCATTCTCGCTAACCTATTTACAATAATTATGATACTTTATGTGTCTTAAGCTTTCGTAACTATTACAAAAAAAAAGTCTTTTTCCGCTCTTGAAGGTCAAAACCAAAACTTATATGGATATAACACAATTGCCTTTAAAGTTACTCTATTGGTATTTTTTGTAATTTAATTTGCCTCTATACGACAAGACTTATGGGAAATCCAACAAGACGTCCAACGTGACGTGTATCTATATGAGGCCTTTATAAATTAACGAAAAGATCAACCATCACGTCAAAGGACTAATATTTAGAAGTTTGTAATAATTATTGCAGTATATAAAATTATTGCCTTTTTATCTTTTTAACTGTTATTGTTATCCGACTCTTTTGAGGATTAAGTTTTTGCCTTCATAAAATATAAATATCTGCCCATAAATACATCAATATCTTTATTTGTTGTCAAGTTAACTGTAAACTTAAATTTTTTTTATTGAATGGCAATATTATCCGGAAATACAACAAAAATAATTTATCAAAATCAGTTGCAAAATTTCTTGAACCTACTATCCTATGTACCTAGAGTAAACAATTTGAATTTGTACTTTATTTGGTCATTGATAGCTGCCTATATTTTGTTTGGAAAGTCTAGACTGAGTTGTTGGAGACTAAAGTGTCGTTTACATCGGAGTCGGAGTTAGGAACAAAATGTTTGGAACTTATTGTTGGTAACACTTGTTTCTAAAACAAAACACAAAAGTTAACAACAGATAGTGCATATTTCTTTGATTTTGTTGGAAACAATTTAATTACTTTTCCCGAGAACACGAGGTCAGTCCCTCTCAAAATAGTCACGTGGTGTTGGGTCGGTGCGGGCGTAGCAGGGAAGTGTTGTAAACAGCGTAGAAGTACAGAAACACCCTTTGATCTTTACCGAAAACTGGTGGGAAGCCAAATTTCTGTTGTAAACACTAAAATACCTCCGCCGCAGCAAACCTGCAGACTAAGCGAATTTCCGTTTTCCTGATTGGATTTTCACTAAAATGTCTCATTAAAAATATCACATTTATTCCCTATTTAAATAGAATTAGTTTAACGAGTACTTAGGTTTTCTGCAACAGGGAGGGTAAGAAGGTGTTCTTTTTATGTTAATAGCTTAGTAAGAAATTTCCAAATTTGATCAAAGTTTGTTCATAAACAAGCAAACTACAACAGTTTACTTATTCTCCATAAGACTAACATGGGAATTTTAAATATACAGTTTTTGGAATTTTCTCCGTAACTGTGATTTTTTTCCAATAACGCTTCATTATACTATATTATTTGTTTTTTTAAGCTCATAGATGTTCATGATTTAGCTGCTATCGCGAGAGACGATGATGCCGTTTTCGTGACCGCGGGAGTGGATGTTGATGTCTACACGGCCGCAGGATATAATAAGAATTTTACTTCGATCACAGAAGATCTTACCCGTCAAAAGACGCCGGATTACTGGAGTGCCGGAGTGATGCAGTGCCGGATTAGAGAGGGTCTATTGTACTTTATTAACATTTTACAATAAAACACTTTTAAACCCTCCCTGTTGCAACAAACCTGAGTACTTGTTAAGCTAATGCTATTTAAATAGGGAATAATTTTGGGATATTTTTAATGAGATATTTTAGTGTAAATCCAATCAAGTAACTCTGTATAGTGTTGCTGATATGTGATTTGATTGATATAGCTGAAAAGGAAATAATACATTGTTAGTTGTTGCAACATGAAGGGCACTCCAAAAAGATGGGTTCTGCTTGCCGACAAATTCCTTGAATAGGCGATTGCATGCCTCGGAAATGTTGTTTGTTTTATCCTGGCTCTCAAAAACCATTTCATACATACTCCAGAGTGATGGGGGGAAGACGGCATTTCCGTCACTTAGCACTGGACCTTCGACATCGTTTTCTCAAAGTACAGGAGCAGATCGGAAAGGGACCTGTGCACTCTTCCACCCTTAGCGCCATCTCTCTCTCTCCCTCCCCAACCTTTTCCCCCTCACTCCCATTGCCAGCAATCATTCTTTCTCACCCTTCTTTGAGCCAAACTAGAACTATCAGGTCAACCGACGGTGATTTAAGAGGATTACGGCTTGGGACGAGTGCCTACAGCCCAACTTTATAACAACTATAAAAAAAAAAAATAGGTTACAGTATAAAAAAAACCAACTTGAGAATTTGAATTGTTATTAAGCGAGGAATTCGGTAACAACTTTAAGATCCATGGATTACTCTTAAGGTAACTGCCAATAAATTATACATTTTCTCTGTAAATGAATACAGTGAGGAAAACGGCTTGAAAGTACAGCATTCAGTGCAAAAAATCCAATAATTTCACGACAGTACCAAAAGAAAATAATTAGTAAATTTACAAGCTATGTAAAAGTTGTTGACAATTACGTCATGTTATAATACACTTAACCAGTACCGAATTAACATAATACAATTCTATTCACAAAATTTTGAAAGAAGCTGTATTTCCCAGATACACGTTTGGTCACTCTTTTTTTGTCCACTAGCAAGACACTTTGTGGGGCATGGTGAGTAAATGCAGTGCCTGCAGTTTATGTCGTGAAACAAGTAGATTTTTCTTCATTCATGCATTAAATACATAAAATTGTTGTTAGTCAAGTTTATCCCAAAGTGATTGTTTCATCAGTAATTTGTATCTTGGTCGAATGGGTTTGAACTACTACCCAGTAATTGGTTACCATTCATTATTTTCATTATCATCTCATTTATGATACTTCATCCCCTTCGTCAGATTGCACAATTCAAAAATTCATTCATTGTCATTTCATTCGCCATAGTTTCAATAAATGTATGCTAGTTATTTACTGCTTGACTTATTTATTTCCTTTTCCATTGTTAGGGCCAATATTACCATAGTTTGAATTCGTTATCTATTTGTTTTTACTATTGCAGGATTGTCTTGGATAAATTCTCCTTTGTGAATGAAATAGTTGGTTTGGTTTTAATTGAGATTATATTCTTTAATTATCAACCTTCTGTTTTCTGCTACAGGAAGGCTACACCTTGGCGGTTATGCACATTGGAGCTCCTGCCTGTGGAATGAATGCAGCCGTACGTTCGTTTGTCAGGAACTGTATCTACCGGGGCGACACTGTCTACGGCATACACGATGGTGTTGAGGGCTTGATCGCTGGAAATGTATGAAATTCAGTCACCAAATTCTTATTTATTTACAAGGGGTTATTTTGTTAAGGGTTCGAGTTCAGCTAGCTTACCTGAGAAAATTAAAGACCAGGGGCTAATGGAAACACAATGAAATGCCAAATAATAGAATACTGATATGTGGTCCTAATATATGTTTTTAAAGAGTACAGAATTATTTATTTTTTTTACTGGAAATTTCAAATTCCATGCCTTTCTTCAAGTTGCAGAACTAGTAGCATGTCTATACATTATTTTCTAACTTTTTTCTTGTTATAAAAATGGTTTAAAACGTAAATACGTGCTACCAAGTGAATAACTTTAATGTCAAATAGTGATTGTCAAAATCAGAAATTTCTTATCTCAAAAACTAAAAAAAATCGAGTCCCGAATCTTAACTGGTTGAGGTTACAAAAATACAGTTAAAACGTTTATTGTGACTAAACTTAAAGAAATGGGACTCATGACATTGACATTAACCTAAAACCTAAAAATACAACTTTTACGATAAACAATAAACACTAAAATAAATAAGAGACTGACATAATAATACCCCTGCCGCAGCAAACCTGCAGACTAAGCCAATTTCCATTTGCCTCATTGGATTTTCAATTGAATCTATTTAAATAACATTAGGTTTAACAAGTACTTATGCTTGCTACTACAGGGAGAGTAATAAAGAGTGGTATTTATTGGAATGTAAATAGTTTAGTATAAAATAAATAAATATTCCAAGTTTGATCAAAAATACATCCATAAACAAGCAAACTACAACCGTTCACTTATTCTCCATTAGAATAACATGGGAATTTTTAATTTCCAAATTTCCAATTTTCTCGGTAACCAATAACCGTAAAAAACACTTTAGCATACTAAATCATTTGTATTTTTAAGCTCTTTAAAATTACAAAAAGAAAAATTGGGAAATTTTATGATTTGAGGGTAAAAAAATAAGAAAAACCAATTTTTACCACATAAAACCCTGTTATCATGCTGGTCCGCAAATTCATGACACACACGCAAATTACTCAAGCTATGGAATTCACGGACGTATATATATAAATCTATTTATAAAATTTGAACGAATAGTGTTTTATGCCTGTAGAGACATCAAAATAAAAATATATTCGTCCCGGGTCTAGGTTTTACCGTATTACCTACAGTTATAAACTTCCCTATAAGGAAATCCGCTAATATGAGATCAATTCTATTGTTTAGTGGTAAATATGTTTTGAAATATTGATATAAAACCGAATTGTACTTACGTTGTTGTTATATTAGAAATTTTTCATTACACCTGTTGCAGTTCAGAACATAAATTACTTGTTTCAACTTGAATATCAAAACTTGCTAATAGAATCCCCGCAAACTTTTTCATTGTTTTGAGATTTGAGATTCGGTTTTGACATATGACTTATGTCTAAGAAAAATCACCACAGGTTTTCCAATGTGGTGCCATACATCTAAACACATCCAACAACATATCTCTTAAGGTAATTTAAATTTACGTATGTTTTTTATGCTATTTTTTTACCTGATGTATAATATATTTGCCACTGTGCAGGTACAAGTGATGAAGTGGTCAGACGTGACAGGATGGGTAGGTCAGGGCGGAGCTATGTTAGGCACCAAGAGAACCCTCCCCGGCGGACGTATGCCTCAAATAGCTGCCAGACTCAAGGAGTTCAAGATACAGGCTCTCCTCATCATTGGAGGATTTGAGGTGAGCTTAAACAAAGGAAAATGTATTTTGGCTAAAGGGTAGTTCTTCTTGCTCAGCCAAATCTACTTATATGAATTTTTGGTCATGAAAGATGTGTTGAATCAGCTTTTTGTAAGCTAAATGGTTTACGTATGTTATATAATAAATAAATAAATAAAATAAAAATTTTTAATAAATAAATAAAATAAATAAACGTCACCTTGCTCCGTCAAGTGATCTTCTGTTAGTAGTACACTAGTATAGTTTCAGACTTTTGGAGCCAATTGTCTGGAGTAACAACAACATTAGGTCATAGGCCTACTTCCAATTTGGTGAGATCTGTCGTTGTTTTTGTTACACCTGACAATGGGCTCCAGACGTCTGAAACAGTTTTTTCAATTATTATATCAATTATTTAAGATTGGGACATGTGATTATTTTAACCCAAATATTAGTGAATGATGAGTGTAGGATGAGTGGCACGATCTTGTAGTCTTGTTCTTGTTAGTGACTAAGGCCGACATGTTCCTTAGACACAGCTGTTAATTAATAGCCCATATAGCCAATGGCAACTAAGGGACCTATAGTTTGTAGTGGGATCCGAACCACATTTTTGCCTAGTAATTAAAGAATTTGTCTAATCATCAGGATAGTACTGTGGATAGTTGTACATGTAAACAAACCGCCGACATGTACACAAACCGAAATTCTTGTACTGTATACTAAATATTTCATTTCAACCAAGTCAGTAAAATTACTAAAATGTAATATTTTTAGCACGTGTTTTCTTGAATTGCAACTTAAACAGCAATTAAATTATCCAGCTGATCATAATGTTAACAAATATGTTCTACATAAGAATAACATAAGAACTTTAAAAGCCACTGAAGCAGAACCCAAGGGACTTAAACAAAATCAGTTTGCAAATCTACGCAACTTGCTATTTCCAATGAGATGTAAATGCTCAAAATTGGTTAAGAAATGGCAGAGGAGTTCAAAGGACAAAAGCATGTACTAAGCCACTAAGCCCAATTATCAAGGATACGTAGCTAGGTATAATTTCAAGCCAACAAAAGTTGTTGACGTTACTCAGGATCAAATCGGCAACCATCTGAATAGTAGGCGAGTATGAAAACCACTCAGCTAATCCATATAATCAATAAAAAAAAGTCAACCAGTTCACCAATAAATAATGGATGGAATTTAAAACACCTCTGTTACAATGTAAAGGGCTGCAGTCAATTTTGCTAAACTTCATGTTTGCCCCTATTTCCAAAGTATTAATATTCACTAATCCCACAATAAACATGTAAACTTACCAGCACCATAATTTTATAAGGTTTGATAACAAATATATAGAACTGATTCTCGATAAGGCTTTTTCTGGCAAAATTATAAACTTGAGTTTGTTTCCAGGCTTACCAAGCTGGTCTGCAATTCACTGAGAACCGTAGTAACTTTCCGGAATTCTGCATCCCCATTGTTGTCATCCCCTCCACTATCAGCAATAACGTTCCTGGCACAGAGTTCTCCTTAGGTTGTGACACTGCCCTTAATGAGATTACTGAGGTGAGCCTGACTAATTATTTTGTTTTTATTTTTCTCATTCACAGGTTTAAACTATGTTTGTTATATTCTAAAGCTTAGTTTGTACCAAATTGGTCTTTTAATACAAATTTTCTATAATATGGCCACCCTAAAATATTTTGTGACACCTGTTGAACCAGGTGTTTACATAAAATGGAGCGCTATGCTGTAATTCAAGCAATATAAATTCATTAATACTTTTTCACTTCTTTACTTAGAAGAAGGAACAAAAATGTTTGATGTAACTCAAATATGAGGGAGTCAGTTGTGTGGAATCATAGACAAAAAGAATTAAATATAGACTGTGAGCCGTGCTGTGGTCACCATAGGTTCTGGCGCAGACTGCTGGAAGTGCCGTGTAGTTACGTAGTGCGTATGCCGTAACTACATGGCGCTCCCAGTGGTGTGCGCCAGAACCTAGGGTAACCGCTGCACAGCTGACGGTCTATATTTAATTCTTTTTGTCTATGGTGGAATATATGAGATGATTTTTGTAGTTTTGCTATTGCTGTAGAACTATAGCAGCAAAATATAAAATTGTTAGAACCAAAGTTGAAATAAACACAAGACCTTCTTTTTGTGTTTATGCCGTAAACTATGTTGGTCTACTGTTTGCATTCTGGTTCCAAACATTTTTAAAACTATTTTTTGTAATATTCTTTACGTTTTAGAATAGAAACAAAACAACAATGTAACAATTGATGATTTTATTTTTAGATTTTGAACTGTACTTAAAAGCCTGCAAAAAGCTTATATTTTGTATATAAACATTTCACTAACCTCTAAAAAAACTTGAAGTTTTCCTAGCCTTATATATAGACTTTAGACTTTATAGTAGCAGACCTTATGTATAACAACAATTATAGTATTTGAAAACAAAATATTGAGAAGAGTGTACGGGCCGACTTTTGAAGATGTACACTGGAGACTAAAACATAATTGGGAACACAGAGAGAATTATTTAAAGATCTGGATATTGTCGCTGAGGTACGGAGTAGAAGGATGAGATGGGCATGACATAATAAAAGAAGACAACTCGTTACCAAAGAAAGTATTAAGAGAACAACCCAGAAGGAAGAAGACCCCTTGGTAGACCGAAAATGAGATGGTGGGACCAAGTTGAAAAGAACATTAGAAAACTGGGAGGATGCAAGATGCAGAGAGGTGTGGAGGCAGTGTGTTGGGGAGGCCAACTACCATTTGGGGTACCAGTGGCCACAGCAGTAAGTAAGTATATATAGACTAAATAGAATAGAAAATTTTACAGCGTAAAATTCTTTTTTAGATTTGTGATCGCATCCGCCAGTCTGCACAAGGCACTAAGCGTCGAGTGTTTGTCATTGAGACAATGGGTGGTTACTGCGGTTATCTGGCTACCGTAGCAGGTTAGTTTCTTGTAATAACTAAATCTGAAAATGTGTTAAATTGTGTGAAATTAAAGAAATCTTTGTTTTTTTTTTGTAATATACTTTACCCAAATTTAAATTGCACATTTGTTTATTTTTATTTATTTTAACTCCAGTGCAAGGTTGTTACATTTTTTAAATTTTTATTTTAGGACTAGCAGGTGGGGCAGATGCTGCTTACATTTACGAAGAGAAGTTTTCAATAAAAGACTTGCAACAAGATGTCTATCACATGGCTTCAAAAATGGCAGAAGGGGTGCAAAGAGGTCTAATCCTAAGGTATGTACTTACAGTTCTGTAGTCCATGACTAAGCGTATTTTCTACTATTTTATTTTAATGCTTCAAAATTCAACAATTCTCCAATAATATACAACTACCAGTTGTTACACTTATAACTTAACAAAACAAATCAATTTATTGAGAAATAAAAACATTGTATAAATTGTATACAACCAATGAAGAAGTGAAAACATTTTTAACTATGTTGTAATTTACAGCTTATAGGAGAGCCTAACTATTTGTTCTTATTCAGGAATGAAAAATGTAATGATAACTACAACACAGACTTCATCTATAGACTGTACTCAGAAGAAGGAAAAGGACTTTTTAGTGCCAGAATGAACGTGTTGGGTAAGATATGCAGTTTATACATTTACCACCATGAATTTACTAACAAAAATGTAGCTTGAATCAACAACACTTTTGGTCTATTGATCTATTCATATTCATGCAAATGTTATTATTTGCAATGGTAAGTAAACGCTAAAGAGAATAATTATTTTCACACTTTGACTTTACAGTGTTCTGATGTTGACTGTACATTTCTCTTTTATTTACAGTAGATGTTTTGATTATCTTTACAATGCTTGGTTACGTTCCCAAGGGTCAAGCAATTGTTTAACATATTGTATTATTTGGTTTAAGTTAAAATTGTTCAAAAATTAAACATGTAATTTAACCACCAAGGGACATAAAACAAACAATAAACTGAATGAACTGACATGGACCGATTAGAACTAACCTTGACATTATCCTTAACTGATCTATAAGGATAATAAATTCAAGTGTATGGGGAATAAATAAAAAAATAAATCTATAAGAGATTGTCTTTAATCTATTTTAATACACTACTACTACTAATGTTGTTTTAAACAAAACAATCTTTAACTCCCTTACAAAACAGATCAAGTTTTACAGGCCACATGCAACAGGGAGGCTCTCCAACTCCGTTTGACCGCAACATGGGCACTAAGCAGGCTGCCAAGACTGTAGAGTGGATGATAGAACAGCTGAAGAAGTACACGAGGGAGGACGGATCAGTGTTTGCAGATACCCCTGACACAGCTGTCATGATGGGAGTGGTGCGGCGGCAGTACAGGTTCACACCACTATTGGACCTGAAGAAGGAGACTAACTTTGAGTAAGAAACTTTATATGAATTGTGAGAGGTTGTACCATTGTGTTCTTAAGAATATGACTTATTATAAACATAAAGGGATAGTTACACAAGATATAGTTCTAGGCAATCTGAGGCTGAAGACATGTTCTTTACTTCATCCACTACTATTCTGGCCTGTTTCCACCCCTATGGAGCGATTAACCACAGACGAGATGTCATAGTAGTCAAAACAATAACAATCGTCAGGGAAAGTGGACGCTCCCTCATGTATGAACTGCATTTGACAATTAATGTATATGCAGAAAAGTGTTTGTTTATACATAGAAAATGGTCATAACTGGCTTAGGGAGTAGAAGGCTGTACATATTTACACTACAGGGCCAGCAGCGGGTGTTCCATCGAGACAGTGATTGAATTTGAGGAAACGTTGCATGTTGATTGGGAAATTAAGACCTCCAGGACTCATCATAGGCATTGATAGCCTCAAAGAGATTCCCCCTATAAGCTCATCAATCTGTCACTCTCCAATCTGCATTCAAAATTCCCCTAACTTTAGTCACTGCTTAAAACGAGACTGATGAATGAAAGCAGTTAGCCTACATTATGGAAAAGGAAAACATTCTGCATATGTTTACGACCACGTTTCAACTCCCTACACCACTTACGCTCATTTTCTATGTTCATTAAACTGGCTATGGAATTCAATAGCTCTTTACGACTGAGACCACAGAAATATAATTACGGAATGTGATATATACTTGGTGGGAGCGTCAACTTTCTATCGTAAACTAGCTCGGTTGGCTAATTTTCAGACATATATCCTACTAATATTATAAATGAGAAAGTTTGGATGTATGTATGTTTGTGACAAGTAAACGCGAAAAACACTGGTCGGATTGGGCTGAAATTTTGTGTGATGACATTCCCAATTAATTAAACGTAAATTAAAAGAACCAAATTTTCTTTAACCGTGTCCTCTCCAATAACTGTAATAAGCATTTTATACTTATATGCCAACCCCGTTCGAAGGACGGGTACTCTGCTATTATTTTATATATATATAGAACAGTACCTACTTTACTTAGTAAAAAATCTTGCTCAATTTTGTACATATCACATAACTCAATGGAGACCAACCTGACTGTTTTAGAATTGAAGTTTAAAGTAACAGGAAACTTTATCGAGTAAATACATGCGAACCTGACATTTCCAAGACTTTGGCAGTGCCGGATTATTAGTATCGTTTAAAAAATAGCTAGTTAAAAAATAGTTAAAAATAGTTTGTGATTCTAGCAGATGATTTCTTTTGTAAAAAGGTGTTCATCTGGATATCCCTGATATCCTGGAAAAGTCCCCAATACAGTTGGGTCCCTGAAATCTTTTATAACTTACAGAATTTTATAATATATCCCCTACTTTCTTAACGTATTGTAAATGTTTACATTTTTAATATGGTTAATCATCTGATGAGGACATATTTGTATGCTGATTTGTGCAACGGTTATATTTTGAGAGTTTGAGCATGATTATTGTGGTTAAAAAGGGTAGCTAAGAGTTGTGTTGTGTTCGTTATTTTACCAACAAAATAAATCTCTCCATATTTGCCACTACAAAATAAATGGTGCATAATTTACTGATTGATTACACATTAATTATCCCTGAAAATTACTTGGTGGCATCCCCGAAAATTCCCAAAAACTGTGATTTTTTAATTGCCTGTTCAAGTGACACTTATAATGGACTATTAGTTTTCCTTGATCCCTTTGACTTGGTTCTTACTCTATGCTGTGCTGTGTCAGTGTCTGATGTTTCTCTGTGTCGCAGGCAGCGCATCCCCAAGCACCAGTGGTGGCTGAAGCTACGGCCGTTGCTCAGGATCCTCGCCAAGCACGACTCTGCCTATGAGGAAGAAGGGATGTACATGACTGTGGAGGAGGGCAGTCATGACTCTCTCGTGGTCTAAACTAGTATAAACATGCATTACATGTCTATCTTGCAATAAGTTAGCTTGACACTAGCACGGCGTGTGTCGCAGCAAGGTTTTTATTTAGTGATCAGAATTAAATCGACGTTTACGAGGGTAAGTTCCTATTCATTGAAAAAGGTTTGGTTGAATTTGAAAACTGCACATAATTTTTGTCTGTTATGTATAAGTTGACTTGTAAATTTATTTTTAAATTTTGTACATGGAGATTATTCAGATTCATTGAAGACATGGCAAATCTTGGGTGTGATGTATTGACGATTTCTCAAATTCAGGCCAGTGGCTCTTTAACAATTTTAAGGGTTTTTGTTTTATTTGTTGTAGTTTATTTATTTATTGTCAAAGTTAAAGTGGAAATGTTTTATTCATAAAAACATTGTAGTTAATTAATATTCAGAGCATTAGAGCAAAATTATGGTACGTCAACAACAATTTATTAACATTTCTAACATTTCATTGACATGCATAGTGTTACTGTCATTCATCAACAGAAGTGGCTGGTTTGGAGCGATTTTTAACTATAATGTGATTATTTATGATATCTAATGTTGTTTCAAGAGCTTTTCCTTTTGATACGTACCAAATGCACGTAATGCAATTAATTCCTAGCAAAGTAAATAATACAGTAGAACCTCAATAACAGGTCACCCTTGTTAAAAAGTGTTATTTTCAAATGGCATAGAATTTATTTGATCATTAATCACATGTTATTGCAAACATCGATAAGAAGTCAACTTCGATAACAAGTTTTGTTTCATAAACCCCAAGAGAACCTTGTTATCAAGGGGCTACTGTAACACTATCAAGGATCTAAAACTAGATGCGAGTCCTTGAATCCACATAACACATCACCAAATGAGACATTCACAATTCTTGATGACTGCTAGTGTAATTTACTAGTGTGATTAGTGTGGTAACTAGTGTGATTTCGATGTTATTCAAAAGCTAAAGATGCAGTCAAGTTACAATTTACTTCTCTACAGATACATTAGTTTGCCTGTATCCATTTACTGTCATACCGTGCCATACTATAGTTTCAACAAACCCTACTAATTAGTGGGCAACTTACCAAAGGTAACATATTTTACTTTTTAATGTAAGGAAATATTTAGGGGACTATTTTGTTATATTCATGGTTTTAAGTATTATGAATTATTGTTAGTAAACAAAAACTGTATCAGTTTTAAGACTCAACTAGTCATGGTTCTAAAAAGTAATATATTTGCTGCTATAGTACAATATGTCACACCACTTTTGTGTTCTAAAACAATTTATTTTCATATACAATTTCTCTACAGTATTGGTTGAAAACGTACCAGTGGTTTTGGTTTTACATCAATGGGATAGTGTTAGAATGTGAAAAGCTAGTTAAGCTACAAAACCATTTCGGTCTGTGGTACGAACGCTATTTTTCACCACACTATACCCTATTACCATTATTCACCACAATAATAATGCAGATTGATAGTCAAAAGAAGATAGGTGTGGTGAAAATATTGTTAATTTAAGACAGATCTGATGTAAATCATATGGACATTAAGAATTCAATACATTATTTTTGTGATATAAGTTTTTTAAATGGATTCAAGAAATATTATTTACAGTTTTCAATAACCATTTCTGTACTCAGGTAATTATTTTTGTCAAAATTACTATAAAGTTTATCTGAAAAGATGCATTTTTGTAAACAATAAATTCAGGCCTGCCCAGTAAAGATGTATATCAAATCAAGTTTTAAGATATTGAATGCACACAACTGCTCTAGCATAGGTTTTATAGCGAAACCTGTTTGTTCTCAGGAAGTTTTGTTATATTTTATATCCGAGACAATAAACAAATTGTTGTAAACAATAACTTTGAACACATCAAATAGAACAAGAGGTCTTAGTTTGAAACTAGGCTTGTAATTTTTTTATTACAATGGTTCATAAATTTTTTCATCAGTCCAAAATAGCAATTATTCAAACTAGATTAGTAAAATAAAATAAATCCATCACCCAAGCCAGTTAGCCGGCAGGTTACCTGCCTCAAGCAACTCCTCTGGCCTCCTGTAAATGCAGCTTAAGAGAAGTTGTAATAGTTGCATATTTTTATATAAGGCTGTTCAAAATAATGTCTAGATTATGAACTATAGCAATTTAGCAGCTTTTTATGTTTTTGTTTTAGACATGGAAGTCATGTAATGTAATATGGTAATATATATATATGTTATTAATTATGAATCCCTATACATTACTTTATCCCTGGATTACTCAAGGAATAATGAAAATATGCTTTCATACCAGTAAATAAAAATAAATCTAGGTATGTTAAAATTTTCAATTTTGTTATGAAATAGATTATTGCTACAAACCTGATGGCTTGAATAATTTATGCTTGTTAATAGTTGTAATTTGTTAGTTATAATTATTCACCTTTTTTATGTACTGTTTTCTATAATTGTTCATTATAAAAAAAATTATTTTTATGTTTGTTTTCATTCCTAACAATTTCATTCTTGGGTGTTAACTCATTAATTTAATTTAACTAATAACATGCACTTAACTCAGTGTGCATACTTTTAAACCTTTACTTTTAGGGCTTTACTTTTAGTTTATATTTTTTTGAATTTTTGAATCACTACTAAAATATTTTTAGGCTCTAAAATTCGTGGTATTTGCACTAGTCTCATAATAACAGCTGTTTTACATTATGAAGAGTGACCCAGGGCTCGGTCATGGGCTCATTTTTATTCATCCTTTTCACCAATGATTTTCCAGATTTCATTAGGAATGACAATTGTGAAACAATAATGTACGCCGATGACACAACTCTTCTATTTATGCATGACTTACCAGGAGAATTACACTCCAACATCTTATCCTTTAAGCACTGCAGTACTGCTTCCAAAATGACCTGGTCATTAATCCATAAAAAACAACCCAGCTAAATTTTAGCCGAAGACATGAACAAATCCAAAAAAATCCTGAAAAAAACTCAAAACTGCTGGGCCTGACAATGACAATTGACAAAGACCTCTCCTGGAACGACCACATTCACAAGCTGACCAAGAAACTTGCATCTGGGGTCTGTGTAATAAAGAGGATGAAGTGGATAGGAGGCCTGGAAACAGCTAAGACAGTATACTATGCTGTAACAGAATCACATATAAGGTATGGCTTAATATCTTGGGGAGGAACATCAGAATCAAACCTCAACAAAGTCCTGGTGCTCCAGAAAAAGGCCATAAGGGCACTCTTCGACCTTGAGCCCTTAGACAGCTGCAGGGAAGCATTTAAATCCCTTAAGCTTCTAACAGTGACAGCACTCTACATCCATGGAGTTGGCCTGTACACAAAAATACCCCCGCCGCAGCAAACCTGCCGTCTAAGCGAATTTCCATTTGGCCGAATTGATTTTCAATTGATCTATTTAAATAACATTAGGTTTAACGAGTACCTAGGTTTGCTGCTACAAGGAAACTAATAAAGTAGTGTGTTTTTAGTAAAATATTGATAGCTTACTATAAAATAAATAAATTGGCCAAGTTTGATCAAAATATATCCATAAACAAGCAAACTACAACATTTTACAATATTCTCCATAAGAATAACATGGGAATTTTAAATTTACAATTTTTTTAGTTTTCTCCGTAACCAATAACCGTACAAAAACACTTTGATATACTGAATTGTTTGTTTTTTTAAGCTCTTTAAGAAGGTTCAGAGAAAAATTGGGAAATTTTGTGTTTTGAGGGTAAAAAGTGAGAAAAACCAATTTTTACCCAATAAAACCCCCCATAAAACCCTGTTCCCATGGTCCGATCTAGCTGGATCGCGAACTCATTCAAGTTTATCCCGCCTTACACCTTCAAACCAAATTTCATCAAAATCGGATAAAAATTACTCAAGTTATCGTGTTCACGGACACATATATATATAAATCTATATATATATATACCTATATATATATATATACCTATATATATATATATATATACATATATAAAAATTTGAACGAATGGTGTTTTTGGCCTCTGGGGACATTAAAATGAAAAAGTAGATCGGTCCCGGGCCTAAGTCTTACCATGAGACCTACGGTAATAGCTACTTCCCTATAGGGAAATTCGCTAAAAAAACTATCCTTCCCAGAAATGAGAAGTTTCACTCCTGCCACACCAGAAGAGCAGCCTTCCGATCCACCACACTACACATTACAGCAGAAAACCCTCTTATATTGGCCGCAAATTCATCAACTCTCTTCCAAACAACCTGAAGAACGCAACAGGAAACCGACCCAATTTTCAACACAAAGAAAATGTCAACTGTTTAATATTCTGGATTTTTGTGTTGCCATTGTATTTCTTGAAGAAATAAAAAAATGAAAATGTCTATTGTCTATGTTCTATGATCCAGCAGCACCAAAGTACCCAATGTGCCATTTGCGTTTACTGTGATGAGAGAATTAGGATCAAATAAATGAGTCGGTTGTAATACAAAATTAAGTTGTACCTGTTAAAATATTTATAACAGAAAGTACAAGTTCATCACACTCTTAATCTTCAGAAAGCTAACATTTGTCAAAATTTTCACATTGAAAAGTGATTATACATAAAACATTTTGCATTGATAAGCTAACATCAAACCATAAACAATAATTTGTTTACTCTTTACTATATATTTTTTAATTAAACAAAGCTTTAAATGCATAAATATAGATCCACAATTTAAATACATTATTATTAACATTTATTAATTGACATTTTAACAAAGTAAACATCTTAAACAAGGCACTTTAAAAATTGTAGATATAATTTTGGGAGTAGGATGAATATAATATTTACACTAAAATATTAACTATAAACTATATTCTTATAAACTTACAACTATAGTAACATTATTGCACAAAATGACTATCTGTTTAAGTAACTCTAAATCGGACAATAACCTATTGGTTCACAATAAATTTAAACTGTTTTTATGTGGTAGGTGCATATCAAAGCAATCAACTCAGGGTAAGTATACAACAGAATGGAAATATCGGAACAGTTATGTTATTAAGGATACCTCATTATGAAAACCGGGTACACAGAGAAATTGCAAGCAATATTTGCCATTGAAAACAACAGTTTATTGACATCAATGTGATCAATGTGGTAGGCATTTGATAATTTAATCAACATTGAAAATTAAAAATTCAATATCTCAGTTACAAATGATTTATGACAAGAAAATCAGGGCAAGACTCAACACCCTATCAAAACTATTTTCCTACCTCAAATTGATATTTTCATAATTTTAAATTTGCTATGACTCTACAATATGATTTTTAGTTAGTAATCTTATTTATGGATTTTTGTAGCAGGATGTCTAAAAGATTTTAATTAAATAAATACATTTTAAAACCTAGATTTTTTACTTTTCAACTTCCGCCCTATACCTTTCCAATTTCCTCTTTTCAAGCTCCTCACATCCGAGAAGTAAATTTTCTAAATAAAAAAAGAATGTATCTTACATCAAACAACTAGATTAAACACCCTTTTATACATTTGTGTACATGTCTTATATATAAAACCATAAAACTGTTTACACACGAAGACAAGAGTCTTGAGCTATAATTAATGACAAATCAACTATAGTAACACCCTGTACAAGAAGAGCTAAAGCTAAAATTAAATATCACAGAAAACAGACACACAGCCTTGTGAGTTGGGAACTGTTTCTAAAATACAATTAATTCTGTGTCCATTCAGCAACAGTCATACAAACAAATTCTAAAACTATATTTAAATTTTCCCAAGTTTAAAATTAAAATGAAACAACATAAACGATTTAGGAACAATTCCCTTCTCTCTAGCACAGGACCTGCTATGTACCGATCTCACCTCAACATATGACGCTCTGTACATATTTACACAAAAGTTTATTCTTCTCACACGAGTTTGGCACATAGTACATTTTATAGTGAGCAAGTGATTCATAAGCTTTAACTGTAATTTTACTAAAATTTACTCACAAACCCTAAATGAACAATAAAAACCAATTAGAAACGGTTTACTTCACTTAATTTTAACAATAATAGACTCATTTCAACCACGATTTTACTTTTTGGTCCTTCATAAACAAAACTGACTGGTAAAACTAATCAATTTAGCATGAAAAATGTTTTCTAAGCTTAATTTTAAGTTGAGACAGAAAGTTAGGCTTAGTTGTAACTAGTGAGGCAAACTAGGATGAAAAGTCAGTACTAGTGTATATGTAGTAAAAAATGACTAAGAAGGGCCATGTAGGCTAACATACATGCATGCCTCTCAACTGGTTGATTACTGTTGCCTTACTGTAGTCGTTTCTAAAATTTCAGACAATTCAATTTGTATTGTAAGAAATTTAAAACTTTTGTCATTTATTTGATTTCTTATTTAATCCAAATATTACAAAAATCAAGATTCAACCAATATTGACGAGTTCCAGCAGGCCTTATAGACTGCCTATGTTTAATACTACCATTGTCTATTGGATATTAAAGTATACATCCCATCTATATGAACCAGCTGCCCCAATAAAAAAAAGAAGTTGTGTGAGTCAGTCACAGAATTTGCTAGTGTTTAAAATTCTATTACCTACCTTATTTTTGTTGCTGACATAGATCATGACAGTTGCTATAGCTCATAATAAATCGATCCATCAGTTTGACTTGGTAACAGACATTGTGTATTCGACAGAAATTTGTAATTTGGATCAGCCTAATCTGTCAGTGACTCACATCAACTACCGTATGACGAATTTGGCGAAAAACTGGCGACAACTTTAACATGGGGATGGAATATTTAGTTGTATCAATAGTCAAAGATACTACTTTCTACCCCTTTATATATACTTTTTTATACTAAGACTACTTGGAAAGGCAACACACTATTCACAAGCAAACATTTAATTGGTGTAAGTGAAGTCTTTCAAAATTAATTCCTTTTACTGATTCACCAACATTTAAAATTCATAGACCGATTACCCTGGACTAAAACCATCTGTTACCACTGGTATTGTGAGTCGTCTGCCTTTGTTTTCTGCAAGCACTTCCCTGAAGTATGCTATCGTCCTCTTTAGTCCATCTTCTAGAGAAACCTGTAGAGTTCAATTGAATCATTATTAGTTGATGATTTAGCATTATAATGGTACATTGACTAGTAGCAAACTAAGTCCCGTGTACCTATTAATGCAACCAAGCCCTAGACATCAATCAATATGAGTAACATAGAAGAAATCTGCTTGTTTGTTTATAAGGTTTGCTTCTGTTGATTTAGTGTTGGTAATTTAATCTGTCAATTTAGGTCTTTAAAAAATGTCGGTTCAGTTTTCAAGCCTACCCGTGCAGAGTTTACCCAAAGGAAGAAACTACCCTCGAATGAATAAGGTAGGGTATTACATGATTTGAACATCTTATTAAACATTCCTCTTGTCTTGATTGTAGGAACTTAGCTATTGACACCAACAGGGTCGTAGCAAACTCACTTTGGGTTCCCAATTGAGGTACTTCTTGGCCCGAGATATGTCAGGTTTCCTCCGCTGGGGATCGTCCTCCACAGCCGCAGAGAGTGAGATCGGATTGTTTCCTCCCACCAGCTTCTTGATAATAACGGCAAACTCTGCACAACAAGACAGGAACAATAGTGATGGATACATGATAAACTAATTCCCTCTGGTTTGTACCAGCAACTAATTCACAGAAGAAAGAATTTTAGAAAAGTCGGGATGGATATTTCATATTTCCATTTCTAAATTGCAATATAATACTTTGCGTTAAGACAGTTTCAGAGTTAGTTACATTTGTGCTACCCCACTTCATACTAACAACTGTTACTCGTGAATTATACAACTAACCTTTGAGGATGTTTAATGTTTTAAAGGAATAAATAATTCTAGGAGCGTTTTCAAATAATTCTTAGTTCCTTCTTTTTTGGCCAACACATTTTTTTGATGATAATCAAAATAAGCTGGCGATTTATTTTCAGACAATAAGAAACAGATTGGAGGCATAAATATAACCATGGCACAAATCACCAAAAGAAGTGTAGGCTACTGTTGAAATAACTATAATATGTATAGATAGACTGTAGACTACTAAGTATTAATACACAAATACCAATCATTTAATCAGTTACAACAAGGAAAAGCAATTATTGAAGATAAAATGTAACCTTTTATAGAGTGCTCCACAGGGTTGCCAATATTGATGGGTTGAGTAAAGTTGGAATTCATCAGAGCAATCAACCCGTCCACAAGATCCGACACATACTGGAACGATCTAGTCTGATTGCCTCTTCCGTACACCTATGAAAAATGCAACTTATAATGTCCGGGAAATTTAAAAAATCAACTACAATTGAGTATGTTTTTTGCACAAAACAAAGGCATGTGAATACATCATCTTTAGACTTTAGGGGTTAATATTTACAAATTCCATTTCTAAAAGGTTGTTAAGCCTGGAAACCCCTAAAAATAAATGTTAAAAAATCTAAATTCCAGGAAAGTGATTATTTAAAATAGTCTACTGTAGACGCCTTACCAAACAGCCAGTATTCAATTTTTCTTGGATGCTATGTCCTTTACTAGCTATTTTATAGCTTATCATTGCTCTCAAGAATATTTAGATTTGACAAATGTGTGATGGAAAATGCCATTAATCTGCACTTCAAATCAAGGCAAGGCAACACAATATAAACCTATTTTGTTGTAGGAGTGTCTGTTTTCTTGGACTATTTATTTTTGCCTCTTTTAATGACACCACCCTTTAACGAACACCTCTTATCCAAAGTGATTTAGAAAAGAGAATTTACCACAACATAAGATTAATGTTGTTGAAGTAACTTTACTATTTCCATTGAGTATACACGTACTAGAGTATCCACTCAATGGAGGTTATCGTTACCTGAACAACGCTGTTGCAGAGTAGTGTCAGCGGCCCGAACTACTCCACCTCGGGCTTGTCGGTTAGGCAGTTTGTTTTTTTTTTATTATTGCTTTCGTTGTTTTATAATACATGTTTAATACTAAATGATTAAAAGGTCCTCAAAGGCGCACTGCACTACTGACAGACTACCGCGACCCAAGTGTCAGCGGCCTGAACTATGCTACCAAAATCGGTAACAACTATTAGCATTATCTGACCCCTCTTATATGTGTATACTCAATGCTATTTCTCAGCTTATTGTGTATTTCGTGGCATCTAGACCATTTTAATGTCTGCAGGTAGTCAAAATAGTTTCTTTCACATGGATTGATACTGGATTGATTTTCTCTTTTTTTACATTAAACTTTGCAGTGATTATTCATTAAACAAAACACAGGCATCACAATGCGTCATGATTACTTTCAGCAAAAATTACTTAAACATACACTTCATTGAAAACTAGTGATTGATGTGTTAAAACAGAATCTCGAATTTCAAAACTTCCAAAACTTTGAACAAACTTAGGAAAAATTTGGAATTTGATTGGAAAGTTTTGAAAAAGTGTTGATCTCAAATTCATGTTATTATGTGGCAGTCAGAAGTTTAATTTATTTCAATGCTTGTAGTAAAACAAATATTTTTGTAGGTTTAAAGTGTCCCCTATTATCTGTGTTATTCATGTTGTTATGTCTGGGTCAGGAGTCCTATTTCATAAAATTCTGATTGTGTAAAAATTTTACTATTAGGCTACCTTAACTTTTTCTCACTTTAATCAGATAAGTAAAAAAAAGGGTTATGGGTTTAGATTTTGAGATTCAGGATTTGATTGTTAAAACTTTGGTTTTAGTTTAAAGATTTGAAGTTCCTGGTTTTCACCATTTAAGTTAAATAATTTTGACAACATCTTATTATGTACTTTGGTGGCATCTACAATTTGTAATTTTTTAAGTCTGTAAGTACAGTAAAATGTTTCCTTTTGCAAGGATTGATACTTATTTGATATCCTCTTTATGAAATTGTTCTTTGCAGAGAAAAACCGCTAGTGTGTATTATGAGACACAAAATTACTTGAACGAAATAAATCATTGAAAACAATGCACGGGGAACAGACAAAACACTGACTTACAGTTATAGTCTCATTTCGTAATGCTTGCAGAATGAAGTTAGACACGACCCTGCCGTCGTCCATGTGCATGCGAGGTCCGTAAGTGTTGAATATGCGCGCCACTCGCACTGACACCTTGTCATGTTTGGCGTACGCGTAACTGAGTGTCTCGGCCACTCGTTTGCCCTCATCATAACAAGCTCTTGGGCCTAAACAGCGAAAACAAAACAATTTTGTTTGGTAAGCCTAAAATTAAGATAAAATAAAACAAAAATTAAATATATGTCTATGAATTTCTAGGAGTTTAACTCCTAAAAATAATTTAACTCCTGTAGACATAATACAAGGTTTGAGTTTTAAGCTTATTAACCAGAGAATAATTCACCTGAATTAATAAAGAAATCTTTGGTTTGTTAAAAAAATCCATAATATACTGACATACTTTTTCAACACATCCTCATTCCAATTGAAAATTAAGTAGAAAATTATTTAGAATCTTTCAGTCAGAATGAAGGTGGAAGCTTTACGAACAACCAACACTGTTTAATTACACTACAAAGAGGCATTCTTTAACTTTTGAGTTATAACAGTAGAACGCCTCATATCCGTCCTTGACAGGACCGGGGCAAGGTTGGAACGCCCAAAAGATTGTATATAAGAAGGAGCATAGCCTGCAGTCTCCGCGGCCTTGGTAATCGACCGAGACAACACCCGTGAGCGTAGCCTGAAGTCTCTGCGACTTTGGTAATTGTCTCCCGCGACGGCGGCAGCACTTATTATTGGCAACAGTGGTGATCATCTACTGTGATTACGGCAACATCCGCGATTGGCCTTTCGGTTAACTGATCGCACTTGGCGCTATCGCCCTCAAAAAGAAAACAAGTAGACGGCGAACACTAGGTCGGATATAACAAGCAGTCAGTTATTCCGAGGTCGGAAATGAGGGGTTCTACTGTAGGCCTACATAAATAAAATTGCACGATGACAGTGACTTTAAGTAAAATTAAAAGCCAGTAATTACTTACAAGGTTCCAAATACCTATTGCGTTTAAAAGAATTGCGTAAGCAACCGATTACTACTTTGACCTTGCACAACAAGAGGTGGCATTCCACAAGGCTTGTTTCTTTTCACCAATACTGTATCGTAGACTAAATTTGTAAAACTGAAAATTTTGATTTGGAATCTTAACTAATTAATGTCCAACTCTAAAGTTTGCACAAAACTTAATAAACACAAAGAAACAATTATGTTTTGTTTACCTTAAAATACACAACAGACATTTTACACACGACCATATAAAAAAAAAATTTTAAGACAGTAGATTTAAATTCAAATAATTCACACATTGCCAAAGCAACTGAATAATTAGAGCAAAATTAAAATCAAGGTTTTGGAGAAATACTGGATTATTAAGAAATCAGGTAAAAAATTTGAAATTAGACATAATAACATGTTTTACTTCATTTCTCATACATTCAAAAGACTTTGAACATTGAAAAAATACGTAGACTTGAAGACCACATATCTTTCCCGTAAAATTCTCGGTTAATGTACTAACTGAGAGACTGGCTAGCGCTTCTGTTGTCAGGAAGTAACAACAAAGCAATTCTAAGCTAGATAAGCTGTCTTAATACAAAGACACCTACCTATAGGATTGACATGGCCCCAGTAAGTTTCAGGCTGAGGATGAACTTCCGGATCCCCATAAACTTCCGATGTGCTGGCAATCAACACTCTGGCCTTAACTCTCTTTGCTAGACCTGCACAGATGCAAGGGATGATTATAGCTCCTCACACATCACTAACATTTAAATGTTTGAATGACATGATAACTGGTGAAACTAAAAAATGGGATTGATAAAGAATGAAAAACAATCTAGGATTGCTTCACGATGAAGATTCTAGGTGTTAAACTCGGTTTTTACTTTAGTTGATAATTTTAAGCAGGAAATAGTATATATTTAATGATTATCTGTGCCATTGAAATGTTTACGTTGTTTGTAAGGACATAGTCCAAATCCAGGTGTTGTTGTTAATATAGACCTTAACAATCCCAGGCTAGACCTAGCATCCTAGGACAAAAAAATCAACCTTTTGTTTTGAATATCCCAATGACTTCCGGGCATTAGTATTTAATTTTTGCAAATGATTCTTGTTACCGATGTATCCAATTCTTGTACAACAGTGCCATAAAGACTCCAAATTGATTTTGTTTTTCATGATTGCCATCTGCAAGAATTTTTACTCTAAAAACCCCTTTAGCCTTTGGTTCTCGTTCCAAAAATCAGGGGAAAAAATCCTGCCCCGTCATGTCTCAAACTAAAAGTAAAATAAGGCCCATGCCTAATAAAAGCATAATAATGATACGAACCAAGAACATTGATTGTGCCGATTGTGTTGGTCTTGATTGTCTTGACAGGATTGAACATGTAATGAGGTGGACTGGCAGGGCTGGCCAGGTGGTAGATCTCGTCCACCTCTATGAACAGAGGGTTGACAATGTCTTGGTGGATCAGCTCAAAGTTCTCATGGCCCATCCAGTGGTCGACGTTAGTCTTGCGGCCGGTGAAGAAGTTGTCCACCACGGTGACCTCGTGGCCTCCCATCATGAGTCGGTCAACCAGATGTGACCCGACAAACCCGGCACCTCCTGTCACCTAAACATAGGAAAAAAATGTCATCTTAATACACATAACATTATTTTCTTAATGTCGATCCATGGATTTAAACATTTTTAGCTTCTAGATCTTGTTTTGGCAAATGAAAGGTGAAAAATACCTATTGTACTGTCAAGTGATCCTATTTTTTTCCTGTTTTATGATCATTTTCAAAAAGTCCATTTCCATTATTAAAATGACAATTAAGTAATTTAATACAATCCTCTATACCACTGGGATTGTGAATAGTCAATACATACATATTGACCATTAAACAAAGAATATGTCAAGTAAGAAATAATGGTAGCAGACACTGGATGTCATGACTCACCGTCTGCCAGCAACACCACACATCCACTATCACTAATTTGGCCAAATATTTTTTTAATAGTTCTTTGTTCGTGTATTCAAGTTTGTATCTGTGTTTATTGCAACTCTTCACAACCACAATGATGACAACTAGTAGTTGCTTGCTTATCTGGCACTTTTGGGACTTGGGTGTAGCCAGATTATTGAAAATGATGCCGGATTGATGTGTGGCTGCTTAAAATACTCGTTACTGCAAGAATAGCGAAAATACCGCCAATTTAAGAGCGTTAAAAGGAAACTGTTGGTTGGCAAGCCATTATTCTGTTTTTAAAGGTGCTATCTATGATTTTAGTAGTAAAACAAGCGTTATTAATTATTAAAATAAAATACATCTGAATTTTATTAAGTACGAAATACAATCGACGTCTACAATTTTTATTTGATTTTGATGGCTCTTGATTCTGCTGATCCCTCCCGACTCTGCGGATAGCTCCTGACTCTCCCACATCAGTAATTAAGTTTTCAACAATCTAAATACTGCCCAAAGTAATTTGTCCAACATGCCAGATTGTTCGGAACAAGACAGTTAAAAGTGGATAGAACCAGAACAATAACTGCTAGTTTGGGCAACAAATTGGTCACTTCACTTGTGGAATGGGAGTAAACAAATTATGCTCCAGAAAAAGCCTACGTGTTATAATTTATCTGAGGTGAACGTCAATATTATTTTTGTATTATTATCATTATTTATATTTAGATTTATTAGGATACAGAAATTAAAATTGTGTAGCCTATTTAATGAAAATGAAAATGGCAATAAAAATGGAAATGGCTGGTATTTTTGATTTTATGGTAGTGTAGATAAACTTTTGAAAATAATATTTGAGCTTATGATGTGGTTCTAATTTTACTCTGACTGAAGTCGAAGATTTTAATGGTCAGATGTTGAAGGAAGTCAACATTAGATGTATGACATTCGGATCGATAAGAAAAAATGACAAATACTAACTTATATAGTCTGTGTTACAATTAGGTAAATTTAAAAGTTTTCAAGGGTGTATGCCCTATTTTTTACCCATAGAACTCATTAGATTATTCAGTATTGTAATTTTGTTTGTTATAACATATTTTTTTAAAGAATTCCAGATATCCCCACACAAAAAGATTCTGCAATCATTTGCCTTATTTAAATAAAATGTGTCTAATAATTAGTCTGAAAAAAAAAAAACTTATAAGAAATAAAGTAACAGTTACCAGGATGCGTTTCTTGGCTCTGTAACTGAGAAATCTCACAGTGGGGAAAGCCTTGGGTATCCGTCGGTCGAGGGATTTGAGTTTGGTCTCCAATTGTCTGATCCGCTGCTGCGCCTCCTCTAGAGCCGTCACATCTATAAAGTGACGGGAATGATCTCCTTCACCACCCACCTATACAAATGAATCTGTTTTAGAATGTATTTTTGTGCTATTTAATCACCTGTGACAATATTTTATTGAACACTGATGCAGTTAAATAGTTATGCAATTTAAATCAGGACCTCTCGGAAAATATTGTCAAGTACAGTACCAAAAAAATCTGACTAGTAAAAAATTTTGAAAGTTTGCCACCAAGAACGTATTGTATAGGTTTTTTTAAGGTAAGATTTAAAATATCAAACAAATGTTGAGTTTAGGGTCCTAGAGGCTTACCACAGTATATTCATATTTCTAGACATATATAAATCAAATTTGTGCTTAATTAATTTACAAGCTTTAAGTATAATTGGAGATTCTAAATTTTCACAGGGAGTAAGTTTTAAGAACAAAGATTTTGTTTGGATACAAAGCAAGCTATCAAAGTTGCTTTAACTTAGGTTATGAATTCAAGTAAATATATGGCCTAGATATGAATATGATTGATAATATTGGCGGTTAATCACTGGTAAATGGTACAGCTTGAAATACACTGTTCTAAAAATATTAAAATATAAATGGCCAGAGGTTTTTCAATATTTATTTTTTATGCATTTCTGTTGTAGTGAAGAGCAGACAATTTGATAAAAGAACAACTAAAACCTCCAGTTGTAGAGCATATTTGAACTGGTAAAGAAACGGTCAGTTACTTTTTAGGTTTTATTCAGAACATTAAAACTTTACAGTGATAAAAATAGATGTAATGAATTTAAAAAGAGACTTATACAGTATTCAAAAATATATCAGTGTTGTGGTCAGATAGCAATCAAAACAGGATGTCAACCTCAACAAGGGAATATTTGAGAGATAGGGAACTGAAAACAGATGGAGCAGAAATAGAAAAGAGACATCTGGGGCTCGTTTCATAACATACTAATATTATTAGTTTGTATTCTGTTATGAAACAGGCCCCTGGGGTTGCCCTGGCCTTCTGAAACAGTCAGATTAACCCATCACTGGTGCAAAAAACACTAAGGTGATTACAACAGCAGCACAATACATTGTTGTGAACAGGTTGGTTGGTTTGTGAGTCACATATTTATCGTGTATTGATACACCTCCCTTCAAAATATCAACTTAATGGCATTAGCAGGGCTTCTAACGTAAATGATGAAACTTGTTTATAAACATAGAATCAAATACTGTGCTGAAAGATAATATTCTGATAGGCTTTTAGATGCTTAAATATTACATGACAAATTTTAATTATTTTAACTTTAAATTGGCCTATAAACTATTTTTATAATCGTATCGTTTATTGTATTGAATAAGTTGCACAAGAGTGATTAATGAACATTACAGGTTTTCATTCAAAATTTAATTTCCAATACCCCAACAAGTATTGTTCCCAATTCTGCAACAAACAGTGTGGTGCCAAAATAAACGTAGAAAGATTTAGGCTTATCATTTGATTCACACGACAAACATAAAGCTCACAAAAACAATGTTTAACACACCTCATGCCGTTCACTGTCTCTCTCTTCCCTAAGCTGGGTGTCCAAAAGGCCTTCTGTCTGAACCCAGCTTTTGTACAGCAACAAAACTGTAACAGGGATGTCAAATTAAATAATGTACAAAAAATAATTTACATTTAAAACCACTGTTAATAGTATTTATAAAGAAATGAAACCCAATGAGTTTATAGAGAAATATTGGATACCTATGGATTTGAGTTTTGGGAGCTATCTCCTTAATTTTCTAAAGCAGACTTTTGTACAAACACACATAAATGTACAGTCTGTTATGTAGGACTCTTATCCCATTTATTAAAATACTGGTAATTAAAATTAATTATTTAAAAAGTAATGTTAATTCATACACACCTAATTTGTCATCACAAAGCATAATATATAATATTAAGTTGCTTCTAATTTTATTTCCTGGTAAACTAATTTTCATTACCTACTTTTGGTTGGTTTGGTAAGTTTTCTGACAGGTTAACACCATTATATTAGATTTGTGAAAAGCATAACTATTTTTCTTCTTCTTTTCTTAATAGACAAGGTAGGCCTACTTAAAAAAATTGCTATTTAGAATAATATTGATTAGGCCTAGTACAGAAGGGTAGGTAACATACACAAGATTTTCTGACGACTTTGACAAGGCAGGGGTTATTCCTGCCTTGCACTAGGCCTATTAACTGAAACCAAAATGACAAGAATACAATTAATTGATACACTATATTGCACATAGGCCCGACCTATGATTCGCCAAGACAAGATACTGGTTATTTAATGTTATCTGATTCTAGGTATTCCTCAAGGTAGGTGATTGAAAATAACCTATAATCAGAAGAGGGTATCACACCTTATCTACTCTATCTCACGAGAACACTCAAAAGAAGAACCTCTGATCCATGCTCGAGCCTGGTTGCAGCACAAAAATTACACTTTGAATAAATTAGTATTTAAAAATGTCAAATAGAATGGATGTGCATAGTTAATATTCATGTGATTGTAATACTGCACAAGTTGATTTTAATGACCAGGTATTTTTTTTTGAGTTCACCATTTAGGTTGACAGGTGTAGTTAGTATAACGAGAGAATCTTACTGAAGTCTAAACACTTTTTTTGGGGGGAGGGGAGGGTTTGTATGGAATGTAATTTGAAACTGACCATAAGTTGGAAACCTTATGAAGGAATGACTCTTGCTTGCACTGCCAGTTGAAAATTTCAGAAGATCCTTAATATTACAGTAAAACTGGTTCTAGCCAACAAAAGCTTCAAATTATTCATTCTAATCTAATCCTTCTTTGCCGTCTCCTTAATCTGGATACCATAAACAAGATAGATATCGATGTCAACGTTTAGTAATTCAATGAAACACCGCTTTCTCCACCTCAATTTGATAATTAAATTTGAATACAAAGTCAGAACAATTAAGTGGATAGAAGAATAGTTTGTTTATAAAGCAAATACTTGTGAGTGGCAAAAAATTAAGATAAAATGAGGTTGTGGGAGTACTTAAAGAAATGGATGGGACTTTTAATTTTCTTGAATGAAATAAATTTTATGCACTAAATTTGTTAGGCCTAATAATTCTGTCTATTAGGGGCTATCATCTTTAGGACACCACAGATAAGAAATGAAAATACAAAACCAGATTACTAAAATGAGTGATTTATAGTTATTTACTTTGTGTTATCTGTTAGTAGTTCTGAACAGATCCATATTTTTAAATGGAATAGGTCAATAATTATGTAAAAGAAAATGCACTTTGAAATGGCAGCAACAGTTAATACCCATAATTTACAATCAAGTAGAATAGAAAATGCACTTACTTTTAGCGAATTTCCCATAGGGAATAAGCTATTACCGTAGTACTCATGGTAAGACCTGGACCCGGGACCGATTTACTTTTTCGTTTTGAGGTCCCTAGATGCCAAAAACACCATCCATTCAAATTCATATATATATATATATATATATATATATATATATTTATATATATGTGTCCGTTAGCAACATGTGTCAAATTTGGAAAATGCATTCATTTCATACTAAACTAGGCTATTAACATTTTACAAAAAAAAAAAAAAAACACCTTTTTCCCCTCCTTGTTGCAGCATCCTAAGTACCTACTCGTTAAACCAATGTTATTTAAATAGGGAATAAATACGATATTTTTAAGGAGACATTTTAGTGTAAATCCAATCAGGCGAATAGAAATTCGCTTAGTCTGCAGGTTTGCTGCGGCGGGGGTATTTTTTAATAAAAATTGGGTCTAGTTTCAGGGGAATCAATGTTTCAGTTCAAGCATTGTTATGAAACTCCAGCTGTTGTCAGAAATTAAAAAGTGAGAAGAAGGACATATGTTAATTGTAAACAGTCAATGGGCCGAGTGAATAAAAACAAGTAGAGCAAGTATTTACTTGCGAGTAAATACTTGCAAGTAGGCCTATTCATTCCTCCAAGTAAACTCTTGTGAATGAAAGCGACTCTTTACTTGCAAGTAAATACTTCCTAATTCGAGGGTATACTTGTAAGTATTTAGGTACCAAGGCGTATGAAAGAAGGTGTGTGCATATTGACGTCAGTGCGAGCAAAACGTGTTTTATTTTAACAAATCTTATGTTTTCTTGTAATTTTCCAAAGACTTTTGAATGACAATCATTACGAATTAGCATTGAATATATCCTATTTAACACCACGAATACTAGACAAATATTTTTTTTATAGTATTCGTGTATAACACTATTTAGTTTTTTATATATAATATTGTGTTGTATTCAACATTGAATATAATGTAGTAGTGTTATACAATGTGGCAGTAGTATAAAACATTTGATAGTAAGTACCATTTAATCAAATTAGCTGCGCAGCATTTTTGAAATTATTGAGCGAAGCTCTTATACGTCGACTTTTATGCATTTCGTAATACGCAAACTCCTCCTAGACGGCTGAATCAATCGTTTTCAAATTATGCATGGTGATAAAGACCATATCGGTGAGTGCCAACATCTATATGGCGTTAAAAAAGTCTCTCAGGAATCCGCCCCACTGGGTCTCAAAGTTTCAATGTAATCCTTATGGAAGCAGTATTTGACACATAAACAAAGACATATGATCAGCTGTTGACTTTTGAATGCAGTAGATAAATAAATAGCTGTTAGCATTATTCCACAGATATTAGAACATAAACGGTGGAATGGATCATAAATATAATCAAATGACGACACGAGCTTGAAGTCCGTGACGTAGGAAGTGGTGAAGGAAGTAGTAAAGGTGAGCAGTCTGGAGTGTGGAAACTGTTTAAGACTATGAGATTTAGGTAGGCATCTGCATTCCTAAAATTCTATGGGAAGGGAGGAAACAGGTCCGCGACGTAGGAAGTGGTGAAGGAAGTAGTCAAGGCTAGCTGTCCGGAGAGTGGGAACTGTTTATGACAATTAGATTAAGGTATCTGCATCCTAAATTGCTATTGGAAGGGAAGGAAACAGGTCCGCGACGTAGGGAGTGGTGAAGGAAGTAGTTAAGGCGAGCTGTTCGGGGTATGGGATCTGTTTATGACCATTAGATAGATTAAGGGTTTTGCAATCCTAAAATGCTATGGGAAGGGAGGAAAACAGGTCCGCGATGTACGAAGTGGTGAAGGAAGTAGTCAAGGCGAGCTGTCCGGAGTGTGGGAACTGTTTATGACCATTAGATTATGGTATCTACAAACCTAAAATGCTATGGGACGGGAGGAAAACAGGTCCGCGATGTACGAAGTGGTGAAGGAAGTAGTCAAGGCGAGCTGTCCAAAGTGTGGGAACTGTTTATGACAATTAGATTAAGGTATCTGCAATCCTAAAATGCTATTGGAAGGGAAGGAAACAGGTCCGCGACGTAGGAAGTGGTGAAGGAAGTAGTAAAGGCGAGCTGTTCGGGGTATGGGATCTGTTTATGACCATTAGATTAAGGGTTTTGCAATCCTAAAATGCTATGGGAAGGGAGGAAAACAGGTCCGCGATGTACGAAGTGGTGAAGGAAGTAGTCAAGGCGAGCTGTCCGGAGAGTGGGAACTGTTTATGACAATTAGATTAAGGTATCTGCATCCTAAAATGCTATTGGAAGGGAAGGAAACAGGTCCGCGACGTAGGGAGTGGTGAAGGAAGTAGTTAAGGCGAGCTGTTCGGGGTATGGGATCTGTTTATGACCATTAGATAGATTAAGGGTTTTGCAATCCTAAAATGCTATGGGAAGGGAGGAAAACAGGTCCGCGATGTACGAAGTGGTGAAGGAAGTAGTCAAGGCGAGCTGTCCGGAGTGTGGGAACTGTTTATGACCATTAGATTATGGTATCTACAAACCTAAAATGCTATGAGACGGGAGGAAAACAGGTCCGCGATGTACGAAGTGGTGAAGGAAGTAGTCAAGGCGAGCTGTCCAAAGTGTGGGAACTGTTTATGACAATTAGATTAAGGTATCTGCAATCCTAAAATGCTATTGGAAGGGAAGGAAACAGGTCCGCGACGTAGGAAGTGGTGAAGGAAGTAGTAAAGGCGAGCTGTTCGGGGTATGGGATCTGTTTATGACCATTAGATTAAGGGTTTTGCAATCCTAAAATGCTATGGGAAGGGAGGAAAACAGGTCCGCGATGTACGAAGTGGTGAAGGAAGTAGTCAAGGCGAGCTGTCCGCCGTCCGGAGTGTGGGAACTGTTTATGACGATTAGATTAAGGTATCTTGGTATCTACAATCTTAAAATTCTAGTATGGGAAGAGAGGGAAACAGGTCTGCGACGTAAGAAGAGGTTAAGGAAGTAGTAAGGCGAGCAGTGTGGAGTTTGGGAACTGGAAACAGTTTGTAGCAGTTAGATTAATGTATCTGCAATGCTGAAATGCTATGAGAAGGGATGGAAGCATGGCCACGACATAGAAAATGGTGAAAGAAGTAGTAAAGGCTAGGCAGTGTGGAATGTGGGCAATGTTTGTGACAATTAGATTAACGTATCTAAAATACTAAAATGCTATGGAAAGTGATGAAAACAGGTCCACGATGTAGGAAGTGGCTTAGGAAGTAGTAAAGTATGAACATATTGTGAGAACCGTCTGTGGCAGTTAGATTCATGTATCTTCAATCCTAAAATGCTATGAGAAGGGAAGGAAACAGGCCCCACAACGTAGGAAGTAGTGAAGGAAGTAGTAAAAGCTGGCAGTGCAGAGTGAGGGAACCGTTTGGGCAGTTAGATAAATGTATCTAATACTTAAATGCTATGAGAAGGGATGGAAACAGGTCTATGACGTAGGAAATGATGAAGGAAGTAGTAAGGCTTGCAGTGCAGAGTGTGGGAAGTGTATTTGGCAATTACATTAATGTATCTGCAATCCTAAAATGCTATGGGAAGAGAGGGAAACAGGTCCACGACGTAGGGGATGGTGAAGGAAGTAGTAAAGGTGGGCAGTGTTGAGTGTGGGAATGGATTAATGTATCTGCAATGCTAAAATGCTATGGGAAGAGACTGTAGACTGTAGGTTAAAATGATTATGAAGCACGAATCGTTACATATTTCGATACGTATTCAATAGTTTACAATAGAAATTTACAACTAAGTTGACAACAGCTGAGTTTTACTTTATAGAGGCTAAAAACAAATTTTATTCCCTAAAGAGTAAAAATGCTACTTTAGACCCGCAAAGCATGCACCAGTGACGACTGTTTTTACTGCAGTATGACAAAAACAATATAATATGAACCCTTGATGACTCCGCTCAATTTTGTGGATGCCTCTGCGAACGCCACCTAGTTATTTGTGTTTGTTGTACTTTTTACAAAGTGCTTAAACAGTCTGGAGATATAAATCAACTACTCGATTCATTGTAACCTAAACTTTAACTTCCCTAATCTAACCTACCTTCAAAGGACTTAGGCCTAATACAGTCACGAGTCCACATAACATCCAACCTACCAACCTCACATGTCTTTTTCAACTTATAAAACAAATTTTAAACTGTCCGAGAAGTTTGGTTGGGTTAGGTTAGGTTAGAATAATGTCAATTTGTTGTTTATTCATTTTATTAAAACTGCCACTACACTATTATCCTTACGGGACATAACGGTTACATGGTCAAAACCTAAGTGAAGAGAAGAACTAAATGAATTCCTTCAATTCATCATCCAATCCAGTCCCCAGATCCAGATTAAATATGTCCGACCTAGAGGTGTTTATTAATGTTAATTAGTTTTAATCAAATAATATGCCTACATAAGTTAAAGATAGCCTACTTAAATTAACGTTAATTATCTTTCTATGTGTGGATTGTGAGGGTAATATTTACATTAAAATAAATATTTAATCAATAAATGTGAATTGTGCTATTAACTTCGATTTTACAGTGTAGACATTGTACTGCAGATTCAATGTTCTTAATAAAACATTAAAATAAACTTCAAAAAATCGTAGTAAATTCATTTTTGTGGCAGCAGAAAAAATTTTGCACCATTATTTTCAGGTGAAAAATCTAGTTTCTAATGATATATAAATTAGGTACTATAGAACTCACTTGGTCACCCTCATATATAATTACGGCTGCACTTTACTTTAGGTCCTACACTCATTCGAATGAAAATATCGATCAATATAATCGATTAATCGATTGTTTCATTCGATATATCGTTTGGTTAGTTAGGTAACTTAAGGTTAACCTAACCTAACCAACCAAACGATATATTATCGAATAATCGATATTTTCATTCGAATGAGTGTAGGACCTAAAGTAAAGTGCAGCCATAATTACCAGTTGTTTGGCTAAATTCGGCCTGAAATAAGTTACTAACTTAACTCATTGGTGTACAGATATATTCATTTCACCATTCAATGCAGTTTCAGAAAGTTATAAGCCCAATTAAATAATTAATTCGTAGTTCAAACGAATGAAAATGCGGGACGGATGGTTTTACAATTGAATGAAAAATGTGGAACAGGTGGTTTTACAGATTAAGATTTGTCTGATTCACATGATAGGCTAGAATGGATGGTTCATCCGGATGAAAGTAAAGTCAACTTAAGTTAGCCGGCATCGGATGAATCGGTTGGTGCGCAATAACCGGTAGCATCGTTTGTTTCTAATTCCCATCACTAGGCTACTACAGTAAGCTTAGCATATCTTTGTGCCAATTAGTTTGAGAACTGTGAAGCTATACCAAGTGATGCTTGTCTCTTTAGCAGAGGTGCAATGGTATTAGGAGATAAAATATAAAGACAGTTATGCATATCTTAAATGTAAACATAGCCTGTAGTAAAAGGGCTTACCAACAATAAAACTCAGTGCTGCGAAAGTGACTTTGGCATATGTGCTGCGAAAATGAAACATCGTCACTTTGGGTTATGAATTACCTATAATATCCCTAGTTCAATTCATTATCGATTTACCAATTAAACTGCAACTGTTTAACTTATTTCATAGTAGGCCTAGTCATGAAAATTAACTGCTAGGAAAAAAAGAAAAACACACTGGGATGAGTCCAGACAAACCAACCGACAATTAATTAATTGATACATAGACGAAGGACAACACAACACAACACACTGCACTGAGCGAGTAACTTAAACTTAACTAAACTATTAAACTATCGGAGCTGGGATTCATCATTCATGATTCATCTGACAACCGACAACCAACAACCAGAACCAAGAACTAAAACTAACAGAACAGAAACAGGCCGTCAGACCGATCCGATCACAACAAAAAACTAAACAAAACAACAAAACACTTGGACTTGAAAACAGACTACAGACAGGCCACAGGGACAGGAGACAATAGAATAAAACAGAGAAGATAACACCTGATTTTCCAAAAATAGTATAAAAAATACTATGGTATACAAGCTTGTAGCCTTAAGACTGTTGATTATAAGTGATGTAATATATACATATATAAATGTTTTACATATAGCTTCTATTCATTTGTTAAGAGTAAAAATAAATCACCAAATGATTTGTGTAGTATAATTAGTCGTACAAATAACTAATTTCCTCAAAACTTGAACTGTTAATGATTTAGTTATAGATTAATCATAGAATAGCCTAGTCTCAGGTCATCTACTCCTTTTAACTATGATCATAGATTAAACATACTCCTCACATGATCAAACATACACCCTTACTGTTAGAACTCGTGTGAAATAAGAGCAGAACAATTAAATGCTTCCCTGTTTCAGGTTACAGATTTTTCCACCACCTACCAGTAGCCATAAGGGACTTGCCTATTTCAAGGTTCAAGGCAGTAATGAAGGACTGGTTGATAGAAAACCCTTTTTATGACCTGTCTGAATTTTATAAAGTAGGACTACCAGTTTTGTTATAGGTAATGCTCATGCACTGACTGCCTTGCATGTCTATTTTCTTGCCTGTTTTTTTTGCATGGTTTTGCTACAGTTTTGTTTTGCATGGTTTTATTTGTTTCCTTATTATTATATTTATCTAACTTGCATTTTATTTGTGAATCAAGAGATGGACTATTTATTATTTACTTTATTGTAAGTGACTTAGCCTATTGCTTATGCTTAATGGCCAAATAAATCATTGAATCAGTGTATCAAGGAGCGTGTTTTGTAGTGTTTGGGTACTTTGTATTATACCAATAACACCTAAATTGGTAAAATAAAACCCTTAGGTTAGGTTAGGAAGGTTTTGTTATTTAAACTAATTAAAATCTTATATGTAAGTCGATTTATCGGTGTGGTGGATATAATACGAAAGTACCACAATTTGTTATTGCTATTTCTAATAAATACTAGTTTAACCAAATGGAAATAATACCCCGCTGCAGCAACTTCTAACAAAATGAATTTCTATATGCCACACTACGCTACACTACAATCATTTTAACCCTAAAAAATGAGGAATGTCTCTCTTATTTTGCTTTAGTGTGTTGTTCTCTCTCTAATTGCCCAATTTAATATTATAGTTATATCACGGCTACAGAAATATACTCTTTCAGTATTTACAACATGTTTAAAAAATAAGCGGTATCAACAACTGACACAACTTTAGATTCAGATTCTTTATTGGTCATCAAACACATAGAGTGCAATAGATCGTGTCATGCAACACGCAATAATATGCATCTATCCCAAATACATAATTTGTCAACAACTCTTATAATGGGGTTTTATCCAGTGGGAGTAGCAGCTTGACTGGCTTGTGTAGCCGAGTGGTTATGGTGCTCACATAACTAAAAAAAGGTCACCGGTTTCCGAAACTGGACTCAGCTGTTTATGATCATTGGCTTTAAATAAATTATCCTACTGGCTAATGAAACGAAACAGCTGATCTTAGTCAGTAACAAAGCTACACATCAGATCATCTGAGATCATCTCACTCCATCCTACACTCATCCTACTCATATTTGGGTTAAAATACTTACTTCGGTGGCGTCCCCATCTCACTAATTTATTAATAAATTGATATGGTTTGATGGGTAAAATCACAAAAAAAAATCAATAACTTTTAAACCGTAACTCTTACAGCATTTAAGGTTGTACCACATTCTGTTAAAGAGTTAAAGAGGGACCATAACATACCGTACTAAATCAAAATCTTTCGAGCAATTTTCTTGAATAACTGATATTTTTCATTGCCGGTACCGTGGTAGATCACCTTTAAAAATGAAAATTTCAAATATATATATAAAAAAAAACTATGGATTAGTACCTACCACATACGAACACATATACGAACTTCATCAAAATTGTATTTATTTTGAGTTGTGTAAAATTTGTTGTTTCCCCAAGATCTTTAACATGACATTTGTACTGGCCCGGCGATGACTCCTTTGTGAGTCGAAACCGGTTGCAATTTAGCAACACATTGATCACGTAAATGCAGGTATTTACAACAATTATTTAGTTCTTATGTTTGTTTATATACATTATATACAAATTTTATCAGTGGCAAAAAACCGAATTCAGTCATATCCAGACTAACCAGTCCTGTAATCCAGCTACTAGGAGGTCACGAATTGTGGATATTTATAGGCATGCACTGTGGATGCGATACTGGTAACGGTAAAAGACCAAGAGATTGTTTAATTTCTGGAAGGTTTGTCTTAACTGATTCTGGGATGGGTTGTTTAGGCCATTCATCCTCATCTTGAAAAGATGTTACAGTTAGAGTTTCACACCAGTAATATACCTATTTTTATGAATAAGACCAATTCGTATATACCAAGGAAAAATGTGGTTCGGATTCCACTATAAACTGTAGGTCCCTTAGTTGCCATTTGCTGTATGGGCTATTAATTAACAGCCGTGTCTAAGGAATGTCGGCCTTAGTCACTAACAAGACTACAAGATCGCGCCACTCATCCTACACTCATCTCCATTCATACTTGGCTTAAAATACCTACTATGTATGGTCGCCATTTCATTGAACAGTATTAACAGAACAGTTCAAAGTGATTACTTAAAAATGTTCTCAACATTTTGTTCACTGTAGTAAGTGCCTTCTGACTACGGTATACTTACCTGTACATTAATTTTTATTTATCATATGATGTTTATTTATTTAGGTACCATTAATTAAATTATTATTGTTCACTTTATCTTTTTACTGAATACACGTATTTTTACTCGCATTAAGAGTTCACAACTTCATTCACAAATGAGCACCACAACGCTCTAATTTTGTAACTGATACTCTTTTCAAGGGTGAAACCTTCGTTTTTGCCTTTTGCTTTGGTTATCACCATGTTCTTTTTAGAGCTGAGATACACAACTCCACAGTAACTGTTTTCTGATGTATCACAAAATCCATGAAGCTCACAGGAAGATGAAGAATGATGCAAGTATAGAGGCTATGATAGTTTTTCCAGTTCAGGAAGTTGATGAAGTACAAAATCTCTTAATGATTCTTGTAATGAAGGGGGCAATAGATCATCCCAACCTGTACCTTAAGTCCACAACTGTTGCATTAGATGTTTAGCCCAAAAATATAACAGGACTCACATAGCCTAGAGGATCAAATATTTTTGACAGACAGGACAATATATCTCTTTTAGTAAAGGGTGAAGAATTTAAGGACTGCACGTCAACATGAAACGTAAAAACATCTAGTTTAGATTCCCATCGGATGCCTAAAACCTTTATAGTCTCCTTATCATCACCATCAAATCGTAACGGAACTTCTTGATGCTCAATAGGGATTCCGCTTCATCGCTTGACCACTTCCTACGTTGGAAGCCACCACCTTTAGAATCTCAATCAGTTGATTTTTTATAGCTAGTAGACTTTAGAGAATCAGAACCAGTTACAATTATCATCATCAACATAGATATCATCCATCAAAACCTTTGCTGCTAATAGATATTTGTTTCCTTCATCCAAAGCTAGCTGTTGCAGAATTCGAATTGCCAAAAATGGAGCAGATGACACACCATAAGTCACAGTGTTTAACATGTATGTTTGTAAGGGTTCAGAGGGAGAATCGCGCCAAACAATAGCTTGATACGGTTGATGTCTACTATCAAGTAAGATCTGTCGATACATTTTGCATATATCTGCAGTAAATGTGACCAGGTGCATTAAATACAACTCTCAACTTAGTAGTGGAGCTAGCTTCTTCAAACACTAGATGATGTGGAAGATAACAATTAATTAAGGCCTTTTCACACCGGCGTACTGGGCGTTTGGTACGTTTTTTTCAACAAATCGCTGCCCATGTTATCATATGAGTTCGTTCACACCGCGCGTACAGAACGTACTGTACGTACAGTACGTACGCGATGGTTTTGTGTGAATCGCTCGGAGAGCGATTTTTCTAAAACGTACGTGGCGTACATGGGCTCGCGCATGCGCAGTGAACACTTCAAAACCACGTGCTCAGCCAGTGTTACTTGTCTGACTGCAAACGAACAAGTGTACGTTTTGGAAGTTTCTGTGCGGTGTGAAAGGACCGCGTACGTACTTTACGTACAGTACGCCCAGTACGCCGGTGTGAAAAGGCCTTTATGCCAATCTCACCATGAGGTAGGCCTAAATGTTCCATATGGTCATTATTCGTGAATGAACTTAGAATAATCCTTTCTTAAGGATTCTTGTTTAGGACATAGTTTACGTTCTAAGTTTCTGAAACAAGAAGCAGCATACCTAAACGACTCTCCAATATTGGGATCTTCGCCTGTAAAAGGGAGCGGAACTATGTACCTTCCTTCCTGATTCCGTTTTACAACATTACAATAGATCATCTCACATTTTTCTTCTTCCGGGTTAACTGATGCATAGACTGGAACTTCTTCTAATACCCCAAATCGTCTAAGTTAATCGTCTAAAGAATGTTTAATGGTTACAAAATTGAAAACAATAAATAGATGAAACCTGTTCATATGGCTGTATTTTGCCGTTAAAAACGATTGGACCCATCAAAATATATCCGAAACTACTTTAGTAAGGAACGGGGTAACCTTTGGGAGCATGCATCCGCCCGCCATCCATTACCTCAGGGTACAAGTCTGCACCCAACAAAAATTAAATTTTTCCTGGTGCGTCAAAAAGTATGATCTGCAATTTCAAAATGTTTGTATTCGTCTTTGATATATTCTGGAAGGGAGATAGAAGGCATTTGAGATGTAATTTTCTTAAGAATCACAGCATTAGTTTGAAGGCAAAGTTCAGAATCAAAACGAGGTTTTAGAGTGCACGATACAACTCCTTTAGTAGAAAACAGTAGATTCTGCAATACCAGATACTTGTTCATTGAATTTATTTCGAGGATGGCACAGGCGCTGACAACAATTCTTCAGTTATAAAGAAAGTTTGAGATACAGAATCAATCAAAGTTCTAATTGGATGGAATTGACCTGATCTATCTGATTTATATGAATTAAAGCAGTTTCTAAGGAAGACAAAACTAAGGAAGACCTAACACTGCTGCATGCATGCAAGGGACTTGACTTACGTTTTCAGCTGGATGAATGGAATTTTCATTAGGACCTACTTTATTATTCTGCCCTACCCTAGCCTGAGCCTTGTTGGTTAGACCAACATCATCATTATGTAGCAAACTGTTATACCTACGTCTTGCTCCACATTTGAAACAGCTAGTCTTTGAAGTACACACATTTAGTTTATGTGAAGTCCGTAAACAATTAAAGCATTCTGTGCTTTAATCCAATCCCTACGCTGAGCCGGAGTTTGTCGTCCAAAACTTTCGCATTTATAAATTGTGTGAGCTTCCTTGCAAAATAAGCATTGTACTGCATTGACATTAGATACACAGGCTCTTTGATGAAAAGAAGGCTCATTATTAGTGTATTGCGTATGCTTATACGATTTATTTACGGAAATTTCTATCACAGAATTCTGGATAGTTTCAAGGGCTCTACATTTTTCATCTAGAAAACTAAATTGCCAAAAGTAGGCAATTCAATATCAGAATGTTTAAGTTCAAAATCAGTGCTCATTTTATGTTCGATTTTGCAAACAACACTGTGAAGCAAGAGAAAGCTTCACTGCTCAACAGGTACGCCTAGTGTTTTAAGGCACTTGTATTTTCAGATAAGGTATCAATGAAGTTTCTCAAAGCCTTTGGAGATTTTGAAGTTACTGGAGATATGTTTTGTATTCCATCCAAGTAACATGTAGCACGCTTATTTTGGAATCTAGATACAAAACTTTGCCAAGTAATTGTATAATTGACATCAGTTATGGGGAGATTTTTTGCTAACCTCAATGCATCATTTGTACATGAGCCAATAAGGTACATGAACCGTTCAATGTTTAACAATGATTTATTTTCATAGTTGCCTAAATAAATCATAAAAAGCTAGGCCATTTTTTGAAGTTGCAAGAAAATGTAGAAAAAAAATTAATTTTAGGTAAATTAGCTTGGCTTTGTACAGGCGAATGATTAGTTTCAGATCGAGGAATAAGTAATTGTACTTCTTCAATTTTGGGAGGGACGATCTTTGACAAACAGTTAAAATGTAGTACTATTTGTCACTAAAACTATCAGAAAACTCTTCTACTTCACTATAATCTGATTCACTTAATTGACTTTTCAAAGCAATTATTTCTGATTGGAGTTTGTTAAATCCCTCAAATTACGCATGAATCGATGCACTACGAATTTTAAAGGATTCACAATTTTCAGACTCGGTGGTTATTCCTAAGCTTTAGGCCTAGGTTATAAACTTTGTCTATTTTCTTTAAAGCACAATTTCTACGAAACTGGAACGCATCAAATTGGCTTTTAAGTTCCTTAACTAACTCCTTCCCTCCGTCCCCGTCATGTTACTAGAAGTGGGTTGGACGAAACTAGCCTGAATTGTTGTGGCCTAACAATGGGACAAAAACTTAAAGGAAAAATATGAATCCTAATGCACAGTCATGTGGTCTGTGACAAAACTTGGTCTTATGTGACTGTTGGGCTTTACATGGCAAGGTTATTAACAATTAAGGGCCAAAAAGAACAAAAATTGAATAGGATATGTAAATTCAGGTCCAATATCCCAATTTAGACTGTGATTGTGTAACTTAACTCAATCTTAACTCTGTAGAAATTGATAAATATGGACGTACAATAAATGCTGTGTACAATAAATGTGGCTGCGAAGGACCATAATGTTTATAAGTCAAAAACTTATAATGTTTTTGATAAGTTAATTGAAATAAAGTTTTGTCAGTGTAAATGCTTGAAAGTATTAACTGAGAATAACTTAAATACTCACTTCATTTCTGTTCTTCATACCATTATTGTACTTCTTGTTGTTGCTGTTTTGCTCTTGTCATCATATTATGTTCAATTTCTTTTTTGTGTTTGTATACAGCATATAAAAAGTGTATTGGGGTTGATTATATATCATTGAATATTGATTAGGCCGTAACAACACATTAATATACATTCATTTGCTAGTAAACTTTGTTATCTGCCAAACAACATGAAAATGTATGAGTGTCACCTCTCACTATTTATTTTCTCACAGGTTTATGTCTTAGCTTTTATATTGTGACGAGCAATCGCTAAAAACGTAAATGGGACATTTACAATAATACTTTCAACCATATGGATGTACTTTTATTCTTAGCAAGTCAATTCTGCTACATATTCTACATTGGCAACATCCTCCCGCTCCAGCTAACTATCGGCAACCGCATTCTGCCACGACCATGTCCTTGTAGCTGAGACGATAGGTGAGAACCCCCCGAGAGTCTAGGTAGAGGACAGAGATGGAGTCTAGCTTGGTAGGAACACAGCACGACCGCTGGGTCTTAGTAGGCTGGATGCTAGACAGCAAGGTTTGTATAATAGCATGTTTGGTAGGTGTCAGGTGATCACTGAGCGGATACACACATTTACCCACACATTGGTACGCCTGGAACACACGTATAAGTTATATTTACATTTAAAAAAGGTAGTTTATTTGGGAAGTATACTAAATCAATTATATGTAATGATCGAAGGGAATTGCGGTTTGTTTCAAGATGTAATACAGTACTACACATAAAAAACCTAGACTCTCTGTAATATGTCAAGTTAGGTTAGGTAATTTATTTATTTATTTTACATTTCAACAGATGGACCCATTTTGATATTGATACAAACCTTTGAAACAAACTTACAAGACTTACTTAGGACTACAATGGTTGATAGTATCCAATGAATTAATTAATAAACAAAACGAAAATAACGGGACACAAAGAAGTCCTCGGACACAAGTTGAGCAATCTGTCTAACCTCATTTACAATACTCAAAATACTTACCTGTACCCATTACCAGTATTCTAAGTTACTATCCACGGTCCGAAAACAATTGAGTAAACTCCATTGCTTCAAAGTATGGTCCATTCCATGTAATTTTGTTATTGGTTAGGAGTTAGGACATAAAATAAGTTATTCCAGCCTTGACCAGAATTGCAGGATGAAATCCAAATACGTCGGTTTCCATCAATTGGATGGCTGTTCATAGTGGATGTTTACGGATGACAATGGAATGGAGTGTAATCTGCTAAGGCAGATAGCATAGTTGGTAGGGTGAATGTGGTTCGGATTCCACTATAAACTGTAGGTCCCTTAGTTGCCATTAGCTGTATGACAATATCCAAATTGACTTAATTAATCTAAGTAAATGCTCTTTTTGTCTGATTTCGGCTGGAGGTTTGTCATTAGGGTGCGACTAATTGCTCTCATGAACTATTTAGTTGAAGAGCTACCTCACGAACATGGACATTGTTAAGTCATACGAGACACGAGACCGAGGTATTCCGTTTAAACCTGTGTTCTACCACTACAGAACTATCGGGGGCAAAACAGAGGTCCGGAGAAAAATCCTGATTTAAAATGAAGTTGAACGACCAACCAATGGAATACTGTGCGAGTTGTTATGTGTAGAAAGATGTGGAAAAGAGACAACAGCCATATTTGAGAGATAAAAATAATTCTTAAACTATTTTCACAGGCATTAAATAGGTGGTCTGGTGTATATTAAACACAATAAATCGCACACAAACCTGATAACCACTCGGAGCTACGATCCAAGAGTCATATTCTATGTCTGCAAACTCCACGTAGAGAGGTTTGCGCCTGCAGAGGTTTCTGTGTTTCTTCTGTTTCGTCTTTATCAAAGCCCCAGACCATATTCTGTTTGTCTCTTCTTCGTAGTCTTCAGTAGAAATGTCGCGCTTATTTCGACGTGTCTCTTGTGAGTTTTGAAGTTGCTGGAAGAAATACAGGGTGGTTATAAATTATTGTACACATTTTAAGATTGAATAAATAAATAACCAATCAACTTAAAAACATGGGAATTGTTTTATTAAATTGCAAATTTAAAACAGTTCTATATACTGACTGAAAATTAATAATTGTACACATTACAATAATTATAAAAGTAGTTATAAAAATAAAGTAAAAATGTCACTTAAACTGTGGGTGTAAGGTATGATTCTTCTTAATGACTTGTGTTGTGACATAGTCAGCTGGTCAACAATGGATCTTTCCACAACAGCTGTTAATTACAGTTGACTAAACAAACACTAAACTAACCTCTGTATCAAAATGGCTAGTGTGCAAGAAAAAGCAAGGTGTGTTCTTTGGTTTCATGAAAGTAGATCTGTAATAACTGTTCAAAGAAGGTTTCGTTTAGAGTATGGCTGCAATCCTCCGAGTAACAATTCTATAAAACGCTGGTATAGGCAGTTTGAACAGACGGGAAGTGTCCAACATAGAAAAGGTGCTGGTAGACCTCCAGTTTCTGAAGCTATTGTTGATCAAGTAAGAGAATTGTTTACGAGGAGCCCTGGTAAGTGTACTCGGCGTGCAAGTTTGGAATTAGGATTACCTCGATCAAAAGTCTTAAAAATTTTGCACAAACACCTTAAGCTCCATCCATACAAAATTCAGTTATTACATGAACTGAAACCTAACGATAAACCTCGACGCTACGATTTTGCTGTTAGATTACTTGACCTCGAAGAACAAACAATAAACATTGGAGAAAGCAATTTCTTGAAAAAGTAATTTTTTCTGATGAAGCAACCTTTCATCGACCTTTTTATTATTTCATTTAATTTCATTTCATGTTTCTGGCAAGGTGACTAGACACAATTGTAGGATTTGGGGTACTGAAAATCCTCATAATGTTCGAGAACAAGAAAGAGACAGCCCTAAAATAAACGTTTGGTGTGCATTGGCTATAGATGAAGTGATAGGACCCTTTTTATTCGCAGAACCTGCAGTCACTAAAGAGGTATACCTCGACATGCTTGAACTTTTTGCAATACCACAAATTGAGCATAGACAACCAAATGTTTACTGGCAGCAAGATGGTGACCCTTCACCCTGGGGTAAGATAGTACGTGACTACCTAAATAACACGTTTCCTGGTCGGTGGATTGGACGGGATGGTCCAATTCCTTGTCCACCACGTTCCCCAGACATTACACCCTGAGACTTTTTTTTGTGGGGCTATGTCAAGGACAGAGTCTTCGCCAAAAAAGTTCAAGATATTGAGGAACTCAAGAATAGAGTTCGGAGGTTATTGGAAGCATAACTCCAGCAATGCTCAGAATCACATGGTGTGAGGTTGAATTTAGACTACAAACTTAGCGTGCAAAGCTCGGAGAGCACGTGGAATTAGTTTAGTTTCCTTGTAAAAGTATGAGTAACAGTAATCTTTTTGCCCTTCATCTTATATATTAAACAAATTTGGTTTTTCTTTTCCGAGTTCGTTTGGCTCTTCTACCCGACCGATTTTCATGATTGAGGTCTCAAATTGAAGGTATGCACGCTCAGATTTGCCATCATCTTATATATTAAAAAAATTTGGTTTTTCTTTTCCGAGTTCGTTTGGCTCTTCTACCCGACCGATTTTCATGATTGAGGTCTCAAATTGAAGGTATGCACGCTCAGATTTGCCATCAAGCATCGGCATATATTTATCTATTATCCTACTCGGCTTATACGTAAAAGAAATTTGCTCCCCATGTTATTCTTATGGGAGTTAAATTTGGTTTATATTTGCCGAGTTCGATTGGCTCTTCTACCCGACCGATTTTCATGATTGAGGTCTCAAATTGAAGGTATGCACGCACAGATTTGCCATCAAGCATTGGAATATAGTTATCTATAATTCCACGCGATTTCTACGTAAAAGAAATTTGCTCCCCATGTTATTCTTATGGGAATTAAATTTGGGGTTTCTTTGCCGAGTTCGTTTGGCTCTTCTACCCGACCGATTTTCATGATTGAGGTCTCGAATTGAAGGTATGCACGCACAGATTTGCCATCAAGCATCGGCATCAATGTATCTATAATTCCACGCGATTTCTATGTAAACGAAATTTGCTCCCCATGTATTTCTTATGGGAGTTAAATTTTGTTTCTCTTTGCCGAGTTCGTTTGGCTCATCTACCTGACCGATTTTCATGATTGAGGTCTCGAATTGAAGGTATGCACGCACAGATTTTCCATCAAGCATCGGCAAAAATTTATCTATAACCCCACTTGGTTTATACGTAAAAAAATTTCCTCTCCAGGTATTTCTTATAGAAGTTAAATTTTGTTTCTCTTTTCCGAGTTCGTTTGGCTCTTCTAACCGACCGATTTTCAAGATTGAGGTCTCAAATTGAGGGTATGTACGCACAGATGTCCCATCAAGCATTGGAATATATGTAGCTACAGTCCAAACCTGGATTATACGTAAAATAAATTTGCTCTATTGGTAGTTAAATTTAGTTTTTCATTTCCCAGTTCGTTTGGCTCTTCTACTCGACCAATTTTCATGGTTGAATTTTCAAATTAAAGTTATGCATGTCCAGATTTCACAACAAGCATCGGTTTGAGATACAATATACTAAATAAAAAAAAAATAAAAAATACAAGGTTAAACCCGTCGAAATCAACAGGTACTGTTGAGGTAATTCTATTTTGGAACCATTTGGTTTGTTTGTGATTCAGCACTATGCCAATCTTAATAATCATAATTAATTACACAAATGATGCCGGAATTTTACCGAAGGTTCTTATATGAAAATAAATAGGATAACGTAATTAGAATTGAGTATAGATATCAACTTTCGTTTTTTCGTTTCGTTTAGTTTTTTGTTTTGTTTTTGTCTAAATAATCTACTTTTATTTGGGCTATCGGTATAATATCGGGCTATACTTTTATTCGGGCGGAGGGTATGTTGAGTTGAGCTGACTCTGAACTTTAGTTTCAAAACATTTTCCAATATCTTATCTTAGACAAAATTTGTGATTCCTTCAAAAAATATTTACATCTGTCTTTCGAACATATGATTAAATATCTATATATTAATTTGAAACTGTTTTTCTTTGTCACAGCTATTTTGAGAGAAACATGGTGAATTCCCTTGGGGCTCTGCCCCAGTGGCCTTTGAATTCCCATCCCATGTTATTCTTATGGAGGAAAACAGGGTTTTTGTCACAGCTAATTTGAGAGAACGGCTGGGCGTAAAAACTTGGTAGGGGTCTCTAAAGAAAGGTCTTGGTCTGTAGATGAGCCATCAAAAGAGGAACGAGGTAAATTCCCTTGGGGCTCTGCCCCAGAAGCCTTTAAAGTTGCCTCTTCAGATTTGTTTACATTACGACCATATGCATAATTCTACACTACTTTTTAATGAAACAGCTGTTAATATTTAAATTGTGATTTATTGAATTTGTCAAAATGAAGTGCAGTATTTGCAATGGGTTTTTCTGATTTTAAAATGGATTTTCTTCTGCATCGTGTCATGTTTTGCAATATAAGTTAATGTTCTATTACCAAATCAGTGGAAAATCCTAATATCACAGTAACTCTTAAAATTATTTCTTTTGGAGTTAACTTATATCTATTGTATGGGTTGGTTTAACTGCCATTTTTACCACTTCTTCAAGATTGTAGGCTACGTAGGTGATATTCGTAGGCATATTGCATCTGTAGACAAAACTTGGGTTGGTGTAATTATTAGAATGGAAAAGAGCGAGAAATCCTGGACAATTTGATATAGGCTAAAAATAAAACTGAATTAACACTGTTCTACATTTCATGAGCAATCATTGAAATAACCGATTTGCAAACAATGGAAACATAGAAAAAGTCATAGAACACAACCAAGTAGAAGAAATAGAAATAATGTTTTTTTTTTTCATTTATAATCGTTATCATAGACAACCTAATGCGGCTATGAGAGGGAAAAATTTGTAGAAAACACTAAAAAAACAAGATCAGCTTTTTGAAAAAAGATAAGATATTTACAAAAGATTTTGATTAGCCTATAGGCCTAACTAACTGTTGTGTAGATTGTGAGTATTTCCATAATCTTTGAGTCGCCTGTAATGCTTCGTAATTGCTCGAATTCGAGCAACAGGTAGACTAGTTGGTAATAAAACTGTTTTAAATTTGCTATTTATTAAAACAATTTCCATGTTTTTAAGTTGATTGGTTATTTATTTATTCAATCTTAAAATGTGTACAATAATTTATAACCACCCTGTATTACTCCCAACAATGTTGATATACCAACACCTATTTTCTTATTGTTTGGGCAAGCTCATATACAGTAGGCCCTACATACTAAACAGCCAAGCCTTAAAATAGAAAAATGAGTAATTGGGGTATTGCTTGATAGCTTTGACAGTCTATATTTACTCTATTTGTCTATGGCAGAAGTAAACAAAACAGAATACAGTAATACAATAGTATATTTCATTACTAGGACCGAAAGTGTCATTTTCCGGCGCGCGCTCAAGTTTTTGTGTGAGGCGAAGCCGAACACAGGGAACCCCAATTTAAAGTGCGAGGCGAAGCCGAGTACGTGAGAGCTATTTTCACGTACGAGGCGAAGCCGAGGACGGGAATAATGGAGCAAGTGCCGGATAATAACTTTCGGTACGAGTTATGAACGATAGTTTTCATCACGACGCAAAAATACACAAACAAAGATTAGCAGACCTCAGTAATATTACAACTATATTATTTATCAGCCAATTTGTTTAAACATAAATATAAAATAAAATCTTCTAAAAGTAAACCTACATATATTTTCGTATAATTTTAAAAACAAAAATAATATAAAATATTCTTAAGGACCTTCGTATATTTCTCAATACTTCAATCATCAAAGAAATAGTTATTTGTGCAACTAGTGAGAAAAGGAGAAATCCTTACTCACGAGCCGTAGGCGAGTGAGGAATGGTTTCTCGAGTGAGGCAATTTTACTTTGAACTCAAGTTGCATACAGTCCTACAGTTACCATAAAACAAATAAGTTGGTGAAGAAACATAACCTATTTTTACACAGAAGTGAACTTTTAATATAACATTTAACGTGAAGTGACAAATACAACAGTACAACAGCTGACCAGCTGATTTACAGCCAGTGCTGCCAACGTATTTCGCGCGCATACGACGTTATGCCTGCATGTTACGCGCTCACTATTTCGTGCCTTCACGTTGCAAATCTTGAGTGAGACAAAGTAATTAGAGTGAGACAATGTTAACATTGTCTCACTGATGAGCGAATTGGCCACTTTGCTTTCTCAAATCAGTGAGAGAACATGTACATTGTTAGGTAACTGCAGGAAAAAGAATTAAACAGCTTTTAACAATACATATAGCTGATTCAAATCATTAAATTAAACCGTAACAAAACACTAGCGCGCGTAGTTAATAAATGAAGAACTAATTGAGAGCGAGGGAAAGTAAATTTAGAGCGAGGGAAAATCAGCTGATCGATTTTCCCTCGCCCTAAATTAGAGCTTGGGAAACAACTACTTTTATTGATGTCAGCTATTATCGAAAATAGTTACTTTCGTTACGAAGTGATGAAAACAAATAATCACACCTGATTTTAATAAGGTAATAAATTGAAAAAATAACAAAAAATAAGTACAGCTGATGGATTTTTAACATTAGGAATATAGAAAGTTCCCTTTAGAAAGGAATTACGACCTTAAAGGGCAATTTATGAAATAATGGATAGTTTTGCACAAGGTTTCTCGTCATGACGAGCATTTTAAGTATATGGTTTATGGTGGTGTGACTTTTAGTTTTCTCAAAAGTTCATAAGCACTTTGGGATTTGTGTATGGATGGATGGATTTATTTGTAAACATTGTAGTTCCAAATGTCTAGCATTGGACTCCTAAAAACTCTCTGGGGCGGAGTCCTTTTAACGGATCTGCACCAAACTTCAAACAAACCATCCTTGAACAATGCTTAATAATGTCTGAAAGTTTCATTACAATCTGTCGAGTTGTTTCGGAGTTCATAGGGTATATACAGGGTGGTTCACGTAAGCTGTCTCAAATTGATTTCAGACAAACCGTAGATTAAAGTAGGCCTTGACATCCCGTTCAGACTTGGAATAAAACTGATCCCGAGTACGCCGACCGAGTACGATGATGGTAGTCAACTCAATTGTAATCATTACTGATTTCTGACAATTGCCAAAAGGAAAGGACATCTTATTGTAAGCTATACAATCTTTTATATCGCATCACCAATAATTGTAAGGACAACTAGGCCGGCGCGCACTATCCCGACCACGACCACGACCACGACTCCGACTGGTCGGATACGACCAGTTTTATAATAGGAATAAATGGAACAGCGCGCACTGGTCGGCTGGTCGGACCCTGGTCGGGCCCTGGTCGCACGACCAAAATTTTCCAGTTTGGTCGGGCCCGACCCGCTGGTCGTTGCAGCCAAAAATAGCACACAATGTAATGGGACGACGCGCACTACCCCCGACTTGCCTCCGACCCGACCAGTACACCACTCAACCCCCAGTATTCCTAGACCAATCAAACGGTGAGCACTAGTTTTTTGCGCCGGTCTGTAAAGTGACTCATTTGGTAAAATGTCGCAGGATTTTGACACTTTTGAAACCTGTCTTCATATTGACGTAGCTCTTCATAAAATGTTGCAAAATGCCCTTTCAGACCTGACAATTAACATTGGATGTACCCAGTATAGTTTCTTCTTCCGCTTAACGTACTTACAATACAAATGCGCCATAACAACTACTTCTTGAACAATCATCTTGACACTGAAGTTTGTAAAATATTCGTTGCCTTGGTCGGGTCGTGGTCGGGTCGTGCTCTGGTCGCATGGTGAATGACAACCACTGGTCGGGCGTTTGGTCGTGGTCGTGGTCGTGGTCGGGATAGTGCGCGCCCGGCCTTAAGGTATAAAATATAATTTATACAGTGGCACACCCTATGAGTCGCTCTTCCGGCTATGTTCCATTTAAATAAAAAATGACTAAAACAGGTCGAATATATAAATGAGGTGTCTACTTCAGTAATCAAAAGTTTTGCAAGACTAGCCGAGATAGGCCAGACTTGACGTTATTGCAGTACTAAGCTGATTATTACAGTACTAAGCTGACCACTAGAAAATATTATAGTAACTCAATTGAACAAAGATAAAACTGAATCACAACTTCACAGCTAACTGGTTAAGTATTTAGCGTAGTTATCTTGCTCCATACCGTGTCGTCCCTCGGAGTGGTAGGGCTGTACAACAGCAGCAGCAAGGGTTGTTGATCAACGTGGTCATTGGAAATCATCAGGGGATGAATGTTCTGTCCTGGAGCCACAGTCACCCCTACCACCAGCTGAAGCTCCCCACCTAATAAAACATTACGATTACCATTCTTTCGTCAAAGCAAAAACACAGTTGAAATTGATGAACCACTCATAGAGTTTGCAGCATTCTAAGATTTTATTTCCTCCTTTTATAATAATAATAATAATAATAATAATAATAATAATAATAATAATAATAATAATAATAATAATATTATTATTATTATTCTTTGTCATGAGAGCCGAAGCCCCCTGACTACGTACCCGGTACCTGTCGTGAGACTCAACCCGGGCCCCATGATGTAGGCCGAAGCTTACGCATCAACCTTTAGCACATCATGGGCGGATGACTTAAGGTCATCAGGCTCGCCGGCTGCCGAAGCAGACCCTTCGGAAAGAGGGTTGCCCCTCAATCCTAACCAGGGATTCCGGCTGCTTGTTTAAGCGTCACTCCACCTGGGTTCCACTAGGTCGGAACCTAGAGGTCCATAATGGAGCGCCCCGACGCATTTAGTGCAAGCAACACTCGGAACCTATCTAATCCCTGACAGGCAAGCCCGCCATCAATAGCCAGAAGGAAGGGGACCGTTGTTGGAATTTATTTATAATCTTGTTCCTCATTGCCTTCTTGGTACTAAGTTAGAAGCAGCTGTCATGTGTTAATTATATGCCATGTGATTGCTATGTTTATTAATTTGTTGTAAATAAACATCACTTCCACTATGGACTTTAGAAACCATACTGTGTAGTCATTTTACTCCTATTATTAAAAAGGAAAATCAATTATAAACAAGTGGTTATGGGCCCAGTTTCACTTTTATTGTAACATGTTCTCTGTGGCCTATTTTGAACAGTTTAATTTTTGAAGAGAAGTGTTTAAGAAATATTATAGTAAATTTCATTGGATGAACACTTATTAATTACTATGATGGGAGACAAAGTTATATACTCCACATCAGCCCCTGGAATTTCTAAGTTGAAAGGGTCAGCCAACTATGCCAGCTGGAAATTTGACATGAAGATGGCTCTAAAGTATGAGGGATTGTGGAATTGCATTGAACCACGAAGGACTACTGCAGAGACGACACCGCTAACTGTGGATCCAGACAAAGATGAGAGGGCACTCGCCAAGATTGCCATGCACCTGGAGGCAGCTCCAAAACTACATGTCAGGACGGCCACATCAGCGAAGGAAGCATGGGACATTTTAGCAAAGCAGTATGAAGTCAAGAGCACAAACAGGAGAATATTTCTGCTGGACCAGCTTTTAGATTTAAAGTTGGAAGTATGCAACAGCATGTGTGAGTATATTTCTAAATTTCTTGACCTCAATGCTCAACTTGCTGACATAGAGAAACCCGTAGACGATGAAATGAAGGCGTGTCTACTTCTAAGAGGTTTGCCTGAGGCTTACAGGGCATTTAGGATGGCAGTCGAGAGTACAGATAAAGTAGAATATAGTAAAGTACTAGAAAAATTAAATAGCATGGCTGAAAAGGATACCACTGAGTCCTCTGTAGTATTTTCAACTTTTAAAAGCAATACTGGGAAGCCTTTTCTATCAAAATCAAATACTAATCAACCTAATTTTAATAAAAGCTCAAAGACAAGGAAGCCTTTTATTCCTACTTGTTACAAATGTAGAAAGGCAGGCCATATGATAAGGGATTGTCCTGAAAATAATGAAGCTAATATTAGTAATAGCTCAAACATTAGTAATAGGTCAATTTCCAAAATTGGTAAGTCAGATGGTCAAAACAAAAATAAAAATGTAAGTTGGATAACTGATCTGAATGTAAAGGTAGAACCTGAAAGCTGGTACTTAGACTCGTGTTGTTCTGACAATCTTTCTAAAAGTAAAGACAGTTTTCAAACGTTTAACTCGAATGAGGGAGTTAAAGAGGTCACTGTCGCTAATAATACCAAAATTTACTCTGCGGGTTCTGGGAAAGTTTCTGTGAACCTTAAAAACTTTGGTGAGAGAGTGATATCGAATGTGACGTACCGTATGTACCAGATTTATCTACAAATTTGCTATCTGTGAGCAAAATAGCTAGTCAAGGGCAAGTTTTAGTTTTTGATGACAAAGGGTGTAATATTTACATAAAAGATGGGTTTTCAGTAAGAGGTGAAATTTGTGGAACTGGAACAAATGTAAACGGACTGTATCGGTTAGATACAGAGAGTAAATGCAACATTGATCCAAATGATGGAAATTTAGCTATGTCTACTCAGGTTGACCAGTCAGTTAGTGTGGACCTTCACAATTTATGGCACAGAAGGTTGGGTCACTTGAATCATGTTAGCATGGGTATTTTGAAAAAGGGGATGGCTTTGGGTGTTGATTTTCCTAATCAGAGGCCAGAATCTTGCATTCCCTGTGTAGAGGGGAAACACTCCAGAGAATCTTTCCCAACCACTCCAAGTAAGAGAGCTGAGGCAAAACTAGAGTTAATCCATATGGATGTCTGTGGGCCTATGAATTTTCAGTCTCTTCAAGGTAATCGCTTCATGCTAATATTTATTGATGACTTCACCAGAATGACCTTTGGTTATTTCTTGAAATCAAAGGATGAAGTAGTTGATTGTTTTCTCAAGTTTAAGAATTTAGTTGAAAATCAGACCAACCAGACTGTAAAAACTGTTAGGTCAGATGAAGGCGGGGATTACATGAATGCGAGACTAGAAGAAGTGTGTAATAGATTTGGAATAAGGCACCAGGTTACTACTCGATATAGTCCTGAGCAGAATGGGGTAGCAGAGCGTGCAAATAGAACTATTATTGAAAAGGCTAGAAGCATGCTTAGTGACTCAAATTTGAGCAAGGATTACTGGCAGTATGCTGTGGAGGCAGCTATTTATCTTAAGAACCGAAGTCCTACAAAAGCTGTTTTTGGAGTCACTCCACAGGAGAAATGGACTGGATCGAAAGTGGACCTCAGTCACCTTAGAGTTTTCGGGTGCATAGGCTATGTGCATGTGCCTAAGGAGAGAATGACCAAATTGGACTATAAGAGTGTTCCTCACATTTTTGTAGGTTACAGTGAGGATGTCAAAGGTTACAAATTGGTCGATCCTAAGTCTCCCCGTAGATTGATTTATTCTAGAGATGTAAAGTTTTTTGAAAACTTATTTTATAATGGGCGTGAAGAAAATAATGGTGATGAAACTATACAACCAGTCGAGACCATAGTAAGCATCCAGACCGCCAAACTCGATGAACCCTGCAGGAATCCTGAGGCAGAAGAGGAGAGCTTCATTCTTGATAATATCGACATTGAGCAAGATGGTGACGATGTTGGAACTGGAGGATCCGCTGAAGGGGATTCGGGAAATGATGAGGAAGTTGTTGAAATCAATGTTGGGAGTAGGTACCCTCTAAGAGTAAGAAAACCTAAAATGTTTCCTGATTTTGTTACCTACATGGTTACCTGTGAGGATCTAGAGCCAAGTAGTTATCAAGAGGCAATAGAAGATCCGAATAAGAATTTGTGGAAGCATGCTGTGGAGGAGCAAGCTGATGAAGAATCTCTACATGGTTTTGTTGATGCCAGTCATGGAAACAACTTTGATGGAAAAAGTTGTACGGGATATGTTTTTAAACTGAGTGAAGGACCTGTGTCTTGGGGAAGTATGAAACAGAGATGTATGACTGATTCCTCAACAGAGTCAGAGTTTGTAGCAATGGTTCAGGAAGCAATGTTTCTGAAGCACTTGTTGGAAGAGCTGGGAATATTTCTTGAGCATGTAAATTTGCATTGTGACGACATGCCAGGAATGAAGATTTTGCAGAAGAGAACCGTGAATGACAAGACCAAACATATAATTCGTAAACAGTTATTTGTCAGAGACATAATCAAGAGAAAAACTAGTTGTGCTGAATTACGTTCCAACTTCCAGGATGGTAGCGGACATTTTGACAAAATCACTTGGCAAAATCAAGCATGATGGTTTCATGACCGACCTTGGTCTTACCCCAATGAAGGATCAAGATTAAGGAGGGGTGTTGGAATTTATTTATAATCTTGTTCCTCATTGCCTTCTTGGTACTAAGTTAGAAGCAGCTGTCATGTGTTAATTATATGCCATGTGATTGCTATGTTTATTAATTTGTTGTAAATAAACATCACTTCCACTATGGACTTTAGAAACCATACTGTGTAGTCATTTTACTCCTATTATTAAAAAGGAAAATCAATTATAAACAAGTACCGTCAGCACGCTGACGGGGGGAACCCCAACCTCCCATTTACACCGCTGCCCGATCGAGGCCTTACCCATTGCTGGGAAACCAGAGATAACCAGAGCGATAGATCCCCAGATACCCCTGGCGGGCTCGGACCCAGCACCCGATCTACTTCGTTTGCCCGTCAGACCCAACATCACTGCCAGGCCATCAGGGTTTCCCAAAAGGAGGCAGGTATAGAAGTGGGACCCACCCGGATGAACCTATCCACCAGAGGTGGCGACACCCTTGACTCAATTGAGGTTCCGGGAAGAACCCCCCACACTCAAGATAACCATACCGTCCGTGCTCAGAGACAGGGATTGGTTTGCATAAGTACCTACAAACCGTTGCCCTCACACTGCGGAAAGTTACGTTGCCCTTGAGTGTCCCCGTGAGCTGCGGGTACTTGCCCGTTTTCACCTCCAGGAAAGGTTACTTCCAAAGTCGAGGATCTGCCCACTGAATGCTGGTCGCACACAACAAGCAGGCCGAAGCCCAAAGAACCACAGACACAGGTAGGTTAGAGATTATGATGTACTTCCATCTCTCCTAGAGCTAAACACCCCTCCATCCTGGATAAAGGAATGTCACTGGGACCCGATGCCCAGTCGTCCATGTCTGTGGCCAACTTGAAAATGCCGATACCAACACGGAGCATTTACCTCCCCTCTGGGGGCTAGGTATTTCACCTCCCAGGACGAGGCTACTTCCAAAGTCGAGGATATGCCTCACAAAATGCCAGTCGTACACGACAGGTAGGACTCAGTCACAACCACAAGCTACAGGCAGGTGAAAGATCTATGAACTTAATCAACACTAGCAGAGCTGAACACCCCCACCACCCTGAATGGAGGGAATGTCACTGGGTACTCTCACTTTGGGTAAACCCAAAGAGGCTGGCTTGTCCAGTCGTCCATAGCTTGTGGTCTACCTGAAGTGCCGGTTCCAACACCGGGCAATTACCTCCCCTCTGGGAGAGCTAGGGTCCGCGTGGTCGCCCAGGCCACGAACCCACGCAAGCGTGAGCCCCCTGCGGTTAATAATAATAATAATAGTAATAATAATAATAATAATAATTTCAATTCAATTTCAATTCAATTTCAATTTGTTTATTTCTCGCATACGAAAATTTGTTGTACACTGCAGCGCCTTGTGCAACAAGGCTTGCAGCTGGCTTGCGCTCTCTAGCTGCAAGCTATTTGAGAGGAAAACTCATATCTATTACCTTATTATAATATATTTTACAGGTACATAGTATGAATCCATTTGTTTTATTTTCAAATTAAATAATATATAATAAACAACCATAATTTGAACAAAAACATTTTTTCTTTTTTATGTTTTATTTTAAATTATATTTGATTATGAGCTAGTATGTTTTTTATATATGTGTGTGTGTATCATGATAATAATAATAAGTAATACAGTAACAATAATATGTTAGTACAATATAAACAAGATCAGCTATTTTTATGTTTTCAGTCTTGAGTTTTCACAGTAAAATAATAAACTTCTGAATTCAAGATTTTAAGCTTGTATTTTAACAATACTTCCTACCTAAACAGTTTCTGTTACTGTGATAGCATTCTGATATAAAAATGCAATATTTTACAACACGTTGTTCTCTCAGTTTGGCTTAGTTGACAATTTGGAGTACTCGAAAAAAAATCTGTATTTAACATCAAACTCCGTCGGTAGATCAATTCAACCACCTCAAATTTAACATTTGGATGAAATATCTCAACAGCCAAAGGTACTGCAAGTATATAGTCATTAATCTCTATGACATCGATGGTTAGGTATACATTACACCACTGACCGAGGTAGTCCCTCTGCTTATGGAAGTGGTTGATGAGTGTGGTACAGTTTAGGACGACCTTCTGTTCAGACGCCTGGTCGCGAACCTCCATGGACCCGTAGTAGACACTCACTGTGCTCTCCAAGTCTGTGGGAACCAACAATTTGCTCAAATACAAAGATTTACTGATTCAGGATGTGTTTCATAACACTTGTTTTGGTCGTCCAATACTGAAAACCTTCCAGATCAATGATAATTTTTGTTAATAAATTAGATCAATTATTACCCAACGAATGGTTGTGTTGAAATAAATAAATGGTTTGTAGTCGGACTAGTCGGAGTTTATTCCGTAAAAGCACATGCTGATTAATAGAATTTGCCAAGAACATAACAAATATGTAAAAAAAATTAACGATGAAAATTCATAAAAATTTAAAATTAATTCATATACGAACTAACACAAATAATAACTAATTTTTCGAGACAACATCTCAAAGTTGCCAGTGAGCGCCTGGCCAACAGCCACAGAACACTGACCATAGGGATAATGATGTCCCTTGCGTCTCGTGGCTTTTGCAGGACACTTTATGAACGCACGGAATTTGGCGCTGAAACAGTTACGAATACAAAGTTAAGGAGTTAAACTATATAAAAACGCTGTTTACTCCCTATGGAGAAAAGGGACAAGCGATTCATGTATTAAATACCCCCGCCGCAGCAAACCTGCAGACTTAGCGAATTTCCATTTGCCTGATTGGATTTAAACTAAAATGTCTCCTTAAAAATATCACATTTATTCCCTATTTAAACAGAATTAGTTTAACGAGTACTTAGGTTTGCTGCAACAGGGAGGGTAAAAAAGTATTTTTTATGTAAAATATTAAAAGGTACTGTGGTTTAGTAAGAAATTAATGTATTTTCCAAATTTGATCAAAATATGTTCATAAACAAGCAAACTACAACAGTTGACTTATTCTCCATAAAAATAACATGGGAAATTTAAAATAACAATTTTTTTGAATTTTCTCCGTAACAGTTAGGCGCATAATAACGCTTCAATATACTAAATTATTTGTATTTTTAAGCTCTACAAAATGGTTTCAAAAGAAATTGTAAAATTTTGTGTTTTTAGGGTCAAAAATGGGAAAAACCTATTTTTACCCCATAAAACCCCCCATAAACCCCCGTTCCCATAGTCCGATCGTGCTGGTTCGCGAACTCATTCAAGTTTATCCCACCTTACACCTTCAAACCAAATTTTATCAAAATCGGACAAAAATTACTCAAGTTATCGTGCGGATGGACACATATATATATATATATATATATATCTATATATATATCTCTATATATAGATATATAAAAATTTGAACGAATGGTGTTTTTGGCCTCTGGGGACATCAAAATGAAAAAGTAAATCGGTCCCGGGCTTAGGTCTTACCATGAGACCTACGGTAATAGCTACTTCCCTATAGGGAAATTCGCTAAAACGGCTGGTTTCTCAGAGGAAATAGAATTTAATTAGTACAGCACACTCTAAGATCTTTCAACTACACTACTGTACACTATCGGTTTGAATAACAAATAGGCTACAGCTGGTCCATATGAATGTGATGTCTACTCATCTATCTATCTATCTATCTATCTATCTATCTATCTATCTATATATTAATAGGCAAGCATTTTTCTTTCAAACCTTTTTTTCTCAGCTCCTGTGCATCGCAGGGAAAATCTACGCATACTGTTAGAAAGATATTTTTCTGTAGAAGTGCAGAATCCCTTTAAAAATTAAAATAGGCTCAAATATAAGCACAAAAAATTTATTTGAAATTTTAAAAAAATTAACATGGGCTTTATGGGTTGCCATGCTGGTGACGAAATAACAAAGAAATATAAACAGAAAATCAAAACAAATGGAAGAAATTACAATCACATGTTTTATTTACAGTGTGTGGTGCAAATAGATAAGTCTGTACCTTTACATTCTATCCCCATGTTAAAGTTGTCACCAGTTTTTTTTTTTTTTTTTTTTTTTTTTTTTTTGTTCTTGGTGTCTTTGGAAAGGGCGTAACGTGAAGTTGTGCAGGAAACTTTCTTTTTAGGGAAATAATTACAGGGTGAGGCCCTGGGGCCCTTTAAAGTTTCGTATTTTTCCATAAGATTAACATGGGAAACAAATATTGTTATGAAACTCCAGCTGTTGTCAGAAATTAAAAGTGAGAAGAAGGACATATGTTAATTCGTTAATTGTAGACAGTCAATAATTTTGCTAATTTTACAGTTTGCTACAAACATTTATTTACTTACTTGGTTGAAATGAAATATTTACTATTTGAAACTGGGTTGACGTAAATATTGCAATAGAAAAAACGAGAGCTTGAATAAATTGATATACTAAAACGAAATCTCAATTAACACTGTGCTGCATTTCTTAGTAATCATTGAACGAGCCGATTTGCAAACTATAGAAACATAGGAAAGTCATAGAACACCACCAAGGAGAATAATAATAGAAATACATAATGTGGTTTTTTAATAGGCCTATATATTTATAATCGTTATTATGGACAACCTAATTCGGCTATAAGTAAGGCTATTTGTAGAAAACACTAAAAAACAAGATCAGCTTTTGGAAAATGATAAGACATTTACAAGAAATGTTGATTATATTGATCTGTTATGTACTCCATGAGTATTCCATAATCTTTGAGCCGAATCTTTTAAAGTCATTAAAAATTATGACTGTTATTCGTTTTAAAATAATGCCTGTAATACTTAGCAATTGCTCGATTTCGAGCGACAGGGACACTAGTCTTTAATTCAATACGCAAGCAGGTTTTTTGTGACAATTACTCCTCCGAAACTACTGGACCGATTGACATGTTTTTGGTGTCATTGGAAAGATCGTAACGTGAAGTTGTGCAGGAAACTTTCTTTTTAGGGAAATAATTAGAGAGTGAGGCCCTGAGGCCCTTTAAAATTTCATATTTATTCATAAGATTAACATGGGAAACAAACATTGTCATAAAACTCCAGCTGTTGTGAGAAATTAAAAGTGAGGAGAAAAACATATGTTAATTATAAAAAATTAATTGTAAATGATGCAGGTTTATCAATAACGAAGATAAACATGGACAACCTTATGCTGCTATAAGTCAGGAAATGTTTGTAGAGAACACTAAATAGTAGTTTACGCAACGATTGCGTTAAGTTGGTCTTTACGACACGAGTAGAAAAAAAAAATACTTCTACGAGTGTCGTAAAGACTATTAACGCGAGTTGCGTACACTACTTTACCTACGACAGTTTTTTAATTACTAACAATCTGGTTTTTAGTTACTAACAATCACTACTCATAACTTCTTAGAGAGGTTATGTTTTCGTTTTTGTCAGTGCCACTGAAAGTGATGCAACGACTTATTGTATAATCAGCTGATTTCATGTAATCACGTGTTTGTAAAACTTCGTTAAATAATAAGTTATCTTTTTCAGGGAATAGGTTCTGCTAGCAGCATTCTTACCATAAATACTGTATCAGGTACAATTAGGGAAATATTGCATTTAAATTTTTTTTGACAACTGAATGATTATAGTGAAAGAGTTAATTTACAGTTAGATCTCAGCATCGAATATTATAAGCAGTTTGTGCTCTCATTTCCATCTCGTCAACTTCACTTTCACTAAATGACATTTTTAAAACAGTTTAGTCTACCTTCCTTTAATTAACTTCCACCAACTTAGGTTAAGAATACGCGAGTATCAACAGGAACAAGTATGATCAACAATTAAAATTGTCAACTGATCAGCTGATCAGCTGATTAGTTGATGTTCGAAGCATTACAATTTTAATTCTTTTCTCTCAATACTTGAACCTCATTGGCCCGTTACCTGTGTTGATATGAGAAAAACTATGCTGATATGAAATGAAACTATGCTGATATGAAAGTAAACAGCTGTTAAGTGAAACTTTTCAATTCTAAGAACTGAACTGAAATGGCTACTTTAAAAAACGGTCGTAGGTAAAAACAATATCAGCATATGAAATATGATAACATATTTACAGGAGATGTTGACTATATCGAAATGTTATATACATCGTGAGTATTTCCATGAGTTACACACCGGCAATTCTTGGGTTTACTCTTTTAAACTCATTGCAATTATGACTGTTATTCGTTTTGAAATAATTTCTGTAATACTCTGCGATTGCTCGAATTCGAGCAACACGTACACTAGTCAATCTTTAATTCAATGATCATAACACTAACTTGGACGTAGCCAAAGCCCCAACTTTGTAAGGGCGACTTGTCGTTTAGTGCGGCGGTTGTAAGGTTTGACAGGGATGCGCCAGTCACAGCCACGGTCAGTGCTGTATAATGCGTATCGGCGTAATACAGTAGCAGGATTACTTCGGCCTCCCCCTGTAGTGTGGGGCTTCACAGAAACATCCACCCTCACCCTGTGTGATCGTGTGTTAGGAAGCGGTCACTGATCGTAACGTACATGGTTGAGCCTTTGTGATTGGAATTTATGAAGTTAACGTTTGAAATAATTAATACACCTAATGGAATCGTTTTGATCCATTTTGGCCTCATTGGACGGATGAAATTATCGACCTTTTGGATACTAAAGTAGACAGCCCATCTATATAAACCAACATGTTGCATTTATTGTTCAAATAGCATCTAGTCAAATGCTGCACTCACAGTGTAAATCGGTTAAAGATGAATGATCTATGAGTTTATGTGACAAAACTACCATTTAAGTTGCCCATTCAGTTTGGCTGAATGAAAAGTAATCGTACGCGACAGTATCATTGATTAGCACCAACACACATTGTAGGTGGTTCAGTTAAGCTAAGTTCGTTTCCATTGTAAAACCATAGACTTACCACCACAATTCTCATCCTATTTTGAATTTCGAAACTAGTTTTTCGTGTATAGTTAATCTTGGTGACACAGTTTGTAGTTTGTTTCTATTTATTTTAGGGCTAATTTCATTATTTGTGTTTTACTGTTTGGTTATATAACTAAGGGTCGAGTTATTGTTTATGATTAGATTGTTTTATTTGGTTAAACGAGGTTTAAATGACTAAAATAACATGAAACAAGTTATAAACAAAACATGACCCCTGCAGTGCACCGGACGGAACTTGAAATAAAATTGTCCTCAGCTGATGCGATGACAGGGTAGTATCTTTACACACAAAACTCACACACAAATCAAGGAAGTATGGAGTATGTTAAGGTAGTATCCAAGGTAAAACTGACCACAGATTTTACATGTCAATTGAATGTCTAAAGTCAGAGGTTTTAGCAGAAGAAGCGGGGAGAAGCTTCCCCCTATGTCGCGGAGAGTGTGGCGAGACAGTTTACTCATCAACCATGTTAGATTATTAATCAACATATTCAACACAATGTGTGTAGTAATTACCTCGTGCAGGTCTCAGGAAGGCTAGGGTGAGTCGCAGCTGTGCGGAGTGCAGCACCTCCCCAGGAGGCACATTGGGGACGTCGAACGTGAGCAGGTGAAGACGTTCTCTGACCGTGGCTTCCGGGTAGTGGTGGTATACAGGACCTAGAAGGCAGTTAGACATAACGTCCCGTAAATATACAACCGTACCCCGGGAAATTATTAAACGGGTCAAAATATACAGAAGTACAGACAACTACAAAATAACCTACTTAATGACACTAACCTACTGTCCTGGGAGTTAGACTTCGCACTATTTCGGCCGAAATCTGCTCATGGGGCCCTCGATGAAATAGATCCATCATGACCGAAGGTACGAGGGGCCCTTGCCGGGGCCCGCGCGGAGGTAGAGCCCGAGGTCCATCTGATGACTGGGCGTACACTACCTCCGTACCCTGTGAGGTAGGGGCCCTAGTTAAGATTGAGAATTATGAACAACATTAGCAAGTAGGTAAAAATAAAACTTATTCCAGGGATGATGCGAACTGTATGTGCATTGTTTAGGGGTTGTCTCACATAGAGGGAATTCGGATTTCACAATCTTTAACGTAACATAGTGGTAAGTACAACACCAACTAATAAGTCAACAACCATGAGTATCTCTAAACAACTTAATTAATTTATACATGATTACGTCACTAAATCAGTTACCATTATGTATGATTTGGATTTTAATGAATACTAGCTGTTGTACCCGTGCTTTGCAACGGGAAGAGGACACAAAATAGAAACATTTTAGTTTTAGCGAATTTCCCATATAGGGAATAAGCTATTACCGTAGTACTCATGGTAAGACCTGGACCCGGGACCGATTTTTTTTTTCGTTTTGAGGTCCCTAGAGGCCAAAAACACCATCCGTTCAAATTCATATATATATATATATATATATATATATATATATATATATATTTATTTATATTTATATATATATATATATGTGTCCGTTAGCGCGATAACTCGAGCAAAAATGATCCGATTTTGATGGAATTTGGTACAAACGTGTAAACCTACGTTTATTTGAACGAGTTCGCGAACCAGCATGATCGGACCATGGGAACGGGGGTTTATGGGGGCTTTTATGGGGTAAAAATGGGTTTTTCCAATTTTTGACCAAAAAAACATAAAATTTTGTAATTTCTTTCCAAACTATTTTGTAGAGCTTAAAAAAACAAATAATTTAGTATATTGAAGCGTTATAATGCGCCTAATGGTTACGGAGAAATTGTTAATTTAAAATTCCCATGTTATTCTTATGGAGAATAAGTAAACTGTTGTAGTTTGCTTGTTTATTAACATATTTTGCCCAAATTTGGAAAATGTTTTAATTTCTTACTAACTATTAACATTTTACATAAAATAACACTTTTACCCTCCCTGTTGCAGCAAACCTAAGTATGTGTTAAACTGATTCTATTTAAATAGGGAATAAATGTGATATTTTTAAGGAGACATTTTAGTGTAAATCCATCAGGCAAATGGAAATTCGCTTAGTCTGCAGGTTTGCTGCGGCGGGGGTATTTACATCTGTTGCATATAATAGTTACACATCCCCCAACGCTTTTAGAAACAAAATTCGACTTTTATGGCCTTAATTGAAACGTTTAAGTTATGACTTTTAAATCTGGTAAGTAGTGGATACCACCATTTCATCTACCTTAATAACATATCTTTTTATTTATTATTGACATTTTAAATTTTAATTTTAAAGTTACTACTAATTATTAAATTTAGATGAACATTTTTTAAAATTTCACTCTTCTTTATATTAAATCACAAATCCTTCCATCTTCAGTTTCTTGACTCACAATAAATCATTAGCAAAACTAAGTCAGCTGTTATAAACTTTAGAAATATTGCTATGCCTTTTCAATACAGTCTTTTGAAATATTTAAGAAACTATATCTATAGGTACTATAACAAATTTTAAACAAATAATTTAGTATTAAAGACAGCAGACACAACTAATATGATTATCAAAGCATCACGGACTAAACAATTTAACAGCAAATACAGTATGTTCCATTGCATCTCTGATTCTACTCTACAAAAATATCAACAAACAACTTAATATACAAACCAGTTATTTTAATCAGTTCCATCGTCCATTGGCTATACATTTTCACACTTACCATAAAGTAAACATAGAAACAGATATTTCATTGATTTTAGAAACAAAAGAACAGTTTGTACTGCTTAGTTTTATGATATTTTCCTTGGTTTAATTTAATCAGTGGTGTGGCAAAACACAAATAATAAATGTATCAAATAATGTAAATGTAAACTGAAAGCTATGTTACATATAGTTAAATTAAATATAGTTACACATATACAACAGATTTTAGAAAACAAAAATCAACGACGTACAATTTAGTAATGGATGATATTCTTTAGTTTAATTTATGCATAGGTTTAGCAAAACACAATAACTTAATTTACCTAAATATACATATAAAAAACAATGTAATGTGCAAGTTATGTTAAGTTAATCTAACACATGTTAGGGAGTTATAATTTATTTAAAGTAGCCTCTAAATTCATATAAAACATCTATACATTGTGATTTTCATACTGTTTCCATGAAATCATATTAATAACATTATTTTCATAGCTTAGACGCTTTAAAAAATCCAAAGCAGAGCCGGAGTTGATACAGCAACGGGTATAGAATCTTTTTTTATATAATCATTGACATATCTTTAGAATAAATAATCCACGATAAAAGGTTAGATTAAAATAAACCTACCTCATTGTTATGGAAAATATTATATTTAATTTCTTTGTATCAGCTGTCTGAAATTGTGAAATATGCAGTTTAGCAGTTCTTATTGTTTACATTTAAATGTCAAAGCAAATGTAAACAAACATTGTTAGTGTTCTCATCATGGAGACCAATCAGTATTTACTTTTAAAATCTTCACCTCACAACACAACTTTTAAAGCCAAAGGGGCAAAGCCTACGGTCAGTATCGAAACGTGAATAGTCCTATAATGGCCCTTGGTATGGTAACTATATTTTTTTAATGTTAGCCCAGTTTGTTCAGTAGTTGTTGCACCTATTAGTAACACACATGCAGACAGACACCATTAGATTTTTATATAATAGTATAGATTTTTTATTTTTATTTTTTTAACTTTATTTAATTTACAATCTGTTCAAGTTGAACAATAAGCAAATGATATAAATAGTAATACAAAAATAACTTGAAGAACATGAGCTAGTGATTGACCACCGTCAACACTAGCTAACAAAGAGAATTTTGATAACACTTAGCCGAATCTGAATGGTAGGTCCAATATCGTATGTCGCTTCAGTCTGTAAATGGTGTCGTGATTGTCCAATAAATTAAGTGCAAGATGATTTGAATGATTTTCCAATTTTATAATGTATTTTTCACTAGATTTTGTAATTTCTTCTTTACTGTTCGAATTTGAAGATCATTGTGAAGTGTTCTGTTGGTAACAAACCAAGGAGCGTTGACAATTTTACGTAATAATTTTGATTGGTAACGTTGAATAATTTCAATGTTTGAGGTACTTGCTGATCCCCAAAGTTGAATACCATAAGTCCAAATTGGTTTTAGAACTGTTTTGTACAGTAACAATTTATTTTGTGTACTGAGTTGTGATTTAGATCTAAGAAGCCAATTAAGTTTAGTTGTTTTTAAATTTAGATGTTGTCTTTTAGTCCAGATTTGTGCCTTCCAATTAAGCTTTGCATCTAAGTGCATGCCCAAGTATTTTATTTCTGTTACTTGAGGGAGGTGAATATTGTTCATGGATACTGGAGGACATGTAGCCTGATTTAAGGTAAAAGTAATGAATAGTATAGATAAACACGTTTAATTAATACTCCATTGACTTTAGCATTCCGAAGACTACTTCAGTACTTGACGTTGAATCTAAAACTATCAACAAGTAAAACATAGTAATGTGATGTCTAATTGTAGCACCTACTACGTTGGTGTTTTATTCACGACATTGTAATCGATTATTAGCAGAGCTAGTTTAAGTAGATTTGGTAGTAAGTAGATGGACTGCACCATGCGTCATTTCGAAATAAAATAAGAGATAGCATTGCGACTGAACTAAAAAAAGAAAGTAAAGTTTTAGATCTAATGTGTAAAGACACTAACATCAACAGGTTTTAATGTTAATAAAAATACACACACAGTTGTGTATGAACAAAACATTTACGGGTTGATTTACATTACGTCTATTTAGGAAATGAATTATATTCCATCGTATTAGCTCCATATTACACAAATACCTAGATGAAGAGATTGTAAGGAAGACAGCCAATACCACAAAGAACGAGACTAAAACGAGGATACATTGCCACGGTTTAGGCTTCGTGCACATGACTACCTCCTAACATACCGTCCGGTAACACTACTTCAGACAACACAGCACTGGTCCAGAGGTACAGCCTCATCTTATCAGCAGCCATTCTAACCTGAAGGGGCTCCAGAATAGAGCGGTATCTAAAAAAACGGTATCAAAATAGATCTGACCGCGGGTAAACAAAAACATTACACATAGTTCATCTACTCTGCATCACTTTGATGGCACTAATATTTAAACGGAAAAACCTGTTTATTTATAATCCATCGTAAATTTTAATTAAATTACCAATTGAAATGCTGACGCGTCATTATTTAGGGGTATCAACCACATATGAGTGAAGAATGGGTTAAAATATAATTTAACGCTGTTTGCAACTGACTTTGATTGAAAATTGACTTTTTTCAGGATCAATCCGGTAACATTTTGAGATTATAGGTGAGTACTCTAACCACTCAAATACCCAGCTCCCAGCTATATAACAAATAATAATTAATAAATAGGATTCACGAATTTGAAAATCATTTTAAGAAGACAATGTAAGAAATCATCATTAATATAACGCGACATCATAATAGGTACACTAGGTATTTGAGCTAACCATATCAACTATTCGATGGATAGTTTACATATGGTCTATAGTTAATCCGATTATCTGACCTAAAGCCGTAGAAAGGTCAAATTATCGGTAAAGAGTCGGATTACAAAGTAAATGATTGTAAACATTTGAAATCCCTTAACATGTTTAAATTAATACATTTTGTCAGTTTTAAACCTATTGAAGGCTTTAAATTTGTTTCCCACTTAAACCACTGACTGGTTCAGTTTTTCAAACATAATCACGAATACAGTACATGGTTAACTAATAGTTAGAGAAAAATTAATGACGTAACAGACTCGCGACATAAAAATGTTGACCAATAAGGTTGACTGAAAGCTGTACACAATAACCGACATGGTAACTGGAGGCTGAATGTTTTGTTGTAATGGTTACTAAGTTGTAAGGTTGAGTTGTAACTTGCACAGCAAGTCGATTGCTGCACACATCCGGATCTTCGGCTAGTATCTGGCTAGTTCGATGACGTGGTCATCATCCGGATCTTCGGTTAGTATCTGGCTAGTTCGATGACGTGGTCATCATCCGGATCTTCGGCTAGTATCTGGCTAGTTCGATGACGTGGTCATCATCCGGATCTTCGGCTAGTATCTGGCTAGTTCGATGACGTGGTCATCATCCGGATCTTCGGTTAGTATCTGGCTAGTTCGATGACGTGGTCATCATCCGGATCTTCGGCTAGTATCTGGCTAGTTCGATGACGTGGTCATCATCCGGAACTTCAGCTAGTATCTGGCTAGTTCGATGTCGTGGTCATCATCCGAATCTTCGGCTAGTATCTGGCTAGTTCGATGACGTGGTCATCATCCGGATCTTCAGCTAGTATCTGGCTAGTTCGATGTCGTGGTCATCATCCGGATCTTCGGCTAGTATCTGGCTAGTTCGATGACATGGTCATCATCCGGATCTTCGGCTAGTATCTGGCTAGTTTGATGACGTGGTCATCATCCGGATCTTCGGCTAGTATCTGGCAAGTCGATGTCGTGGTCATCATCCGGATCTTCGGCTAGTATCTGGCTAGTTCGATGACGTGGTCATCATCCGGATCTTCAGCTAGTATCTGGCTAGTTCGATGTCGAGGTCATCATCCGGATCTTCGGCTAGTATCTGGCTAGTTAGATGACGCGGCCATCATCTCCCGAAGACCAAAGGTTTCACGGTCAACTTTGGACGTGGAACCCCCTCCACCATCCATCATCCATCATCCATCATCCGGATCTTCAGCTAGTATCTGGCTAGTTCGATGTCGAGGTCATCATCCGGATCTTCGGCTAGTATCTGGCTAGTTCGATGACGCGGTCATCATCTCCCGAAGACCAAAGGTTTCATGGTCTACTTTGGACGTGGAACCCCCTCCAGGTTATATACCGGATTCGTGTGATAAAACACATAAAACTAACTTTAAAATAAAATGTTGCACTCAATCAAATTATTTTTAACCCAATGACTAATAACCACTCTACAATAATAACCACAGCATCAGCCAAGCCTTACACAGTAATTAGATTTAGTGCGTGTCTCACGCAGCCACTGAACACTATTGCTTTATCATCTTACTTAATCTATTCTCTTGGTAAACCCTTAGATTAAGCATTCTTTACATGATTTTATAATACTTTTGGACCAATTGAAGACAATGTAAAATTTAGTTCATCCGGTTTATGTAGGCCTAGACGAAGTTATGTTGTTTACTGTTTTGTTATTTATTTAACCAATATAAAACAAATATAAATTAACTTGTGTGGCGTATAGGGTCGCCGGAATTTTATCCCCCTGGAATTTTACCCCCTGGGCAAAGCTGACGTCACTATGACGTAGTAACCTGAGTGGCCAAAAGTTTGTTCGCGGCCGGAATTTTACCCCCGCGGAATTTGGAAGTCTAATGAAAATAGTCAGAGCGTGATTAATTAGATCAGCGATAAAAACCGGAATTCTACCCCCCGTCCATATAACTAGCGTTTAGACAACTGAAGATGTACGGGCCGGATTTTTACCCCTCGGAATTTTACCCCCTGGCTGATTTTAGAAATTGAATGATTGATTTCCTAATTTCTGTTTTTAATTAATTGTAAACATTTCATTATTTAGTAGCCTATATTTATTTATTTATTTTGTAATCTCAACTAAGTAAACAGAATTCCTTGTTTTATTTTGATCATATTAACCAACAGTTGGCTTTAAAGATCGAATCCTGACACTCGAATCTCAAAATTAATATTAAAACCCTGTTCGATTAGTTAATGTTACCTACATATAAATTAAAATAGGCTACTTAAAAATAAAATATTTACCATTAAATTAAAACTGAATGACGATAATTAATCATTCTCACTAATTTATATATCTGGCCAGGGGGTAAAATTCCGGGGGTAAAAATCCGGGCCGTACATTCTAGGTTTTTATAATTTGATGTGTTCTGATTAAACTCACAACCGTGAAAATATATGTTTAATTCCGCGTTTAATCCATCGAGCTGATATCGTGAGACTCAAAAGTTCGCGGCCGGAATTTTACCCCCTGGTTTGTGACGTCACGTTTGCCCAGGGGGTAAAATTCCAGGGGGATAAAAATCCGCTACCCCGGCGTATATAGTGCTTGTGGAGCAGTTTAGCTAAATTTATACTAAATTCTTCTACAATTTTAAAATAGAAAATATAATAATTAATTACAATATCTGAATCAATAAACTTTGGTGTCGCGAGGCGAGGTACAAGGCATCATTGTCAGTATCAACAAATGAGTAGAGATTGCCATCAAGGCCGGACTCATTGATGCGACAGTTGACTGATAGACTGGCGTTGCCAAACAGGGATTTATCCCTCACTGGGGATATTTAAGCAGTAAAAAGGGATAGAATCTGATTATAAAGAGATTTTTAAGATTTAGAAGTAATTTCATATACTTTGTTTGTGAGATATTTACGTTTAACATTAACAAACGTTGTATCGATTGCGATTCGTTAAAATACTGAATTTAAGGATATTTATAGGCATGCACTGTGGATGCGATACTCCCTGGTGTGGATAAACGGCCGCACTAGTGAGTACTACGTCTACCCGCAGTGATATCCTGATATTTAGATCAATTCGTTAATTACAAGGCAAACATTTGGTTGGGATTCCACTATAAACTGTAGGTCCCTAATTTGCCATTGGCTGTATGGGCTATTAATTAACAGCTGTGTCTAAGGAGCATGTCGGCTTTAGTCACTAACAAGACTACAAGATCGCGCCACTCATCCTACACTCATCCTTCACTCAAATTTGGGTCAAAATAGTCATACGCACCTACTGGCGTCCCCACCTACTGGCGTCCCCATAGTAAGTAATGTATATGCAAATTTCACCCATTCTTCAATTTAAAAGCGAGAGAAAATAAATGATTGGGATTGAATGACAGCTTTTCTACTGCAAAAAATCAGCTGTTTCTTTAATCACTAAAAACGCAACGCCTATAAAGTATCAAGTACAGCTGGATCTAGTTTAACATGAACCTACTTACCTTCCTCATGATTGAAACAGCAACCTTTGGCTATCAGGCGAGTCCACCCCCTCAGTGGCTAAGCTTGATTTGAGTTAATTCTATTAACTAAATTAGATTGCATTTAAACAACACCAACACACCTGGATGGGTATAAGGCAAAGATGAGTGAAAAATGAGAGCCAAATAAATTGTATGACAATTTGTTATTTGCTATTTCTTTAGCCACTACCAATAATTAAAAGTCCAATAAATCAGGGCAGCTTTGACCAGCTTCAAACTATCTAACCTGGCCTTTCTCACAATCGAAACGGCAACCTTCTGTTTGCTAAAAGAGCCTTTTCCATTCTGTAACCATATTTGGATTCAAATACGGGAATTTGTGTCATTATCCTTGAAGTTTAGTAATGTGATACTGTGGCACAATTTCAGGATGGTTCGGGATGAACAGGGATTTCCACTGGAGTGTGGGATCTATTTGATCGCGTCATAGTTGGCGGAGATGCCGTGGGGTGTCGCACGCTCTGGTGATATCGAGCCGTGACGTCATATCAGGCCACCCTCGCGGCCAATAGCAGTGGTGGCGGGGTGCGTTAGTGTATCTGTGTCATCCACCGGCCTTAGTGCGGTGTAACAGTGTACCAGTGTACCAGTGTCAGTGTATCAGTGTATCAGTGACCGGTGAGACAGTGTCAGTCGTCATGACCACTTCCTAGTAATACTGTGATAACACTGTGATAACAACGTACGATGGCATTGAAACAAATAGGTGAGTTCGGAGTAATTGATCGGGTTGCAGCACATTCATATTTGAACAGTTCGATCGTTCTGACATTAGTAGGTCAGGTGTGTTATGTCAGAGGTTTGGGACGTTTGTGCCTTTTCCAGTAAGTTAAGCATTGATTCGATGCCACACACTCGCACACGCACCTACAGACGCAATGCGGAAGTGAAAGAGTCGCGTGTGGTAGCCTATTAAAGTGGGAAATAATATAAACGGTTCTCACAAGATGTTGAATGCATCTTATAATGGAGGATAGTAATATCATGTGGAATGGAAATCAATGAATGTAGTTTAAACCTGTAGGAGAAAAGTTTGTATCCACTTTTACCGTAAACTGTAATTTGTTCTCGTAAAATAGAAACAAATACAGTATTGCTACTACAACAGGAAATATATAAATGGGTATGAGGACTTATAACACAGAAGTAGGCCTACTGTTACTGACAACTTATTATACGTCAATGTTTACATTTACAATAATGTAATTTCTAATAATAATAGTAATAATAATAATAATAATAAGCAGCTAATAGACAAGTATTAAACATCCAACCTAATTAACATCACAGTTCCTGGTCTATTACAATGAGTGTTTTAATAATTTAGCCATGCTTAGTAATTTATCGTCAATAATAAATATTGTTATATAATATTGTTATAGTTTTGGCACCTACTTTATTATTGGTTTTTATTTCGGCCGTGAAGAAAAAAACACAGTTTTTTTATCGTCATTGCAAATAATTTAGGTTTAACTAGTAACAATAAAAGATAACTGCCATAACAGATGTTCCTGATTATATAGCCTGACTAATAAAACAGCTGATCTTAATCAGTAACAAAGCTACACAGATTATCACACTTATTCTACACTCTTTATTGGGTTAAAATTCACATAGGTACATATACCAAATGATGATAATTAATTGAAACACCGAAAAATCTTGTAGCTATATTGCGTCGTTTAAACTGAAGGCGTTTCGTACTCCATTTCTATAAGACTTTACTGTCTTGGCCATCATTATACCAAAATGAAATTGCAAAACTGGTAAAAAAATCTTCTGTGTGTTGTTAAAACTGAATATATTTCATTTTTTTTGTTTCTGTTAGACTTGAAATTCACTTTACCATTAATAAAGATATTTAATTAAATAACTTGTAAAAAGCTTGCCTTTTTATAACGAATCGTTAAAACACAAATGTTTTACTTATATTTGTGCTAAAATACACTCCTAGGTGGCGTCCCTATGTCGTCATAGGCTAAAGAACTAAACTAAAGGCGTTTTATTGTATTCTCTATTTATCTTACACTTGAAACTCGTTTCACCAGCATCGTATGATAATTGGTGTTTCGAAATTGCTTTTGTTATTTTTGTTTTGTTATTTAGATTGTAATGTTTACTGTGTTATTTGTAAACAAATACTGTATGTATATATTCAATGGGAAATGAAATATTATTTCATTTCATTTCAGACATAATAAAGAGTCTTCTAAAGGTCAAATGTAGTTCTATAGCAAAGCCTTAGCTTATACCTTTGTTTACAGTAGTTCAGTGTCAGCAATGGGGTTGTTTTAGTAGAACTATATAAATAGTAAAATGTATCAGAAATAAAAAAAAACTATTTTGGAGTCAAATTTAAGAATTCATTCCAAGTGGGAGTCATTAAATGTCCTTAACTCTGGAAATGTATTAGGTTTACATTAGCAGTTGTACTCGTTTAATACAACATGAAATACGTCGTAATTTGTTTAAAAGATATTCTATGGGTAAATTGAGCGTTGTCTTAAAAAGATTTATTGCAATTTTATTCGAAAAATTATACATTTCAATAAATTGATTTCCAACAATCAATCCCGATTAATACAGTTTTACGCACATTTTTCATCACGTCAAAAGCTACTGTAAATGTATCAAATGGAGAAAGGTAAACGGATAAGTGGCACCTTTGACAGGAAACAATTGATATTCGTCTGCTGGCCAGACCGTGCACGTTATTCAATTACTATGTTTTAAGGAGGACTGAGGGGGGAAGAAGGGGAGTTTCTGTCCTCTCGTGTTATGAAATAGTTATGTGATGCACAAGGGTTGGTTACAAATCAATTGAACTGCTCGTTTTATAAATGTCATCGATGATAATGTCTACTCAAGCGTATAGTTAAGTATCGAACGTTATCATGGGGTTGCCAGCTCAATCCTGAGAAAGGCAGAAGCTTTTTGATGGCTCGAAACCGAACCCAGCTGTCCTTGGGCTTTTAATAAACTAGTTAGCCGCCCGTGCTCCGCCACGGGAATATTGTCAGCAATAAAAGAAATAATAATTAACAAATACTGTTTATCTTTGTATTTATTTAGGGGTTGTTTAATTTTTTACATGAAATAGAGCTGATAGTTTGCCTGTATAAACTATTTTATGTTAATCAAACCGATATATTATTTTAACCAAATGAATGTTTTATATTAATTCGAGTTTCATTTGAAAAATAAGTAGTATACGAACTGGGCAATGCTGATAACATAATAAGCAGCTATTTATGCTATTTAGATAATTTGCTAAAGTGTATTCCTATATTCGTCATTTTTTTCATTACATTTTTTGTATGGAATAAAGATAGTCACTTAGCCTACATGTAAATCACGCATCAGCAGTTGGTCGCATTTCACGAATCGTTGACCCATACTGCAAGTAAAAGCTGTGTTTACGTCGTATATATAAAGTTGGGCATACTTTGTTCAATATTAGAGGGTATTAACGGTCCAATTTGATGGAAAAGGAGTCGTGGATTTTAAAACTATGTAGACTACCACTACCAGAAAGATGTTGATTCAATTGAGACTTAGAACTGTTCATTTCAAATGCAGATTTTTATTATATTTTACTCAAATAGTTTTTTGTCTCTTTTGGCCCTTAATACTTTTTTTATAGTTGCTAATGATAATATTTTCCATAAACTCAAAATGTTGATAAGGAGTTCATTTTACCTTCCCCTTGTGACAACATAAGGAAAAAATATTTGTGTCCAAGTTAGTCTGTTCTGACTCAAAATTCATAGATTTGCAGTACTGACAAATCCAATCTAACGACCCCAATTCAAAAAAATTGGATTTTTTAGAAGGGACTTCCAGAGCACATTTAACACCATCACTGCTCTTTACCTTTTTAGTTCGATGGTTCTCTACGTGTTTTTTTCCGTTCTGTATGTCTCTTTACGCCCGGTTAATGATTAGCCTACCTTTTCTTTTTCTTTTTGTACTTTTCACATCCTGGGGTTAATGATAAAGTTTTATAACGCTATAATGACCCGAGTCAACATTGCCATTAAACTTCAAGTCAGATACTCTTCGCCAGAACCGAAATCGTAAGTCACAGTTTCTCAAGCAACTTTCCTGTGTAGGCCTACTCGAAAAAATATAGTTAGGGTATAGTTCACTGATAAATTGTAGTTCCAAATATCCCAGCGTACTCGCCATCTCGAAAAGGTAAAATTTGGACGTCGAACACTGATCTTGAGTAAGATTAATCACTTAAGATAAAATGTTTGTATGTTTACCAATTATTAGCAATTATCTGTACAACTTGCAAGTGGATTTCCCTATGATTGTTGTGGTGGCTATAGAGAATAAATTATATTGATCAAAACAATAAGTTTCCGTCCCCTACTATGGGTATTATTTCACATTCCATACTCAAACTGAAACTCAAACCACTTTCCTTCAGATCACTTTGCAGGAAAACTAAAACATTTTTGTGTCCCAGTTAGTCTGTTCTGACTTGAAATTCATATATTTGAAGTAGTTACAAATACACTTTCCTTGATCAAAATCGTGTGTTTATAAACAGAAAATCCTAGTTTAATAACTGCATACTGAAAGTGAGGTTATAAAAATAATAACAAATGTCTGACAAACATTAAACAGCTGACGAATAATTTATAAACTGTGTATTATATTCTTCAATAAGAATTGTACTGACTCGACCTTTAAAGGGCTGTAGGTCTTAGCCCTTAGAAAAAACGTAAATTCTAAGGAAGTTCGGCAAATCTACACACTATCCCCTTTAATTTGAAACATAAATCTTGTAGATCGGTCCAGTAATTACTGAGAAAACAGTGTTACAACTGTGTTTTAAATATATAGATTACCATGGCTAATTCATATTCATTCATTCAATACTTATCCCTACCATTTGCTTTAATAGTACGGTGCAGTTTTAGCCAAAAGAGGCCTAACCTCAACATCTAAAGTTAAAGCTAACTTTTGACTCCAATCTGTTCATTATCGTTCCCGTATTATATGGTAAAAAGTACACCATTTTGAGCGCCGTGTTTGGGGAAGGGGGAGTCAAAGTTGGAAAATGTTTCGCAACAGTTGCAAGTTTTTAGCAACAGTGCTACAAAACATTTCTAACAATTTAAAAGTCCCGGAACAGCTACTAAAAGTAAAATATATATATATGAAAATAGTACAGAGTGAGCTACAAAACTTGGATCAAAATCACTGGACGTAAAAATCATTTTAAAACGATATTCAGTGACCTTCTCAGGGGGACGTCTCAATAGGAGTGTATAAGTTTAAGCACTTTGAAGTAAAAAGTTAGCTTTCACTTTGGAGGTGGAGGTTTAGGTGTAATTGCACCGCACCTGGTGTATCGGCTTCGTATGCATCTAATAATCTAATCTATCTGAACAGTTGAGTTAAGGGAAATCCGGCAAAAAATTATATCGAGTTTATCTTTTTTGATTTTTTTTTAAGTTTCCAAACGTCATTGATGTTGGTGGTATGATGATTAACTTATTTCATTGCCGACTCCTTTTTAATTGGGCTGGTTTTCGAAATTGGAAAGTATCATAAAACCTAGTGAGCTAACCAGTGTACGTAGTGTAAAATTTGTGGGGTGAATAATTTTTAAATGCATACATAACAAAATCTTTAAACAACATAATTATAACATAACTTTTGTTGAGCTCAAGGCAATGACTTATTACGGAC